AATAATAGAAATACACCCCCACCTTGTCCCTCCCCTACCCCCTCCCTTTAAGATAAACTGTGTAATGTGTGTAGTAATACATTTCAAATACATCCCCACCTTGTCCCTCCTCTACTCCCTCCCTTTAAGATAAACTGTGTAGTGTGTGTAGTAATACATTTCAAATAAATTACAACTCAATCTATGACTTCTACATGTGAATTTTATAAGGAAATATGAGTGCCAAGTCATCAGGATAAGCTTGGAGTTGAAAAAAACTTACTCTGCTTGATTCCAGTCCTATTCCAGTGGAATTCCAGTGGAATGCTGTGGATTCCACTGGAATGACTCTATTCCTGCAGGATTCCCCTGGAATTCCACTGGAATGATCCCATTCCTGCAGGATTCCTGCAGGAATAGGTGGGGCACTGTAAAGTACTGGGCATTGATGCCAACTTGCTTGGAGCAGGTTCTGTGGGTGTTGTGGCAGAAATTGGTTGGTTGGGGAGCATGGCTGGTGGTAATTCATCTGACAACATCCCCATATGTGAGGACCCATCATCAAGGTGAATTGCATGAAATATTGCATTGAGATTTGTGTCTTCCTCTTCCGCCACCAGCCCATCATTTACCAGATCCTCTTCCTCATCTTGAGAGTCTGGAGCAAGGAGAAAGGAAGGGAAGACTTCTGTATTCCAGTAATCCAGCAACTTCTGGACAAACAGTGAGTCTTGGTTCTCAATTAGCCATTTTTTGTATGCCTCAGCCTCACTGAAGTAATTGACACAAGTTAATTTCCCAATACCATCCTTATTCATCTTAGGATCACCTCCAAGAAGAAAGCAAACCTATCATGACTGGGAGTGAGGTTCTGTAGATCGGATATCAAAAGAATTGATGTACAATAATAGCAACCACACAAATAAAGCCAAAGGTAGCACCCTGCACATGACCATGCAGGGGGCTGTTCCTATTAAATACAAGCTTATGAATCTAGCAGTTTAAAGCTCTCGAACCGTTCGCCAGGAGACAGGCCATCTGTGTAGTGAATAATTAATAAAATGGTTTGGCTCAGAAAAATAGCAAGAAACATACAGAGATTAGAATCCTATTTTTTAAGAAACCATCGATGGCATTGATGTTCTTGTTTGTGAAGAGTATGGGAGGACTTGATGGATAGTGTTCTTTCACTGATCTAACATTGGGTTTGAAACCAAGAAGGCGTACCAATTCAGGGTTGTTTGCCATTCTGTTTTCATTGCCTTTTGGATTGCTCTCAAATAGTGTCGATGTCATGTTGAATATCAAAGCTGCATTGTTTTGTGCATGCAGAAGCATGTTGGAGTGACCAGATGACATGCTTGCCATGAAGTGAGAACAGGGTGGTGTGTTAGCCATTGAATGGTTAACATTAGTGTTTGGAAGTTAGGTTAGTTAACTGGAAAATAACCGAGACCAGACTGGACCTAACCGCAAAAAGACTGGACCATGGTTAGTGGTTATTCAATTCTGGAAATGAAATAACCGGTTATTTTGCAGTCAACTAACCGTTAAAAAACCGGTTATAACCGGTTATAACTGGCCCTGATATACCCCTTCAAAACGCACCTAGGAACGTGAAAAACGCTTAAAATTTGACTGAGTTATTGAAAATATCGTCCAAAATAGTAGATTTTCAAGAGTATTATCATAAAATTGTCAATTCTTCACCGAATTTAGCGTTCTTGAGCTCATTCTAAAGCTACGATGCATGGCAATAATGTTTACTGAAAGGAATATGAGAAATATATGCCATTTAAATTGATTTTCTATTTTTTCGGTCCTAACTGGTTAGTAACTGCAACTAATTGGTTTTAGTCAGTTATCTTTGGTCCAGTTAGGTTATTTTGGGTCTGGGAACGAACCCTAACCGGTCTCAGTCTCGGTTAGAGCCCCTGGGCACCCAATAACCTAACCTAACCTAACCGGACTTTCAAACACTAGTTAACATCAGTGAATGCAGTGCATACAAGCTCTTGGAACTGTTCATGCTTCTCCATGTACTCATGGAATTTCAGAGGAATGCAAGCATATAGCTCCATGGTTTGTCCAGAAGCAATTGAATTGGAATCCAGATACCAATCCTAGTTATTCCACTTAAAGGGAGGACGAGGATCCACAAAGAAAACAAGTGTGCAAAAACTTTCCCTAATTTAGTAATTTCCTCATCATGCACAGAGAGATCACTGGAAGGATTAGATGAGGTTGAAACTTTCCCTTGTCCTTGGGGGGGTTTGCAGTACAAAGAAGCAAGTTCCTGGCAAAGTTCTAAATTTTCTGCTTTGACAGAATTGAGCACTGCATGTGCATCCTGCAGAGCCTTGATGGAAAAAGAAAAAATGAGCCATAAAGTATAGTATTAATCAGACACAATCCTAACCTTGAGAAGTGACTTCGCATCCAGGCCCAGTATACTTTCCTGGACAAAGTCGACATTGGAGACACCACCAAAGCCTAGAGAACTTTCAGATCCAGACCTAGAGACAGAGCCAAGCTGTGAAGACATTGAGGTCAACAAGAAGCCACAAAATGGAGAAAAGTTATGAAGCAAGGATGTGGGTTTGCCATGATCTGGGCTGCTGCTTTATATTCTTGACCATCCTAGGGATTCAGGTGGTGGTGGCTGGCCAATGTATAAATTACTGCAGCCTTTAGCCATCTCTGAATCAGCTCATGCAAAGTGAAAAAATGGAAATACAAAAGAACTCAGAGCATCGGGAGAGAAACATACTCAATTATCACATAATACACTGTGCTTACATCATTGCTTAATTACCAAGCCTGCCTTAATGACCAAGGGATATAAACCAACTGGCAATTTAAATTTAAATTGGGAATCAGAGTTGAATCCTGGCTCTGTGGGCACTATTAAAGTTTAAATTTGTATTTGAAACACATGAACTCAATGGAAAAGGATACATAATAGCAATCTGAAATCCATGTGGCACACTGAGCGTCGAGCATGGAAGAATCTTCTCTTTTGGAAGATATCAGAAAGAAATTTCTACAAAAGGAAACTTTGAATTCTTCTTTCTGCATACAAGATATTTGACCCATACACATTCAAAATTGCATGTCTCACTACAAAAACAGTTTTGGTGGAAAGCTAAAGGTCAAACCTACCTAGCACAGCCAAAATTTAAGTGAATGGTGTGAGTTAATGTAGAAGGATAACTCTGTATGCATTCCCACATGGTCTCCCCAAAAGATTATGAAGGATTGTGGATATGAGTGCATACCCTGCTATACTATGGGTTTCTGAGCTTCAGAACCCATACACCTATAAAATATTCTGACCCTCATAGAGGGTACAGGTTTCTGTGGGGTGAGGGCATAGGTGTCAAGCATTCACTCTGAACTTCTTGCATAGCTGAAGCCAAGAGGGAAGGAGGAGGCAAGAATGGGTGGATCTGGGATCAACACCCATGAGTGAGCAATGAGCAGTTACAAGATACTCAGCTGGCCCAACATGATTATGCATACTGTAGGAAGTACAGATATACAAAGCACTACATGTAGTGCAAGAGGATGGCAAGACTGCTGACAAGATGGTGGTTCAAGACAAAAGATCAATATATTATATAAGATATCCAAATCTAGCTATATACCATTGTTTGACTATGGCCTCTGGGCATTCCCTTCCAATCCTATATCACAATAGGTCATCATGAAGACACTCTGGGGTTACCTGTGCTGATCACTATGCAGCACAGCTACTAAGTATAACTTCTATCAACACTGTAGCATAGTTTCCAAGGAATGGGCCTCTTTAAAAACATTTGTACAATATATTGTATGTACCAGAACTTCCTGGAATCAATTCCCCAAATCAACCCTGTGACTAAGTGACAATGATTTCATCCACAACCATAGGTCTTGATCAATTGTGTCAAACACCACATACTCATCTGGGTACTCTGATCCATAATCCATTGCTAGAAGGGACCCTTGAAGAATGGACTCCACTGAGATGAATACTGAAAGTGAGTGATGGCAAGACCAAAGACTGGTAAAACAAAGGTCAGTATCTCTTTGATGATTTTGCAGGCCAGTTGGAAGATCCAGAGGTAGAATTAGTGCAATGTGGTACTCCTTCTCAAAAACTGTGAGCCCAAAGATGAGAAGTAAGCAAGCAAAAATATAACTGCTCTCATCAACCTTGACTATGACACAGTCATATCGTGGTTTGCCATGAAACTTTGGGTTGACTCAAAGAAGATTGGTTCCAACAAGCCAATCAACTGTTGATTCAAAGCTAATCTGGAGTAATTGAAAAGGCAATATCTGTTGAGAGGGTGTTGTAAAAGTTCAGAACCAGATTCAAACTATGTCTTACCTCATCATTAATTCCAAATCTCACAGTCCTTTGGAAATATTTTGTGAAAAAAAGTCCAAGCTTGTGAAAATCCTTGAACACAATATCTGCACTATGCTGGTGCTCAAGATCTGAAAATTAAATTTGTGTGCATGGGGAACCAAGGGAGACATGGTCTGATCCAATGACTTTGCATGTTGCCACATCATCAGAAGATGAGCTTGATGAATTTTCATGAGATAGATCAAGATAGTCAATGTCCTCCCATATCACAGTTGCAACCAAGTCAGCATGATCAAATTTGAGGATCTATAAAGAGTTATTCATTTCTTGATATAGTTCATATCCAGTATAAATTAAATACCTGAGATGCAACATTTTTGAAGTTGGTGCGAAATTTGTAGGTGTTCTTGAAGGCACCATGGCATTTTTCATTTGGCTTGGTATTGTAATTTTGTGTTACCCCTTTTCATTGAATATCATCAAACATATGCTTGTGTGTATGTGCTTTTGGAAACAACCAAGATTTATCAGGATTGAATTCCATATATTTCTAAAGAAAATTTATCTTAGAATGAGAATGCTTATAGATCCCATACATACCTGAACTTCTTCAAAAACCAAAAGTTCTTGCCTACCATTTTGAATGGTGCTCTCCATATGAACCGTGAGTGATGTATACATGTCAAGTTCAAGATAACTTTGCATGAGCTTGAGAAGCTGGTATCCACAAGGACATCCATCCTTAGTAAAGACCTACTTACCTTTGACATATCTTCATATTTACTTCCATCTGCAAATTCCCCTGTCTTGATAATTGAACTCAAATGATTTAAATCACTCCATGGAGGAATCAAGTTAACCCTGTCAATGTCAAACAATCAGAATCACATTCATTGAGGGCAAGGAGAACATACTGGGTATCAATCAACTTCAAGACCTTCCAAGGTCCTCAGCTATGCTTTTGACCTCTTCCCAAATGTGGTCTGAAAATAAACCACCATGATAGGCATGAAGGTGGTCCCAAGAAATGGCCTGGTGAATATCTACCCAATGTTCTGGATGCGAGGTAATGATGAACCTAATGTTGTTTGGAAGGTCACAGTCGATTGGAGCAATGTAGGACAGGATCTCAACGACGCTCCTAGCCGCATCTTTCAACTCGTCTAGGGCATCAATGAGAATGACGACTACATCGCGTGACTTAGAGAGTTCTCGGATCGGGTCTAACAGAAGAGAGGTGACTTGCTCGTCCGGCGTCGCAGGATACCCGTTCTTCAGGGCCATCTCAAGCACGCGAGCCGCTGGCGGAGATATGGCAAGCTGCTGCGCGAGAGTGGATTATTTTATTTGGATCGATTGTATCGGGAATGTTTCGAGAGATGAAGAACTGAGCAGAGACGGGAGTGTGGATCTTCCGGAGATTCTCAACAATGGTGGCAGAAAGCGTGGATTTGCCACTGCCTGGGATACCCGTGACCCAGAAGATAAGCTCAGCATTGGAAGGCTGCTGGAATAGCCATTTCTCTATATCTGCAAGGACTTTAACACGAGTGTCTTGGGCGCAAAGACTCTTGCCCTGATTTGTATGTTCGTAGTTTGCAGCAATATGGCTGGCGAGCTTCTCTTTGATGAACGTCTAAATGGCATCAATAAGTGGCATTCTTGATCTGCAACAAATAACTAGAAGCTAAGGTACGTTACGACGTTCAATCTCCTGATTTACCCAAACTCTCGTGACGGCTGCTGCCTGGAAGGAACCAACTGAAATCACTGTCATCCACTGGCAGGTGTCGTCGTACCAAGAATGTTTCTTTCGCTTTCGTCAATTTTGACTTCCAGTCCTCCAAATCATCCGCGGACAGTGACTTTACCAACTGCCCAAGTTCAAAATCAATGGCTGGCAAATAGAAAGATAAATGTACAACACGCTCCTTTGCCCATCGGCAAACATCATTCACCGCCACGCTAACTATGCGTAAGCATTATCAAAATCAGGGAAGATTCAATGAAACCCACCAAATCTTGTTGAGATCCCCCTTTAGTACCGACAGGTCCTCACCAACAACCCCAACAAGTGTGCTGATGTACTCAATCGCTTCCTGCGCAAATTCATATACTTTCTTTTGAATAAGCGGGATATTCTAGTTGAATGTGTCAGTGGGACGGAATGAGCCTGACAAAATGGCGCACGATACCAAGCTCAACCAGATTGAGCAATGCTTTAACGAGAGTTCTCGCGGGCATAGGGCTGTCGGGTATGAACCCTTGAGCGCATCGAGAGTCTTTGATTTCAACGACCGATCGATCGTTTCCGCAAGTTTTAACCAGTTGGAGTCTGCGTGAGCAGCACCCCATTCACGGAGCTGAGCGATAGCGTCGCCGTCAATGTTCCAAGCTTCCCACTTGGGCGTAGGATTCGTCTGCGTGGTGCGATGGGCTGTGAGTCGATATCTCAAATTCAAAACGGATAATCGCACCCCAGTCTTCTTGTCTTTATCTGGTTTAGACTGTGCATCCGCTGTACCTGTGCCTGTTCATGGATCGTTGGAGGCTTTTGTGCTGGAAACACTCACTGATCGCAGCTACGCCCCTTCCCTCCGACGAATCTCCACCATTATCGGTAGGCGAGATTGTGATCTCTGGCGACCTCGCTGGATATAGGTTTCGCTATCAGTCCTTGCAGGCAATCGAGACGAAGATGCTTACCAACGCCCGCATCACCTCCCGTTTTCGACGACTCCCCTTCAGCCGAAAGATTGGGCGCTGCGGTTCTGGAAGGCTGTGGTGGAGTGAACTTTGCTTTGATGTTGTTGATTTCGTTCTTCAGCTTGGAACGCCAGTTGGGCTTTCGCTGGACTGTCCCTTCTGAGGGGCCTTGCATGGTGGTGGGAAGCAACGTGTAAGTAGGTGGAAGTTGGATGTAAGCAGTAGGCGCCCGGATACGTGAGTGTAAGCAGTAGGCGCCAAGATATGGTCACAGTGCTGTGAACGTGGCTACACGCTTTCAGTTTCGCCTCATTACACTAGGCAGCTTCGTCGTACGAGACAGCCAAGATATCGATATTGATGAAGCACAGAGCGTGACCAGGTTTTAGTGAAACCGTCAAAAGATTCTGAACTTCAACGACAAGACACTCCATAACGCAACACATAACATAACACATACGAACATAGGATACATCGGTGCATCTTTTGGATAAACATAACCACTCCAAGCGTCGGAGAGCATGCCGACGAAACCGCTGAGGGACCCCGCTCCAAACGCCCCCACGGAATGCTCAGAGCTTCCCAAGCGAAGCAGCAGTCGTACTCTGCCCAGCAGCCTTAGCGCGCTTCCTAAGCATCTGGGTAGACTTATTGCCACGAAGTCCACCACCCCACACACGGCGCTGCTCCTCATACTTGTCAGAGCTATCCACCAAACCCCATCAACACCCTCACATAAAAAAAGACAACAACAAAAAACTCACAAGTTAGCCTTGGCAGCGCTAACAAGCGTAGCGAGCTCCCTCTGATCCTCGCTCTTCACTTCCTGAAGAGCGACAACGGCAGCCGTCTTCTTGTGCACGACGGTTCCGAGACGGGCTTTACCCTTCACGATGACATAGGGGACGCCCATCTTGCGGCACAGGGCGGGGAGGAAGACGACGAGCTCGATGGGGTCGACGTCGTGTGCGATGACGACGAGGGCGGCTTTCTTGGCTTCGATAAGGGCGACGATGTGGTTGAGGCCGTATTTGACGAAGAGGGGTTTCTTGGAGTCCTGTTCATAATAATGTCAGAGGTTTAGTAACGAATGAAAGGGATGAACGGAACCTTGGCATCCTTCTCCTTCTCCTCGGCAGCAGAGGCAGCAGCAGCAGTCAAACGGGCCTTCTTCTCCTGCTTCGACTCGGGGCGATACTTGTTCAACAGCTTGAACAACTGCGTAGCGGTGTTCTTGTCCAGTGTGTGCGAGAACTGGGCAATGGCGGGTGGGACTTTGAGACGTTGGTGCAGGATGACCTTTTGCCTTTGGAGGCGGACGTATTCGGGCCATTTGACGAAACGGGTGAGGTCGGTTTGGGGTCGGATGTCCTGGCCTGGGCCGAAGGTGAGTTTTAGAGCAACAAGAGAGACGACTACACGATAACGTACCGATACCAAAGTTCTTGGCATTCGCCTCGAACAAAGGGTTCTTCTTCGCCTTGGTGGTCTTGCTCGCACCAAAGGGGGCCGCGGCGGGTTTTTTGCCAGTTCCGGATTTGGCTTTGGGCTGGTCATTGAGACGAAGTGAGCAATTATCCCTTTATTCAAGACGATCGCGCTTCGGAGCTCTAATGTCGTGCATACTCGTAGGAGTACGCACGACCCAGCAAAAGTAGGCTTCATAGCACAATGGCTCAGCCGAGAACGAGTCTCAATTACTTTCGGTGCAGTTCTATAAGAGATGTTTGTTAGGGCACACAGACGTCATCCACTCCAAAAACTCACCATCCATCCCAAGTTCTCAGTCATCCAACACAAAACATGCGATGGAGAACTACTGCTGGTCGAACTCCTCCGCGCGAGGGTCTCACGTACCATTTTAATCTTGTTTTTCTTGAGGAGGGTGCAAAGTGGTGTCTTGTGGATGGGAGAGATTTGTTTCGATTTAAACTCCGATCGGTGATAGCCGAAGATAATTTTGCGGTACTGGCACTCCTTGGGCACTCCTTACAAGTTGTATCTACCAACATCTCGTCAGTTACGGAGTTCGATTAGTCTCGCACCCGAAAGCGCTTATATGGGTATGACACTTTAAATAAAGACGCTCTTCCAACCATCTTTGTTAATATATCGGTCATTATACGTGCCTGTCATCGCAAACCCACTGCTATGGACTTACGCGCGAAAGCTGGGTTCGACTCCCAGACAGAGAGGAGCGGTGTCCCTTTGAGAATCTTTTTTTTTACCAACTTGTGCATTTGGGCTTAGTTTCAAATAACGTTCAGCGTTCGACCTGCATCTTGGGGCCCCAGCGCGCCCGCTTGGGTAGGTGTGTTGCTAATCAGATTGTGGGTTTTTTTTCTCTAAAGAGTACTCTGCGGACGTACATTAGCAGCAGTACACTATCTGGGACTGGATTTCATAAAAAATGCAGGAGTATGTGACATATCCAAAGTATGCGTAAGTTTTTTCTTTTTGAACAGGAAGTTCCACAATGCCCTGATTCTTTTTTCCAAAAAAAGTTCCGCCTTAGGCCTAGCTAGCACCTCTAAATCCCCATCCCATAATCGACCTCACCGAGAACCCGAGGATCGTCGTCCCATCTGTGAGATACCAAGCACGATGTTAGTAACCCTAATCTATTTCTACGAAGTTCTTTGTTAGTATATCGGTTAGTACACGCGCCTGTCATGACCGTATGATTGCTCGCGCGAAAGCTGGGTTCGACTCCCAGACAGAGAGTTTGATTATCTTATTTCATTCTTTTTTCCAACTCGCATGTACCCAGAACATGATGGCCAACCTGCCTCCGGACCTGCTCTACCTCAGACAAATAATTAAATTTAAAAGAATCAACCTAGTGAGTGCGTCGAAAGGACCATATTGATGATCCTAATTTACTTATTTTAATGTTCTCTGTTATTATATTGGTTAGTACATATGCCTGTCATCACATATGCTTTTTGAAATGATCGTACGAAAGCTGGGTTTGACCCCCAGACAAAGAATTTGATGCATTTCTTGGTGGTACTGTTTTTGCCAACTCGTGTGTTCCCAAAACATCATCGCTACCTGCCTCCGGACCTGCTCTAAGCACCTCAGATAAAATATTTATTTGAACAATTTAATTTGAAAGCACCACATTCGTGATCTTATACCAGTTAGTAAGTTACACACGCCTGTCATGACATTCAACATCTTAAGCTTGGAAATGATCGCGCGAAGGCTGGGTTCGACTCCCAGACAGAGAGTTAGCCTACGCATATGGATTTTTTCTCTTTACCGACTCGCGTGTGGCGATGGGAGGAGGGAGAAATTTGTTTGGATTTGAGCTCCGATCAGTGGTAGCCGAAGATATTGTTGGCTCTCCTTACAAGTTGTATCCGACCAACATCTCGTCAGTTACGGAGTTTGATCAGCCTCGCACCCGAAAGCGCTTATGTATGTATGACACTTTAAATTAAGACGCTCTTCCAACCATCTTTGTTAATATATCGGTCATTATACGCACCTGTCATGGCAAACCCAGGGCTAGGGACTTGCTGTGTACCTTTTGAGAATTGATTTTTTTTTACCAACTTGTGCATTCGGGCTTAGTTTCTAATCGCATATATGGCTGACACTTTATATTAATTATAAGACCCTCTTTCAACGATCTCTGTTAATATATCGGTCATTTGGTCGCCGTTACGAGCATTAGCTGGGTTCGACTCCTAGACAGAGACTTCACATTCAGGGATACCTTGTGAAGATTGATTTTTTCTTTCATTATGCATTGGGGTTCATTTTTAAATAATGTTCGACCTGCATCTTGATTCCCCAACGCGGGCGCTGTTGGAATTCCAAGCGCATCACGTTCGAGGAAACAATGATGCATTGCTCCGTAGTTATTCCTCCATCATCACATTGATCATTTTGTGCTGCATGTGATGATATTTATTTCAAACTAGACTACGTATTTAGGTAGCTAATTACAATACGAAGACCTCGCGCGTTTGCGAGGGTCCCTTTTCAACCCGAGTGCTCACGACGACCTGAGCATTTCAACACGTGCTTGGGTATGTTGGAATAATACCCTAGTGTGCGGTCAGCTATTTCACGGACTTCGTAGATAGATCGAGAATACTTAATTACTAAGCCCGAGGACATCACCGAGGTGATTTCTCACACACCTAGTATCCTGTAGTATATTCTAGTATTTACATTCTGTAGTATATAAGGGCAACGAAATTGCCCTCTATAATAATCATTTATTCTTCGAACTTACCGCGCTATATATACTCTCAACAGGGTAGGTGTGTTGCTGATCAAATTTTGGGGTTTCTTTTTTTGTACAGAGTACCCTGCGGACGTACATTAGCAGCAGTGAGCTGGGAGTATGAGACATATCCAAAGTATCCGCAAGTTTCTTTTTTTGAAGTTTTGGAAACAAGAAGTTCGACAAATGCCCTGATACTTTTTTTCAAAAGTTCCGCCGCAGGCCTAGCACCTCTAAACCCCCATCCCATAATTGACCTCACCAAAAACCCGAGGATCGTCGTCCCATCTGTGAGATACCAAGCACGACGTTAGTGACCCTAATCTACGTTTGTGAAATTCTTTGTTAGTATATCTCCGAGTCTTTGTTAGTATATCGGTTAGTACACGCGCCTGTCATCCATTCACATCACATATCGTATGATCGCGCGAAAGCTGGGTTCGACTCAAGTTCGACTCCCAGACAGAGAGTTATGTATAGTAACGGCTTCTCTTGTTTTTGCCAGTTGACTCAGGACCTGTTTTGTCTAACCTCAAATAAGACCATTACGGAGTAAAATTTGTAAAATCAACTTCAACATCTCAGCCCTACAAATTCCCACCCCCAGTTCCCCGCTGAAAAAGAACACAGGCCCAATATATGCTAGATCCAATTCAGCACCCGAAAGCGCCTACGTGTGGCCCTTCAAATCAAGACCCTCTTTCAACCATCTCTATTGGTATATAGATTAGGATACGCCTCTGTGATGACGTCGTCGTAGGGCGAAAGCTGGCCAGACAGAGAGATGTTGCCTCCCAATTTTATATATATCATGATTCATGAGTCCCCCAAACATAATCGGATGTTAAACGCGCCCCATCAGTGATCCTAATCTGCTTATTTATAGTTCTTTGTTAGTATATCGGTTAGTACACGCGCCTGTCATCTGGCATCTTACTCCGGTTGAGCGCGCGAAAGCTGGGTTCGACTCCCAGACAGAGAGATTATTTGCAACATTTGGTGTCTTTTTTTCTTTGCCAACTCACATGCTAATGATTCCTGCCTCGAGACCTGCTCTCCATCAAAGAAATACTTATACATACTTGGAAGAATTTATCTAACAGGTTAAAATTTGTCAAATCAGACTCAACATCTCAGCCCTACAAAACCCCACCCCCAGTTCTTCGCTGAAAGAACACAGGCCCATTATCCGCCAGCTTATACTGAAGCGCCGCACTATGAGAAATTAACTTGACACTACCACCACCAACTGGAGTAGAAGGTCCCAGATGCAATGCAACCTGCCAGTTGAACCATCAGAACGACTACTTACTGTACCACACAGAAACAGAAAACGGCTCCGCTGACAGCCCCACGCCGTCCTCTAGCAAGAGGCCACGTCCATTATCCATATGATATGTACACATTTGCAGCAGGTGCCAAAACAAGTCGTCAGGATCCCCAGGCGTAACGACGTGATAGCGGATGATCATAGTCGCTTTACAAGAGCCTCTTTCAACGATCTGCGTTAATATATCGGTCATTATACGCGCCTGTCATGGCGGTTGGAAGCCGTTACGCGCGAAAGCTGGGTTCGACTCCCACACAGAGAGTCAGTCAAAATTTAAAATTAAAGGAAGACTCGCGGCGTGTTGATGATGGCTTAATTTTGACGGTCTTTGTTTTTGCCAACTCGCGTGTACCCAAAATATGATGCATGATGCATTGATGGCTAACCTGCCTCCGGCTACTCTACCGCAGATAAATAATTAAATTTGAAAGAATCAACCTAGTGAGTGCGTCGAAAGCACCACATTGGTGATCCCAATCTCCTTATTTTAATGTTCTCTGTTATTATATCGGTTAGTACACGCGCCTGTCTTGCGCCTGTCATCACATATATGCTTTTCGAAATGATCATACGAAAGCCGGGTTTGACTCCCAGACAGAGAATTCGATGCCTTTCTGGGTGATACTGTTTTTGCCAACTCGCGTGTTCCCAAAACATCATCGCTACCCGCCTCCAGACCTGCTCCAAGTACCTCGGATAAATAATTTAATTTGAAAGAATCAACCTATAACTTAGCTAGTGTGTAGAAAGCACCACGTTTGTGACCCTAATCTACTTCTCTGAAGTTCTTTGTTAGTATATCGGTTAGTACACGCGCCTGTCATAACTTGAACTGATGCTCTGCACATTGTTTGATCGCGCGAAAGCTGGGTTCGACTCCCAGACAGAGAGTGAGCATTTACCCGAGTAGTATATTTTCTCTTTTTTTTGCCGACTCGCGTGTTAATGGTGGCTTCCTGCCTCAGGACCTGCTCTGCATCAAAGAAATACTTAAATTTGAAAGTATTAACCTAACAAGTTAAAAATTGTCAAATCAACCTCAACATCTCAGCCTTACAAAACCCCACCCCCAGTTCCCCGCTGAAAAAATACAGGCCCATTATCCGCCAGCTTATATTGAAGCGCCGCACTACGAGGAATCAACTTGACACCACCACCAACTGGAGTAGAAGGTCCCAGATGCAAGGCAACCTGCCAGTTGAATCATCAGTACGACTACCACCAGGAACACGACATCAGAGGAAACACCCACGAACCTCTCCGCTGACAGCCCCACTCCGTCCACTACCAAGAGGCCTTACGTCCAAATGATATGTGCACATTTGCAGCAGGTGTCGAAACAAATCGTCAGGATCCCCAGGCGTAACGACGTGATGGCGGATGATCAGAGTAGCTTTGGCCTATGCATCGTCCATTCTCAGCCTGAGTGGATCAAGCGAAAATAACAGGACGTACCTTCAAACATGCACACCGTAACGCACGCGCAAACCTACTAACATCAAGCAACGAGAACCCTATCCACTCCAAAGTCGCTATATCGTCCAGGATAACCAGCTTCGCGTCCCCGTGGTCCGGTTTGTGTAATGCGGTTTGCAAGAGATCGAAGAGGGGACGTAGTGTCGGTGGTGAATGTAGATCTGCCGTCTCTCGAGGAGCCGGGGCACGAAAATCCGGTTGGACGTGCTTCATAACATCTATGAATTCCAGCGATCCATTCGTTATCTGGTGCGAGATGTTGAGGTTCTGTCGCACAGTCAATCACTCAACAAGGTCATACAAAAGACATCGGATGGATACGAACAAGCTTGGACGCAACCGCTTTCCACTTTGTCAGGTCCTCTGAAACGGACAACACGATCGTTTTTGTTGGTCCATTTGTTTCTTTGACGTGCGATATTAGGCTTCGGTGGAGGAGAAAGTCTGCTGGAGCGGCTAGTTCGTCTGTTATCAGGAGGAGGATGCCTTTGGGTAGGTTGAATGGAGCTAACATTGGTGGTCGTTGTGAGCCTGTGAGGTCAAATTAAATCAATAGAAATTCGAGGATGGTGTTTGCCATCGATGGCTCGACCAAACAACTTGAAGATTCCTCCGCTCATTTCTTGCTCATTTCGCTCACTTTTAGAGCTGGCCAAAGGCGTTGCCTTCCCGCCCCTTCCCGTATATAGTCACATCTTCCTATGTAATATGATCGTCAATTTGTTTGCACATACCCTGAGGCTCTGGCAGAACTAGTAAACAAAACCACAAAGCAGAGCATTTTTATATCTGATTTCGTGCGGACTTCACGATTCGAATGGGAGAGTCAAGAGGCCTTTAGAGGCATCTCGTCCAACAAGTCACCTAATGGTAAGCTACTACTAGCGACCGGTACAAAACTAAATTGTCTTCTAACATATCGTAACAAAATGAGACTATATCTTCCTGACGCAAATTAATAAGGCTAACCTTCGCAGATGACCACTGCAGGAGCACATCCTTAACCCTCACATCCAAACAAATGCGACACATTTCACAAATTAAACCATCCTCCAGCACAGAAAACGCCATTTGAATAGCGTCCGTTGGGAATTCTATGACGTTGAGCCAGACCTCATTCAAAAAAATGACTTACGTACCGGGCCTAACCGACCACAGCAGAGGCGCAGCTACCATCATCCACCCGTCCGAGACTTTCTTCTGCTCTGCGTATCCACACACCCTAATGGGTTGGTGGGCGTCTGGAGGCTGCATGAGGAGACGTTTAAGGAGCTCCGTTCGTTGCATTTGGAGATTCATAAGACGCCTCAGATATATCGGCCCCATGCGCTTGGAATTATCATCTGTGATATCGCGTAACGACCAGGAAAGAAGATGTGCCGACGTGCTCGTTGCAAGATCATCAAGGCCATGGTGTGCAGCGAGAGAATATAGCACCAATGGGTTCTCCGACGCATGCGACAGAAGGAGGGCGTGGATATGCGTTGAAGGCAGAATATGCGCCTTCGGGATAACACCGTGCGTCGTCATCCGATCTATCGCCTTTTCCAGGTCGTTGAGCGCTGGTGAACGACCCCCGCACGGCACGTCGTACAAGACGCACAGGATGGTGCTCAGAACGTCCGCATTGTCTGGGATGTCGATCACTCCATTAAAGTGACTGTGAACTCTCATTTGCGCAAAAAAAGCGGTGCTAGAGACACTCGCCAATTCGTCTGAGTTGATGTAGAACAGAACAGAGTCCATCGACCGAAAGACGACATCAGAATCGGAGCGTCTGTGAGCGCCGAGATAAAATGTCGAAGAAACCAGGAGGTTTGGGTCGGAGATGTTCGACCTTGACCTTGAAGGGGAGGAAATAGACTTAGGGAGCCTTAGGGATTGTCTTACGAGGAAAATTATCAATTGACATACCATTGATTTGCAGGAGTCGAAGAGTCGTAGTCTAGGGAATGGGGAATGGAGCGCTGACAGTTGTATTTAGGGTTCATAACAGAACCACCATCAAGGAGACACCGACATGCAAGGCCTAGGCCAAAAACGTTCGCCTAGGCCAAGGCAAATCAATTTGTCCACGCCAGATTATAGACTCTTGAGTCGACTAGCTTGCGGCTGTATCGGAGGACACCTCGAAAAACGATGTAAAACGCGCCTGAAGGAAACAAAAGGGTCTTTCTTTTGTTCAACTATTTACATGTACCGTTGCGGCGGCAGCGAACTTTTCTGTGGAGCCTTTGGTAGGCGTCGGTTTCGTCGTCATGAGTGGATACACCCGGTTCGGCACGTGGAGTAGTAAGTCGGCTTGGCATCTTCGACCTGACTGGTGACGGATCCAAAATGTGAATTATGCAGCATACGCAGGACAGTAGATAAGACAAACCTCTCTCTCGATTGCGAGTGTGAGCTCGGTTGCTTTCCGTGCATTAGCTGACAGCTATGTACCTGCAGAATTGTAGACCGTTGACAAGACTTCCTTTGTCCGCCATTGTTTACACAAAACAGCTAGAGAAACCCTTGACGAACCCCGCCTTTATGACGTGGGGCGGCGCGCCAAGTTGAAGTGGCAGCCCCCTGTGTTTCTGCCACCGTGGACCGAGTGGCGCATAGGCCTAAAACGGTTGTTTGGGGTCCAAACAGGGACGCTCGAAAGAAATTTCGAAGTGGTCTGCGATTATGCAGTTAGCTGGAAAACGTTCCACGTTGGTGAGCAACTTGAAGATGGTGGTGCGAAATCAAGGCGTTGTTGTGTGCCATTATTTGCGCCATGTTGACTTACCAAACTCTTCTTTTCACACCAGGACATGGCGGAAAAGGTTAACAGAGCAATAGGTACGTGTCACACGATGCAGTCATCATTCACGAGGTTTATTCCACTACTTGCCCAACAGCAGTCTTCCCTTTCGACTTTGTGCGGTTTAGTAGCCCTGAGTGAGCGCTAAGCATTGCCACGCATTGCTGTAACCGTGATCCAAGTCATCCCCTTGATCAAGCACATCCGACTGACAGTGTCACCGTTCGTTCTCATACTCAAGTGGGGTACACGCCGCGCGGGGTGGAAAAGCACGGGCAAAGCTCAACTTTTAGAGCTGCCAAGCGTTCCGGGTGTCAGCGAGGTCCTAGCAGACACCGAGCCGCCGAAATCTATATGCTTTGGTGAGAAGCCAAGTCTCTCTATTTTCTTATCGAGAAGGGCCGCGGAGTTCAAACAACACAAACCAAGGGACGACGGACGATAATAATTTTATCCGCACTCATTTCACACTACTGATAAGAAAAAAATACAGGAACTACATTCACATCTCGCTGCGACAGACTTGTGACAGAGGATGGATTCCATGGCCAGGAACTCTTTCATTGATATTCGGGTCGATGCTCACTCACACTTGGTGTCACACACGGCCGCTTTCTTCAGCTTTTCGCTTACAAGCTGACAGCACTGACGTTTGTTAAAGCAGGTTAGCTGAAGAACTGATCGTAGAAATCAAGTTTCCCGATCTGACTTTCCAATAAAGATGGAAGGCAGGTCTATGTTCCGTTTACGTACGATGCAATGGCAACTTCCAAGAACTTCCGCGGTCCTCGCACGCCGTCTCTTTGTCAGACCCTCGGCAAATAAAAGGTCCCCATTTTTGTCAACTTTCTGCCCAACGTTTGGTGCAACCGCAGTATGTACGTCTCCGAGGACCGATAGCGCTCAAATGTTTCCCAGTGTCAGGTTCTACGCCTCTTCTCCCCGTTCATTCAAGGCGACATTTGTGCTTCGTTTGGAATATAATACGCCGTTCCCAAGCACACCGATACCTCGCTACAGCAGAGGAATGGCAGAGTCCGAAATGAAATTATGATTGGAATACGCCAAAGGCCCCCGAAGATATGCGATAACGAAATCAAGTTACGCAAGGTGAGCTTTCCAATCTGGCTCATGCTTCCAGGAACATGTTCCTTTCCCCTGTCCATTCGGGCATTCGGGGAAGGATCCTGGTGAATCGAACTTTTTTTTTTTTCCATCACAAACCAAGAATTATCTGACCGTGGAACACCTTCGACAGATGACCAGGAGAATGAAAAGGTCCGGCAGCGTGCTTTTTCAATTTTCATGGCCCGAAGCGTTCCAACAAATGAAATGTGTACCATTCCTGCAAGGAGCCGTTCACTATGGGACGAAACTCGAGAACGAATGAGTGTGGCGTCCGTTTCACTAAACGTTGCCTTGTAAATGAGTTTGCGAGACTTCATTCATGTTACCTTTTTGGAAAATAAATATTTGAACCTGTCAGACACATAAAACAGATTATACCCTCGGCAGAACTGATTGTCAAGAATATGTCAAGGGAAGTGTTCTATGAGTCCGAAATGTGAGATAAGTGGGCGTTGACAAACTTACGACAGTTAATGAAAAAAATCTAAGGCGCGAGTACAGCTGCTGGGCGCAAGAATTGAGCAAGTAAACGACCTCTTTATGAATGAACGGAAATTGATTTTGGACGGCCACAGCACGTCTCCGCATCCACGTGGGGTGGGGTAGGTTGGCGTTCCTAAATTTAGCGTTCAACGATCCGTTTTTGGAAATTCTCCAATATATTTTTGTTGATGTCATACGTTCGTCAGAGATGATGGCGTTCTGAAACCCTATAAGATCTGCAGGACGGGGTTGTTAATATCCCACAAAATGAGTACAAACACAACCAACCCTAGCGACACTCAGGCGCCCACAAGCCCTCGAACAGGAGGCTCAGGATTGCATGTCGGAGATAAGATCAAGTAGGTCACTTAACTTTACGTAGCGGCATTTGTCAATTCTGAATATCTTCAATAGAGGTGCCATTGAAATCGTGCATGGTTGTAGCTTTAAAATTTATCCCTCTGAACGAGTGATTAACTCAATAATTCGTCAATTTAGGAGCAGGCGACAATCTTCGTGGATCCGCCCTTGGTGCGATTGATCAAATGGGGCGAGGTGGGGTTACGAAGAACGAAGAGATTTCTCGGAAAGGAAGAGAGGAATTCGAACGCGGTATGGGGCGCTGGAAGGGTGGGTATCCCATAAAGTTGGGAATTTCACCCCTGAAATTGCAGGACAAGGTCATCAAACTGGTGCAGGCGTTTATGGGCAGGCTGCAACCCAGGATACGGCTGTCCCGTATGGAGCACAGGGAGCACCCTCTCCATACGGACCCCAGGGCGCTGCTTCGCAATACGGACCTCAGGGCGCTACCTCGCCATATGGTCCACAGGACGCTGCCTCGCAATACGGACACCAGGGCGCGACCCCTCCATATGGTCCTCAGGGCGCTCCCGCTCCGTCCTACGGTGGGCAGGGCACAGCTTACGGTTATGGTAAGCAATTACTTTGATCCAGCGAAGCTCTCTCACTTGTAAATAGGACAAGGAAGAGCTGGTGACGTGAAAGCTGGTGAGAAGGAAAGATGATCTTGTTCGAAGACGGTCAGCTAACGCACAAGTAGGTGGACAACAAGATACATCGTACCCTCCCAACCGATTGAACGACACTTCATACACGGGTGGTCAGCGTTACGATGCACCTACTGGCTTGGGTAGTCAGCCCCAAGAGGCCGGAGTGGGAAGTAACTACCCTGCGACGCCTGGCAAATCTGGAAGTGGAGCCCAAGACGTTTAGTAGATTGGATTTTGAAAATTACGAGCGAGTCCTGTTGTATGTGACTAGTCTGTTCAATGCAAAGTGATTTCTCTGTTGTTGAAAAATCCGGCAACAATGTGGCCGATAGCCGACTTCGATACACAGCCACCAAAAACTTATTGTGCTGGCGTGGTAATACTCCGAAGTTCACGTCGAGGCTGGTCAGCCTACCCTCCTCCACCTTTTCAAGAGCCTGGCTAGGGTATCAGTAACGTCAAGGCCAAGTCTTTTGTCGTAGAATGTCGACGTCGTTGCTTGGACGTTTGCCTGCTCATCGGCTCGTGCTCCGCGCCACACGCCTAAATCGTGTTCGTCTTTCATCCACCACCCCGCCAGCACCATCGAGTTTCAGGAGATCGCTTGTAGCGTTGGCGGCGGCCGTCGGCATAGCTGCTACAGCAGGCACACTCGGTGCTATGTTCCCCCCGCCACCCATCGCCATCCTATTTCCGAGGGCAGCGCCAGGACCGCCGGCAGATCCTTTTTCTCCAGAATCAATAGCGTTCACCGAAGATCTCGAAGCTAAGCTTCAAGCTTTGCCGTTGCTGCAGAAGCTCAGGTCGATGCCCGACGCCGATGAGTGGTATGAGACTCGGCCATATCAAGCCTTCCCCGAAGAGAGGCGTGTAAATAATTTGACCGCAGGTGCCTTGCGGGGACCGGGGAAATTGGCGTTATACCCTCTGATTCGGGCGAAGAAGGATGAGAGTGAGAGCGTAGTTTTTTTACATTTGGGGAGGGGTGTTTGCGGCCATGATGGGATTGTCCATGGAGGGCTGTTGGCTACACTTTTGGACGAAACTTTGGCTCGGACTGTGAGTTAAATCTGTTGCTAAGAAATATGATCTTAGATGCTGATGCTTTTGCAGGCTATTAGTAATCTTCCTGAGAAAGTTGGTGTCACTGCGAACCTCTCATTAAATTACCGTGCGCCGACTATGGCTGATCAGGTAAACTATCTCATTGTCGAGAAGGACGCAGTTTGACCTTCTTGTCAGTTTGTCGTCATAAAGACATCCCTTCAAGAAGTGAAGGGACGCAAAGCGACCGTTACAGGACGGGTTGAGGACTTGGACGGAACTCTCCTCGTAGAAGCAACGTAAGTCCTCGTCTTTTGCGAACATATGGAACTTTAACATCTTCTATAGTGCCATATTTGTTCAACCGCTCTATGCAAAGCTTCTTCATAGTGCGCAATTGAAGAAAGCGATGGGAGAACCCCCTAAGTCGGATGAACCTGTACTTTTGGCGGATGGGCAGGACCTGAACCCCAAGCATAAACACCGTTGAGAATGAGTGCTTTTCCTTTTGCTCAGAAGCTGCTTAGCGACATTTAGATATTAGATTAAACCTATAACCAACTAATTAATATCCAATCTACGTTCCGCAGTCAAACATTGACTGTGCCTTTTTCGACATGGTTGAATCTTGAATCCCATGCCCCCAATTTCTGGTTCATTGAAAATCCGATACGGATCCAGGTTAATCTAATCTCATCACCTAGCTAACCGCAAATACGTGGTGGAACCAGTGCATGACACGACAGATATGATGTTATTGGGCGACCCGGAAAGAAAAGTCTACCATTCGCGAAAAACGCAGTTCTGTCCGTATCACTTAAGTTGCTAAGAAACACTTACCTCGTGCCACTCAAACACGACTCCTGGCAGATAAATGCGTGCCACGCGTCTCCCAACTCATTTCATGTTTCGGTGCTGTAGAACCAAAGTAAAACTCCACGCAACTGGAGTCGTATCCCTTGCTAAGTTTCTACGATTTGGTTGCGAGCTACGCTAACACACTTGCGACTAGTATTTCGGAACCTTTGATCCGGACATACAATTTTTGTGCGTCTATCGATCATTGGACTCTCTTGATAGCGTCGCCCTTAAGATGAGTTTTTTTAGAAAACCAACTTTCTTCATTTTTTTTTGACGACCCACGTTTATATCGGCCTCACTTCGGTCCTGCTGACATTCGTGAGTCTGATGAGCTATATCATTCACTGGGAAGACATTAATGTGTTACAGCATTCAGGCAAGTTCTCTTTCCTTCAATACTGGAGGGTACGTTCCGTCCCTGCACTCGGCATTCCGCGCGAACCATTGGAATCTCAAACCTTTTCTCCGTCCGCGCGTTCGCAAGTCATGGGCTTCTTTTCGTGGTCTGATGAAGACTTGATGGTAGATCGAGTTTTCTTGCATGAGGTCGCTTATTCTATGCATCGAAAGAGCTACCAAACCATGATTCCGATCCGATCTCGCCAACGTATCAGAGTCATTCATCGGAATTGACACGCAGCACTCGTCTCGTACCATTGTTCTGGGGGGCATGTCCAGCCGTCTCCTTTTGGAACATTCTTCGTTTCGTGATTGTAAAAATTCCGCTTGACCCTCACCGCGACACCTGGCTTGGTTGCCTTCCATAACCAGGCTATAAACTGCGACGTTTCGGAGCACCTCCAATGTTTCGATCGTCGCAGCCTCAATGCGGCTGAAGGCACCGTACCTGCGGGTCCGACGGATATCTGGGAAACGTGGGTGCTGTGGAACTCTGAAGGCCGAAATGTACCTCGATTGGATATCGACAAGGAGGTGGGCAATTCCTGTGGAGAGCCTCATAACTCCTCACAATTATATCGACTCCTTGGCGCGCGAAAACTGCTGCTGGACAGGTGGACACGCAACCCCCTTGGAGAGAAGAGGTCGCACTTTCTGCTCATTTGTTCACGTCGCATTGTTCGATTTCCCGGTCCGGAAATACCCCACTCCAAGGATTTAAAATGCCAACCTGAAAAGTCCGGATGTGTCCGATTTTCCAATTCTAGTGTCACGTTGATCATACCACCGACTTTATCGATGACTAAAATTCAGAAGAACTTCATGATGGATGTACATGTAAGAAGATGAATATTCTACTTTGGGAAGAGAAACATCAAAATGTAATTTGTCTGTTCTTCATCTGAGTCCGCGATTTGTACGACGTTCCTGAACAGCAGTGGGGCATGTGGGATATTTATCCATTTGAGGACGGCACGTTCTCCTTTGACCCTTCATTCCACAACCGCTAATGTGAAGCATCAGGCTGTCGGCTTTCTCAGAAAGCATCTTGCTCCGACCGAGACGTTGTCCATAGGTCGGTATGAGTACATAAGACGTAGAGGGACGTCAGCCTTAATCGGTAGTGTCAGTAACACCAGCACTCCACTCCACTCCATACTCGCGAACGTAAAGATGTCGGTTCGTCGTCGTACATTTTCATTTTCGGATACGTGCTAATGTTACTCTCCTTCTTCCATATCAGATTTATTTGGCAATACCTAGTCCCTCAACGTGGTGTGTGTGGGTGTCTGGAGGGTTTCAATCGATGCCATGTTTTGCTGATACACTGCCGGCCTTTAGATAATACCACCCGAACCGCGGAGTGCACAGACACTCTGAAAGCTCTACGAAGCAGCAAAATTGTTCAAATTAAGGTATTCTGGTGACATTTCAACTCGAAATACGTTGACTACAGCTTATCGAAGTTGTGTAGTGCGCAGTGCTGTCAGCCGTTGTTGTTTGCCTTGCCGACTTGACATTGAGCCCGTCGACTGTCACAAGATCGGTAAAAAGAAAACAAAATTCTGGAGCGGACCCTTTCACAGACACCCCAGCGTCAATCTGAGTACTAGTTCAAGATCTCGCCCCGGAACTGTGTGCAGCTTCTGCTCGCCCTGACAGACCGAGATGATATATACCATTTCGCGAAGGATTGCTGTGAGATGAAAGGAGCGAGTCATGCATCGTCGCCGAACCCTTTAATTTTCTTTTAGCCCTCGTTTTCCTGAGGTATAAAAACCCCCCCGCCCTTGTCGAAACGACGAAGTTCTCAATCCACCATATACTAGCCGCTAAAATAATTCGAGCCATGTCTCCCAGTCCAGTCGAACAACAAGAATCGGAACAGGTACTGTCTTGTATCCCACATTTTTCGGACGCTAATGGATTGCTCAGAGAAATGACAAGAATGGTTCTCAAACTTCGTTGCCGTTGTCAAAAGTACCCAGGAGGACACCTATGGCTTGTCAGTTCTGCAGAGGTCTTGCACTTTCCACTCATATCCCGACGCAACTAATTTTCATAAAGGGCGGAAACTAAAATGCGATGGAAATCGGCCATCGTGCTCCAACTGCGATCGCCGTTCCCTTGCGTGCCAATATACCCCCGTGTATGTGATTTCATTTTTTTTGTCATTGTCCAAAACCAACCCACGATTTTCAGTTCTGCTCAGCGTTAGATTTTGCGGAGTGAGATTTCGGATGACCTGGCTCGCAGAGATTTTCAATTCCTATCGCCTATATGTACATATGTACCCATATGTTTCTATGCGTAGATTTTCATTACTTTCCCTGCACTTTCTCTCATAATGTATCCCATAAATGTAGATCTTGCATCATAGCGGCCAAGCTGGGTCCCACCGGCGAGGTCCCACTGCGCCAATGATGATCGTGATGATCGATCGATTTAAGGTTTTACGTCGAATAATCATACCCAGTGACACTGGTGACAGACTTGAGCTGACGGGCGTATTTAGGAAAGAATTTACCAACAAACCATATGCATCACCGTTAATGTTACATACATAGGAAAGTCAAGAAGGTGACATCCGCCAAACAATGATAGCACCTAGCTAGCAAATTTCGTCGGCGTTGAACGTTGACCCTCGAAGGGATTTGCTTCGCCACAAGTCTGGAACAAATCCCTACAATGCCAAAAAATTGCACAATAATTTATAGCCACTGGGTCAATCCACATTAATAATATTGTGGTTCGTGCAGAGTAACACATTGGTCAAAATCTAGAAAAGAAATCGGAAATTGGACTTTTCTGGCATGGAAACGGTTCAATACTGCCATAGAGTCAAATTAAGGGTAAGTTTAAGAGTAAAATGGGTGGTGGTGGTATGTTAACAACGCCTGTAATAAGTGGACGATGCAGGACAGCCGGTCCGACATTTAATTATCTCTATAGGACTATCGGCAGCAGCCAGCGACGCAGAGTGTATCAATTCTCACTTGACAGAAAATAGTCTAGCTCTACATATCATATTAATCAGAGCTTCAATGAACGATAACTGAAGGATTGACCGGCTACAATTCATACACCTAATCACCTCTTTCTCTGTGGGAAGACTTCGATTTTCAAATTATTCCTCACACAACTCTTGAAAATTTAACTTTGTCTGGCGCAGATGCAATAATACATGGACGTTGTCAAAAAATACATTCGTCTTAGGGTAATTGGACAACCCGTCGAGACCGGAAGCAGAACGGTATCGTTAACGTCCTTATCTCCGCTTCGGCACGGAGTGTCGTTGGTCCTTATTCGCTGAGTGTTTCAAGGAAATCCAGGTTTTTGGCGCGACCAAACGGGGCTGGGTAAGGAGGGGAACTATCCCTTTGAAAACCATGAGGTTAAGGGAAATTACACGACCTGGAGAATCATACTAATTTTACCCTGAGCTGCCGATACTAGGCTATTTCCTTACTTGAATGTGTTTACCAGAATTGGAGATAATCATTAACTTGCAATCAGTGGGGCTGTGTTTTTATTCATAAACTCCGCAATTGAATTCGGTCCGTCGCTATACATGCTTGAGCAAGGTGTCAGGATCGTTTGAGATGACGGACCGTCAATGGGCAGGTGAGCCTGGTGTGAACTAACCTCTCAAACTCTGAATAAGACTTCCTTGGAAGCTCTCGACTTAACGCCTTGATTTCCGAGTTCCGGGAAGACAGCACTGCCGAATGACCTTCTGAACTGTCCGCAGGGGGTGCTGTCATTGGTTCGCATGAACCCGTTTGTATTGAATGATCAATCCAGGGCGATGCAGAGCTCATGTTCTTCTCCCGTGTGCCCTACTTCTAACAAAGGTAGAAAACGACCTCTCATAGACAAGAGGGGTGTCCTTAATAATCTAGTCTATTTATTGATAGAAAGATAAATAATTTGCGCTCAACTACCATATAATATTACGCCCGACCTCCGTTCCTGCTTTGTCCTCTCTATAGACTTGAGGTCTGTTGAAGCTTATTTTTACGTGTCAAATTTTGAAGGACACTTACATTATTCTGGACGCCAGTTGTCCTATTTTCGAAACTAAGTAACGCTTATTGTTCAGGCCAACGTTCTTTTATCGCGAAACTAGGACACGTTTATGTCATTCTTATTCAGACACGCCAGCGAATTTTTGTGTTCGGGCGTGTAACAAAACTCAAAAAAACAGTCCTTCGCTCGCAGAGGTGAATTCGGAACAAGCAGGTGGGAACTGATGCATGATGCATGATGTGCGATCACTGACGTAACGGGATCAGCAACACGACAACTTGACGACAACACCCATATGTCCTTCTCAACTTCAAGTTATGTATAGAGGAGCGATTCGGGTGCGTGCCCTGCGTCAGGTCAGCGTTGGGTCAGCGCGTCAGGTCACGCGCCGGCGATACTGGCGGCACGTCGGCAACGGAAAAACTAAACTACCTAATCCGGGATGATACAGCTGAGTAAGTTTGGGGGATTCAAGACATCCAACATCTCCTCATTTCTTCCTAACCCCACCAGAAATGCCAACCACACAACCAGGAGGAAAAGTGCTCGTATCTGGCGCAAATGGGTATCTTGCCATTTGGGTAGTTCAAACCCTGCTCGAGCGCGGGTACTCCGTACGCGGAACAGTCCGATCGGAGGAGAAGGGAAGGTACCTGAAGGAGTATTTTAAACCTTTCGGTGAAAAGTTGGAGGTAGTGGTCGTTGAGGATATCTCCAAGGTGCGTAGCGCTTGTCCAGAGGGAATAAGTGGCTTGAACTGAGAGTTTATGGTAGCCAGGAGCGTTTGACGAGGCCGTGAAGGGAGTGGACGCGATCGCACACACTGCATCGCCATTCCACTCCAATGTCGAAGATCCGCGAGGTACATTTTTGTAAAGCCACGACGCACCCGCGTGATTTGAGCATGCTTTTATGCAGACTTTTACCAGCCGGCTATCCGAGGAACCGTCGGGATTCTCGAGAGCGCGCTGAAGAACGGGTGCGTTTATTCCGTGACTCGGGTATCTCGGGCTAACCAACAACAATCTGCTAGGACTAACGTGAAAAGAATCGTCGTTACGTCCTCGACCGCCGCTGTCATGGACCCTCCTTCAAAGCCTACTACGTTCAGTGAGAAGGACTGGAACATGGGATCGGTTAAAGCAGTCGAGGAAAAGGGTAAGAAATCGGAGCCGATGGAGATATACCGCGCGTCGAAGACGCTAGCTGAAAAATGTTCGTGACTTATTTGCGTCGATTCCTTTTTGGCCCTGATCAAGTTTACATTTAGCCGCATGGGACTTTGTCGAGAAGAACAAGGACAAAATTCAATGGGATTTGACGGTTCTCAACCCTCCCTTCGTGAGTGCGTTGATTTCTCATGAACCTGACGACTAACCACCGAGCTATCTCTAGATTTTCGGCGTGAGCATCTTCTTATGTCAAGGCGTCCCACTAAGTGAATTTCTGACTAAACATATAACAGCCTCCAATCCATGACGTTAAATCACTTTCGGCGCTGAACACGTCCCTTCAGTATTGGTACAACATGGTGGTAGCCGATACACCCAAAACCAAGGAGTCTCTTTCCGGATCTAGCTCGTGGACCGATGTCCGCGACATTGCAGAGGCACATGTCAGGGCATTGGAGAAGGACGCGGCAGGAGGAGAACGTATCATTGTTAACGGCGGTATGTGTTCACCCGTTTCGCGTTCAAGTTCCATGCTAATATTATTACCATAGGTTCGTACCACTGGCAGGACTGGAGTTGGTTTTTCAATTTTCGACTTGAATAACAACTGACCTTCCTCTTTCATCTAGTTGATACCGCGAACTCCATTCAACCTTCGCCCATTCCATCGCACAAGCTCCCTCGAGGGGTTCCTGAGATGGAAAGGGTGTACCTGATCAACTACGACAAAACGAAGGAGGAGAAGATCCTCGGAATCAAGTTCTTCACCCAGGAGGAGTCGACTAGGGATATGTTGGCTGACTTTGAGAGGCGAGGATGGTAGGAATTTGGTTGCCGGTAGAATTCAGGTGGAATTTGTAAAGGAGACACAGATACAACGGAGGGTTTTATGTTTAGGCCTGAGCTCTGAGCCGTCGTCTTTTCATGAAATGCCCGTGCATGACTGTGTTGGGAAGAACTCCATCTCAGACTGGAATAAAAACTCATGGCCTATTTCGCATAGCAAACTCGCAACGTTCGGATGCTTATGATTTGAGATAGGCGAGCCCTACAAATTACTCCTCGGCCCACATGGCATACTTATATCAAACATTCCATGCGTGAATCAAAAAAAATCTGTTAAAAAACTTTCATCTATACTATGCCCTATCAGTACTTCGGCAGACCCTCTCAGTCGGCGGTCACAAATCATAACGCTCGTGCCTGGCGCCAAATTCAGTCTCCGCTCGGCTTCCCCTGAGGTAAACAAAAGCAAAGGCCGCAAAAAGGCCAGGTAACAGTGTATCAAGACATACTAAGTAGTAGATCATATATAATCTACATACTATCGTTGCGCGAAGTCAGTAAAAGAATCAAAATGTATCGTTACTCTGCGGCAAAAAGTAAGAAGTCAACTGAGCTGGTGGCAGCATGGAGACTCGAGGCACTTGCGGCAACTCAAGTCTCGGTTTTGCGATGGGTCGTGGGCGCGGGCGTGTTTGCGAGCTGGTTGGTGGTACTGGGGACATGTTTTGGGAAAAGTCTCCAGTATGGGAGGTATTCAGCCAAGTTTGTTGAGGGGTGCTGGGGTGTGCTTGAGAGATTTCCGCTGAATTGGTGAGAGGTGCTAAAATTGCAGCACGGCGACGACCCTCTTGATATAACCCTGCAAAACGATCACTGGTTTTCAACTCGGGATGAGAGGCAAGGTGGTCCTTGATTCTTGTAGTAACCTCGGGGATGGTTCCCGTGTTTGAAATACTGAGTGCTCCCGCAAGGGCATCAACATCGTCCCTTTTTTTGTAAGTCGTCAGCGGCTTGTCAAAAACCTTCGAAACGATGTCTTGAGCAACCTGTGCACTCCGAGAGAGAGCATCCGCCGCCTTTTGCACTTCCTTCTCCCTCTCGACGCGTTCCTTTTCTTGTCGTTCCTTATCTTCCGCATCAAACGCTGCTCTCATTTCGGGAAGTGTCAGGACGCGGCCCTTAATTTTGGTGGAGCCACGAGACTTTTTGGCGCGAATATTCTCCAGCTGTATTCGCACGTCGCCTAACTCACGGCGTATAACTGTACAGTGCGCGTTCGAAGCCCTGAGTTCAGCTGTCTGCATCGAGAGCGACATTGACAGTCCGTTGACTTGGTTTCGGAGACGTCGCACTTCCTGAACAAGTTCGTCGTGTGACTTCTTTTCGTCATCATGAATCGGAAGGTACTGAAGTGCGGGAAGGATTTTGATTGGTGTAAACGAAGACCGAGTTGTTCGAGTGGATGCCGGTGTCACGGTGAATCGATTGTCTGAAAGCCCGTTGTTTGGTGTGATGGGAGTGTGAATCACATTATGAGAGTGTTCAGAGGGGCCGGTGAAAGGATCATCGAGTGAAGAATCGAAAGCAAGTGAAAATGGATCGTTGATGAAGTCGAGTGGTTCATCCCAGTCACAGAAGTGAGAATCGGGTAACGGGGACATTGTCTCCACACTTGAAAGACACGGCACGGCCTCCAAATCATCGTCAGAGTCTCCGTTCGAATCATCCCAGTCACAGAAGTGAGAATCGGGTAACGGGGACATTGTCTCCACACTTGAAAGACACGGCACAGCCTCCAAATCATCGTCAGAGTCTCCGTTCGAATCATCCCAGTCACAGAAGTGAGAATCGGGTAACGGGGACATTGTCTCCACACTTGAAAGACACGGCACAGCCTCCAAATCATCGTCAGAGTTTCCGTTCGAAGTAGGGGAGTGGTGGTCCATGGGTACATCATTGCAGGATGGGGTGTCGTCACTGTCAAACGGGGCGTATTCACTGTCCGTCGTATCGTCGATTTCGGAGAGGTACGCTGGAGGAGATGTTGGCACTTCATCTGGAAAAGATGCCGGAACATGTGCAATCACGGAAAAAGATTTGCTTGGAGCAAAATCATCCGCCGTAAAAATAGACGGGTTCAATGGGTAGATCCCAGTCTTCCGGAAGGCCGCTTGAATGAGTTCAGGGGTAATGACATGCCGCACTTGAAGATATTCATGAATGATGTTGTATCGGTTCATTGAGATGCCTTCTGCGACACGCTTGTCACAGTGATAGGACCACCGATCCTGTACAGCCGAAAAGACACTGACATCCAGTGGCTGAGTTTTGTGTGTTGTTTTTGAAGGAAACGCAATGAGAATAACATTGTTTTCAAACGCGACGCGTTGCATATCGAACGTTTCATGTGAGTCGTGACCGTCGTAGTTGAGGAAAATGGGTTTATCACAAACACGCTTGGACATCGCGAAAGGAACAAATTGGTCTGTGAACCACCGCTCACATATTTCACGGTCGGTCCAGCCATTCGGAGAGAATGCGATGCTAAAATATATAAAAAGCATTAGCCGTCATTGATCAATCAAAATTTCAAGAAAACTTATTACCTCGATACAGATTCGTCGAGTAGCCTTCGAGTATCGGGTTTAGGCCCATCCTTGAGAACGAAGCTGGGTGGCATCGCAACACCAGCAGCAGAAACACACTCAATGATTGTTACAAGCTCCAGATTGTCGCTCTTGATTCTGTAGCGCTCTTTTTGACGGCGTGTAAAAATAAACTTGCGGCCATTATTTTTTCGCCCTCCACCCAATTGAATACCTTTCTCGTCCATGTTCCATTGATGTTCTGGTGGGATTCCATCATACTTTTCCTCTACTTCCTGACGCAGTTGGAAGTAATGCTTCATTGTCGGTTCATTAAAGTTGTGCGCTCGGTTTGGATCAAGGCCACTGGCTTTTCCAAGCTTCAGCTCTGGATGTCGTTTGATGAAGCGCCGATGCCAATGTTTTCCGGGATACACCCCTTTGATGGAGAGTGCACGTCCACGCAGGGTTGCAGGGTCCATAGGTTTTGCCGTGATAGCCGTGTGGTCACACCACGAAAGAAGAACATTCTCCTCAGAATTAGACAACAGACGTCGCCTCTCGTAAGATTCTTTCCTACTCTTGTGAATCCCCTTTGCTCTATCTGATAAGGTTTGCCGGCTGACCTGTATTGCGTTGAATAACACAGAAAGAAAAAGGCAACAAACCCACATTGTGCTCCTCTGCAGCTTTTGCTATTGAGGGAAAGGTTCCTTGAGCAAGGCCATTCAAAGCAGCTTGAATTCGGAGCTCGTAGGTGTTGTCGCTGGTACTGCGGTGTGTGCGTTTGAGGCGTGCCATAATCAGGGTGAGACGAGCGCTAAACAAACACGCGTCAGGACGCGCCTAAATTTGGACTTGTTGACGCGTCACGGAGCTTTTACGGGGATTCTGTTTCCAACTCCGCTGTCAGCAAGCGTGACAATTCCCCGAAATCCTCGTTCGAGGGGACCGGCGCAATAATTCATATAAGCGTTCAAAACAACTTGGAAATGGTTTGAAATACACCCAAGAACATATATCTCAAGTATCTAAGGTTTAGCTAGTGTAGAACATATAATTCAGAAAGTGCCGACTGAGAGGGTCTGCCGAAGTACTGATAGGGCATAGTAGCCTCCACCTACAACCCAATTCAATTCCTACAGTATCAAAAGATTCAAAACCGCCCATTGGAACTTCTGGAGAACCTCAATATATACAGTATGACAAATGGATGACTTTCCGTAAGGTTTTTAATCCTACATATCATATTTCGGAGATCGAATGTCAGTTTAGTCGTTTCATCTATTCAAGCTGACATTCCGCAAGCTATTTATCGTTCCGTTCCCAATATTTTGTGCTGCATGGTACAGTCATCCACCCCTTAATGATACACCACCCCCATTTGATACACTTTTGACTAGCAAATATCTCGCTCAATACTAGACCGATTTTTACAAAACAAGTTGTAACAAGTAGTACAAACTCATATCTACCGCTGTACATAATTTGGATGCAATTGAGGTAGAATTGGCAAAGCTGTGGAGCATACAAAATGGACTGTTTTTCGGAAATAGCCAAATACAGCCACACCCCTCAATGATACACCCATAATCTTAGTTTATCTCCATGAAATGTGGGTCAAACATTGTGAAATTTGGTATGGTCATAGAAGGGCATTTATCTGAGATTTTCATGTAGTTTTTGTAGAGAAAGGCTGTTCTCAAATTTGTTGAAGCTAATTTCTCATTTTGGGTGTATCATTGGCAGGTGGATGACTGTACGCTGAAGTTAATTACAATGTTTACAGTGTCTGATGTAGACAGGCTATCATGTACTATACAATTGCTATACAACAGAAGGTTGTTTCAGCCAATAAGGGGAGAGGATGAGGCCAAGATTGGCTTGGGAACATTTTATTCTAGCGAGTTTAATCTATGAAGAGGGGTCTGACAGATTAAGTAAGGTTTATTGAGATGTGAAAACAGGCACGAAGAATATTTTTCGTCCCCATTTGGCCCCGGCAACACGGCAACAGAGCCAAGATATCAAGAAATAATCTATTTCCCCGAATAAAAGCTTACGGAAAGTCATCCAATAACTCATCGCCCAAATTTCCAATTTTTTCTTATACATTAACCACAAACAACATAATTTATGTATAGGAGCTTATCTACGACATAAATGTGTTTGCAAATGCTCGAATATCCACGACTTTGCAAGAAGGAAAAGTTCGACGGTTGACTACTCAGGTGGCGTGAGAGTCACGCTCACGCACTGCACCTTGCTCACGCTGAATATACATAATGCGGTCGATCAGAAACCTACGAACGAGGTCGCGATCGGAGTCTGTAGAAATTGAAGTCTTGTGACGGTAACATACACTCTCTACATGTCATTTTCCTTCGCGAATTGGGCTTTGTAAAAAAGGGAGTTCAAGGAGTCAGGGTCCCCTCGTAAAGTTTAAGCCACTTCACTGAAACGAGACGACTCGTCTCGTTTCAAACCATGCCCACGTTCATGGGATGTGGCAAAGCCAGTGGATTCCCAAGAAAACATGGATATGGCCTACCTGGTCAGCATGGTCACGGTCAACACTGGAGACGAGAGACAAACGAGTGCGGCCAGGAGGTTGTCGCGAGATCGGGGTGTGGGCGATGTAGAGCAAAATTGGGAGAGGCGGAGCGAGGAGGACGTAGCATAACGTCAGTTCCTCGAGTGTGCGATGCACTTCTAAAAGGGTGCAGAGCCTTGTATCGACAACGTCTCCAGTAGAAAGTTGAGCCTAAACGAGGTAAGGTTAAGCGGGGCAAATGAAATTTGAGGGAGGGGTATCCCGCATAGAATCACATGTTTTGGGCGAGGATAGGCAATCGAAAATATGCTAGCTCTCAGAGGGGGTCAAGAATGTTGACAGGGTACTATGATCGATTCCCTCAGTCTCCAAGATAAGATTGGTAAGGATCTGAGCGGTGGATTGGCATGGCGTACGGTGAAAGATGGGCAAGGATCTGGACGACTGGGTATAAGATCCACTGAGAAGATGGAACTCGCGGAATCAGGCACCCTGCCAAGGAGCATGCCAACAGCCTCAAGCTCAAGCTCAAGGAGGAAGTCGAACCATTTGATGCACGAGTCAGCGTCATCGCGCTGGTATTGGCCGCATTCATCTTGGAACACCTACGTGTCAAGAAAAATACAAAGACGGGCTTGGACGGGAGCGTTCTAAGAACTCAGCAACGTGTCGGAAGGGACATTTCGCACTCTCGAGTGACATGTCTGACGGACAAGGCCCAAAATCGTCCTGTCCAAACTCTCACATTATTTGTGATGAAGATAAGGCAAGAGTGTCCCATGACAGACCGACGAAACAAAGTTGGGGAAGTCCATCGCGTCAAGCGGGTTGCCTGTTAGTCGGAAACCAGGGTGGGAGATTTTGAGATGGAGGTAAATGCGAGATGGGAGGGCTAATGGTAGAAACGGTAGTAGCTGGGGGACTTCTAGTATGTCGTAAATTGGACGCCATAAAAGAAGAGACGATGCCAAGGGAAGGACGCACAGACAATTGAAGAACGTGGGATTAATAACCCTGGGCTTCTCGCGGCTTCGAAGGTGTGGTGAAGGCTGGTGAAGGGGGGGTCGAGCGACCCACAAGTTACCAACCGATCTACCATTGATATACCCCTGGCTGTCAAGGCGTACTGCAGATGTGACCTGCAATGGCCAGAGTTCCCTTTGTGCGTAATGTGGCCAAACTGTCCTCGACATCCAAAACGAGATCTACAGGTGGTCACGGAAGTTGGTCTCGCTTAAGTATTGTCCTCGTTGGTAGCTACCAGCTATTTGCCAGATCCAAATGAAGAAACGCACATGAGTCTGATGCTCTACACAATTGAGCTAGGCGGGCCCTTGGATTGAAGATCGGTGGAGTGCTGTGATGATCTTCGCACTCGTCAGTGTGGGGGTTGAAGAGGATTGCCTGCCAGCAAAACAAGACAAAACAAACGCGTAACGCGTCATGCACCTGCCTTCAACATTCGGACACCATTCGACACACGCAAAGCTACCACGCGTCAGCTCTGGCAAATCCGTGCCTACTATTGCGTCCTTCTCATTGACAACGAAGAAAACAAAGAAACCAACAGTAGAGAGCGTCTAGTACACAGACGGGGCCATCCTGCCTATCAAACCCGAATTCATGGAACTCATCGTTATGCGGAAGAAGATTTCTTTAGTGCCTGGCTACTTTGATCTGTTCTTCCATATTTGGATACCTGTTAGACAATCCTCGAGAACACAAAAATTCGAACGAGACTTGAAATTATTTGGAAGCCCCAAGAGCATTGTATAGCGTTCCGACTCATCAAAGATGTGCGTCTAAAGTTTCCGTTACTTCGAGGTATCTTTGTCCACCAATTTTCTCGCCTTTTACAAGGCATCAATTTCTTCAAGATCCCGGCGAGGTGGGTCGCTTCTATTAGCTAAATATCACTGGAATACTTGGCATTCTAGGAGGCCCAAATGCAAATAAAGAATCCCCCGCCCCTCTGCAGCACGCTTGGAAAGTGCCCCCTTGGCAGTGCGCAACGGGGCTTTTCGCCGTAACTATGCTCACATCAAAGACATCTGTCTCCTGGCCAAGTGAGTGCATTCGTACATATATCTCTCTTCACTCTACCACTCAGATCCCCCACTTAACCTCCCCCGTCAGTATCCCATACTAACATGACACATCAACTGAACAGCGGATACCCCGATATCGTCAGAGTCCAAAAGTTCGCGGGTCGGGTTGTGGAGGGTTCGATTCCCCCCTTGATGCGTTATATAACAGGTGTTCGTTGGACAATTTTCTTTATACCTTCCCATCTTAAACCGGCCACCTATGAATGGATGGATGGATTTTTTATTCGACCAACTTCGATCTGCTTTGAATAAACTTGATCTACGAATGTAGCGACGACGTTACGGGATGGTTGGGCGCTACGGGAGAACACAAATATCTCTTCTAGTTTTGATAGCCTGAGCTTCATGTCAACTAACGGGGCAGCTAAAAACTGACCCCTCTTCCATTTTCAAATGCAATGATTCCGAATAACGCTTCGCAAAAATCTTGATGTAAAAAAGATCGTATGTATATCACTTCAAACCACCCTAATTAACTCCCCCCTCCACCTTTCAGCTCTCTCAAAAACGCCATGCAAATACTCAACACTCCACCCCCTAAAAAGCTTCTTCCCATCCCCAAGCCACCCCTCCACCTCCCTAAAAGCACCTCCACCCTCCTCCCCATTCTCTTCATCTCTCCAAATGAAAGCAAGTACCCCATCCCAGCCTCTTTCAAATATTCATACGCGCCATTAGACACATAAAGGGATTTTGAAAGCTTGGAGCCGGACCAGTCGAGGATGAGTGGGGCATACGCTATCACAGGTGTCAGGTCCTTTATCGTCATCGGGGTCGGAGTGAGGAGAGAGGGGGAGAGGGAGATGGAAGGGAATAATAAGATGAGTTGATGCCATAGAAGTTGCTCAGCGTATGTTCCTGTGTAGTACACATATGTACCCTCGCACGACTTTGCAAATTGGCTCGAGACTGGTGGGTATCGATAGAATACGCAAGGCTTCGAACGATGTTCCTCACCGGTGTGTTAAACTCCAACGACGCCACTCCCTCTGGGTCAGCGCTATCAACCGAGTGATATCCATGGTCGGGACAGTAGAATTCGAGTTTCACTGATCCAGAAGGCATGTCCGTATATCGATTCTTATGCCCGTGTTTCTCTGCGAGCCCACATTTCGCGCACGGACATGCCCTACGTGCGGCTAAGCACCCGGTGTCGGGTGCGATTTCGGGACCGAGGCGAGCATGGTCTTTTATCATCGCTTCGATGATACATGGGACCCCAGGCATGCGCATCAGATCTTCCTGGTCAATCATCTGGTACCAGACGTCGGTGAACGCCGACGCAGCATCCGGGAGCTCCCTATAATCTGGCAGAAAGCTGTCCTGCGCATGCGTGATTCGCTGGCTGCGCTGGTAAGCGTACCCATCCCTGTATTCGCCCTTGTCGTTGTCTGGAGCGGTGTCGACGATGCCCACGTGGACGATCACGGAGAGGTTGTCCACAAATTTCTGGAGTTCCTCGGAAGCGTTGGGAGCAGCACGAAGAGAGGCGTAGTACGCTTTGATCTCTCGCGCGATAAGAAATGCAAGGATGAAAACCACGATTGTGCCGGCATGCGGGGAGTTATTCGGTTGCGCGCCGATGTGGATTATAAGAGTGGTGGGCTGGTAGGAAGGGGAGGGAGAGTCGGGGAGGGGAAGGCCAAGGTATCGGATATGAGAGGAGATGTATTCGTTTCTGAAAATGTAAGACCCTCCGCCCAAGGGGTTGTGTACTTTCCCGTCGTGACGCAGAGGAGCGGGGGATCGTCCAGAGTCGGCACTGGCGTCAGTGCCAAGTAACCTCCTGCTACTGGATTCAGCGTTGGAAATGGGGTGGTAGCAGCCACACACCTTGCGGGAGCTTCGAGGAAATTGACGCCCTGTTCTACAAACTTCATTTGAGAAAATGAGAGGAGACTTGGAAACAAAACGGGAACGCGTCTTTAATGAAACCCTGATCCCATCAAAGTTTGACGCCCGGAACATTGGACCCTGAAGCACCCTTTTATTCAAACCCCGAGCGGGATGCGCCCTGATGCGCCAAGCTCTAAATGTAGACGTTCCAACTTTTGTATTCTGGCGGATTCAAGGAAGGTCTAAATGGTACTCACATAGTGTAGAATATACCAAATTGTCCATACGACCAAAAAAGCAGCGACCAAAAGCACAACTGGCTCTAAAACAATCTCTCCATCTCCTCAATCGGCACACCCTCCACCAACTCCTTCGTAGCATACACCAGTCCCTGCGGCGGTCCAATTCCATACGCCCTCATCTCACTCGCCTTCAACGGTTCCTTTAACTTATAAAGCCCCAACACCGGATACCCAAACTCACTCTTCTTCAAACCGTTATCAAAATCATCGTTACCGACCCCGGTGGGATCCTGTATTTGGCCGGGCGTTTTGGGGCGGCTTGTGAGCATTACGTGCCTACAGGTCGGTGGGTGGTGTGGGTCAATTACAATGCGTGGAAGAAAGGAGAAGGAAAGGGGACACACGTTATCGCCCCCGTCGCCCCTGTAGTATAGAGCCATATCCTCTGCACCGTCTCTCGGACCTTGTACGTCCTGTACTCATGGTTCTTCTTCCGTGCGGCGATGAGTTCCGTGAATTCAAGCTTGATGGGGAGGATGGCGTCTGTGTATACGCGCTCTATCTTTGGGTTCTTGGATTTCTTCGTTGATGATGATGATGATGGGTTCGAGGACGCGGCGGGCGCGGGTTTACCCGTCAACGTTAGTTGGCGCGTGGCTGGTTTGTGTGCGTCGGAGGGTGTGCGAGTGGGGGGCATCGTGTATGGTATTATAGGAGCGACGTGGTTGGAAGGCGTGAACACGACGCGTCACGCGTTTGTTTTGGCGTGTTTTGTTGGGAGAACTATATACGGAATCCACGGCACTCGGCACTCGTAATTGTATTAGACTCGAAACCAGTCGCCTCGGAGTAATCGCGATGTAAAATCTGAGGGAGAGGGTGTTTCTTTTTTGGGTAAGTAGGAAGGCAGTAATTACTCCTATGGCGACTGGTAGGACTTCATCATGATTCAGCATAGGGCTTTTTTAAGCTCCGACATTACCTATATATGGTAGCATTCCCCGCACACCTTCTTATGCACTCTACTATTTTGCTTCGTAGATCCACCAGAATCAGCCGAATTTCAGTAAAGTACCTCCTATTGACTTTTTGTATCGAAAAATACAAATAGGAAAGGAGCAAAGACTTTGTTACTAACGAAAATCACCTTTAATCAACTCCAATGCAATTGATATTGAACTGAAACAACGGTGAATCACGTCTCTCTCGTCCTGCATGTCGACAGTCCGAAAATACAAGCCAGAAGACGTTGACCTAAATGTGCTGGCAGAAAAAGCCAGCCAAATTTACGGCAAGCAGCCTTTCAAATGGCAACTTGATACTGCACTTGCAATTCTTTGCGGTGAAGACGTTATCGTTGACGTCGGAACAGGAAGTGGGAAGACATTATGTTTTTCTCTTCCACTCCTTCTGGATGAAAAGGATATCAACATTGTAGTCTCGCCACTCACGGCACTTATGGTGGATCAGGTGAGAGTAAATTTGATGATTTTGCACAACAAACAAATGCGTGCAGGCTGAGAGCGCTGAGTTGTCAACCGTCGCGGTGTGTGCAGAGACTATCTCTCACGTTGGACCTCAAAAACTATATGAAGATATTGTCAATGGGAAATTTCGTCAGGTCATCGTCTCACCAGAATTAGTGGTGTCGGAGTCCTTCCGAAAAGAAGTTCTGTCGAAAAAGAAATTCCATCAGCGGTTGCGAGCTGTGTGTGTTGATGAGGCTCACTGCATCAGCTTATGGGGAGGTAGCTTCCGGCCAGACTATGCAGGCTTGGGAGTCTTGCGAGGACGATTTCCGAGCAATGTTCCAGTTGTTGTCGCATCGGCCACACTCCCAGAACATATCTTGGACGACATCAAACGGAAGTTGAGACTCTCAACCTCAGTCCAGAAAGTGAGCCTGTCGAACGCCCGACCTAATGTTGCACTGTCAGTCAGAGCAATGCAGCATTCGGAGGAATCGAAGGGTGACTTACGTTTTCTCATTCCGAAGGACGCAAAAGAAGCGAACGATATTCCGATAACACTTGTCTATTGTAATCAGCGAGTAACCACTGAAGACGCAACAGATCACTTACGGGATTGGGCTGAGGACTGTGGAATTCCGCGGAATTGCATAGCATTTTATCATGCCAAAGTTGGATCAAAGCGGAAGCGTGAGATTGAGGAAGGACTTCGAAAGGGAGAAATCCGTATTCTACTCTGCACAGATGCAGTGGGAATGGTGCGTTAATCATGCAAGTCTCAAATAAACATGTTTCTGACCTTCGTCGAAGGGTTGCGATATGCGCAACATCTCTCGCGTCGTGTTATGGGCACTTCCTCCATCATTTTGTGCCCTTGTTCAGCGCGCCGGCCGTGCTGCAAGAGACTTTAAGAAGCTAGGTGAAGCGATCCTGATCGTTTCATCAACTGTATTGAAGAAGGGGACAACGGAGGATGATGTACAAGCTGGACTCAACGAAATGATTGTTAATGGACAATCTGAGGCAGAAAATAGAAGCGACGATGTAGATGACGTGTTGGCTAATGCTGATCTTCCGACTGGATCATCAGCTGAAGTTGTCGGCGAAGAAGGTATTCGTGTTCAGGCTGTTGAGGTTGGAGAGGGGTCCGAGCTGGAAGATGAGCCTGTTGCCGCGGGTAGTAAGAAGGAGAGGAAGAAGAAATTTTCAAAGGACACCAACTCACGAGAGGCCAAATTCCTGTCCATGTTCGTTTGCACAAAAAGCTGTCGCCGTAAAGTATGGGATGCTTTCTTTGAAAACCAAAAGAAAAGTGAGTAGCCTTATTTTCGAAGCATGATTCATTGTCTCACCTTTTCATACTTTCATAGTCCCTCTCCAGTTCCCAACAACGACGTCCTACCAACCCCTTCCGAATACGCGGTGTTGCGACAACTGCGAGCCCCGTTTATTTGAGGTTGAGAAGATCAAGCTTACACAAGTTCCCGGCTTGAAGCGTGGAAAAAAGAAACAGGTCGCACCAACCGAGGTCACAAAAATTCGTGAAGCATTGGTTGAGTGGCGAGAAACCGACCTCCTGGACAAGTTTTACCCAGGAATTTCAAGTCTGTCAGGACAGACAATCCTCGGCGATGATGTTGTTGAGAAGATTGCCACATGTGGCGAGCACCTAGAAACCTATGCTCAACTTCGTCAGCATGTGCGATGGGCTGTTGGTCATCAAGAAGATACAGATGAACCAAATGAGTGGGGAAGGCTACTCATGGACCAGCTTTCCCTGATCTATCAGGGTTTGGCAGAGACTGCAGAAGAGGAAAGACGGGAGAGGGTAACATCTGCTTCTTTTGACGTGATTACTCCTGAAAGCTTTTACGCTTCATCTTCAACCAGAGGGCGGGGTACCGGGCGTGGTGGTCAAGGGCGTGGTTCACGCCGGGGGCAACGTTCACGTAAAGGTACAAAATAAACAATGAAACTTTGAGAACGTCAGATTTGTGATGATATAGCAACTTTAGACACGTACTTCACTACTCGAAATGTGATAATTCTTCAATGATTTCACGAGTCATAGATATATAATCCCCCATGTTAGTTCCAGGGGGGTATTCGTCGTCATCAAAGAGGAAGGGAAACTCATCAAAGGCAGTATCCTGATCAAGCAAAGAGTCAGATCCATTACTTCCTAAATCAAAGTCAACCTGTTCCGAATCTTCCTGTGTTACGTGATCAGTTGGAGGGGACCCTTCCGGTGTGCCAAGATTTGTTGCTTTGCGTCTTGTGTAGGTAAAATTTCTGAAAGCGCTGGGTTTGTTTGCATACTCCGCACCCACGGCGAGAAGGTCACGGACTTCAGACGCGTATTGGTTGTTCTCGCGTTCTGGCATATAAGTTTGAAGTTTCAGATCTTTGAGGTGATCACGAAGAATCTTCAGATCAGCCTCGGTTGACGGGCTCGTGTGGGAGGTACTGTTGAATGGGGTTTTGTACTCTGACTGCACGCGTCGGATCACATCGCGAAGAGCGAAAATAGAAACTGAAACCATGGCGAGCCACTCCCAGCTGCGATTGGAACCTCGTGCAGAATAGATGATCTTCAAAGTGGGTAGTTAAATCATTGAATAAGGATGGGATCTCAGTCACAGACCTTGGCCCAAAAGTTCTGGTGCTCCTGAAGTAAATCCATCTCTTTGAAGCCATCAACCTTCCCTGTGAGATTGGCAAGCCAGTTCATAAGCCATGCAGTTCTGAGAGTCTCATGTCAGATAATATAGGCAAGTGAATTAACAACTCACCGAAGCTTGGGATGCATTGACTTCAAGTCAACGAGAATGTGAAATAGAGCATCCGCGTACTTTGGCATCTTTCCAGTTCCACGAAACATGAGCATCCAATGAGTAGCTATGTCAAGGATGGCCCCGACATCTCCTCGTTTAACTCCAAATTTCAGTTGACGTAGGTAGAGAGCGTCACGGTTAAACAAACAAATGTTCTCCAACGGAACGTCACGTTTCGTGGATGTGAGACGTCGCAAACGCTGTACGCGACGTGCGGAACACAACTCAATCAGAACTTGTTGCGCCACCCCTTCAACCTCTTCTACGGTCTGTACTCTCTCAACCCATTCCTCAATGGTGGTGAATGGGCAGTATATCCTAAACCCATCAAGGATGTTGGCTGGCAAGGCCATTGTAAGGATCAGCTCGTAGGACGGTCGGAAAGGTGGAAGTGATTTCGCCTTCCAGCCCGCAACTATTGCCTTCCGCCCCAAAAGTGTATTGACCTTCCAAAGCGACCATGGTGCTTTGCTGTTTGGTTGTCCCCAATGCTCATTGGTAGTCATGCGATCTCCCGCCATTTTCATATGGAAAACGCCATCCTGCCCTTTTGTATAGCGTCCAACATTATCAACAAGATCTGAGTCATCTCGTCGAGCAGCAGAAACCTAGCAGATTATGTGAGACAAAGTAGAATATCCACGAAAGAAGAGAAAAACAAACCTTATCGAGTAACAGCTTCGACAGCTGATCGCCAGCACACAGAATGATACCATGCTTCTTGATATCGTCCTCAGTAAGCCCAAGTTCGACACGTATTATTTTATCTAAAACACCAAGAGTTCCCTCCAAGCTGGACTCGTCAATATGCATAGCAGGAAGGGGATATTGCTCCGTCTTGTGAACGGGGATCTGGAGAACCGTGGGAGCTGGAGGGATCTTGTCCTTCAAACGTTTACGGAGAGATGGGAAAGCTTCATATAGAATGTCTTGGATATGCCAAAGTTGTCCGGCCTCGACGCGCTGAGCTTCTTCACTAGTTGGGAGAAGATCTTTGGCCCCAAACTTGAGGACGGGAATGCGACAGTCACGGGAGGGTAAAAGTTCGAGTGGAAGTCCACCGAAATCAACGTCGTATAGTGGAAGGAGAGTCGCAGTAGTTCCGTTATCAAAATGATCCTTGGCGTCGTGACGCTGCTCGCTAACCTTGAAGGCAATGTTAAGATTGTCCCAGATGACCATGAACGCTCGTGACCGAGCAATCTCTCGCATCATCGTGAGACGTTCTCTTCCGAGCTGCTTGATCTTTGCGACGGCCTGAGTGTATGAGAGCGTGACCCCTGCATGGTTGAGAACGTCGAAAACTGAGCGTGACGTGCCGCATGCAAGAAAATACATGCACATGGTTGTCGGAAAGTCGCTCGCGTGATCATTTCGTGCTTTTGCAAGCATACATAGCGTGGTGGCGAGAACCTGGGGGATATGTTTATGAGAAAGAAAGTAAAAAGCGAAGTATTGAACTTACAAGATCTGGGTGTTTGCGAGAAGGCTGATCTTGTGATGTGGATAGCATTCCACAAGCCTGTTGGAGTATCTGGAAGAGTGTGGGTGCAAGAATCTCAGCATCAGAGAGAACCTCTCGCAAAGAGAACCTGTGTAAGATGTCAGAGACTGGTGTCCCTGGGGCAGGCTTGAAACGCTGGGATAAAGAGTCGCACTCCGATGACACAAGCTGCCTTGCCGTGCTGAGAGCCCAATCATTTGCAACAGAAGGATGTCGGTCACGTATGAGATTCAAGAGGTCGTGTCCATGAAAGGTAAGTAGATTGGATACTTGAGAAGATCGGACAGGATGACGCGTAGTGAGTAGTTCGCGTAAGAAGTCGTGCATGGAGGGGAAGAGAGGGCGTAGGAGACTCCAGGCCTGTTCAACTCGGTCTGTCGCTTGTCCAGCCTCTATTTCAGCCCCTCGCGCAGCAGCAGCAGCTTTCTGTTCCTTTTCCTTCATAACCCGTGTCGGAGCTTGCTGGGCATACGATTCCCGCATGTTTTGAATATCCTGTGGGGTGAAATGGCGCCCATTTTTGGCGGACAAACGAGGCTTCTTGGGAGCAGAGCAGTCGATGAATTTCATAGGTTTCGCATTTACGGGAGTCGTGGGAGGGATATTCTCATCGTTTTCGTGTGATCGAGGTCGCTTTCGAGTGCTCATTGAGGGTGATAACGAGGACGCGTTTATCGCGTCGGACATTGTTCCCGTTATAGAAGTCAGCGGAGCTTGAAAATCTTCTGTGTTCAATCACGGTGAAGTCTTTCCAGACGTTACGGTAACTATTACAAACCACATATATCTCTACCCTAGTAATATCACCGTAACGGCTGGTGTCGAGACTATAATTGTATTCCGATTCATCCTTATCCCTCCCCCGTTCCATTCCTCGCAAAGAATCCAGAGATAGAAACCTCTCGTCGTAATCCAGAGAAGGCAATGTGTAAGAATAACTATACGAAGATAACATAGACTCAGTGTTTGCGCAGGTAAGCCAAACGACTGAGGTGCGAGTGCGTAGACTAGGGTATTTAACTGCTACGGAGAAACTAAAAGGCACGCAGTAGATTTGGACGCGTGTAAGGAACGTATCACGAGTGATAAGGAATATGAAATATAAAGCAACATGTGAGTAAGGGGAAATGAATGTAAGTAAAGGAGTTTATCCGAGGATAGACGGCGAGGACGTCGTCACCTTGATTATTCCGACACAATGCGTAAAATTGTTCCGCCACTCTTCACCCAACGGGCCTGCCTAGCTCAATCGGATAGAGCGTCAGACTCTTATTTGTGCTTAAATTGTTAATCTGAAGGCTGCGAGTTCGACCCTCGCGGTGGGCTATAGGATGTACACCGAGATTATTTTTTTTTCAAAAAATGAATATACTATTATAAAATTTGGTTCACTTGAATTTCCATGTAATGGGTTGAGCCGACTAGATGCTTTTAAAGGCCTGCCTATGTCAAATGGAAAGAGCGTCATACTCAAACCAATTGTGGCAATGCCCATCTGAAGGCTGCAAATTTGACTCTTGCCATAGGCCATCTCCAAGAATACAAGGTTGTGTTTTTTTCTTACAATGAACGATTGATGTAATGGAATATGATAGACTAAGGAGGGGTCCACCATGGACCAAGGTATTTTTGATTTTTTGTTCTCTTTGAAATTCCACACATGGCCAGCCATTCAAGGGGTACTGACCAGTAAATTCTGAGACACCATCTTGGGGGGAGGGGGGTCCAGCAGGGCCTCTAAATGCATAACTTTATCTAAAATAAATAGGCCTAATATGATACCAGTTTTAACTTTACTTTCTGCCCTCAGCCAGTAATGCAATGCCCCAGCCGTCTGGAAGTACAACCTTAGGTCACATATCCTAGCAGACCATCCATGCGCAAACGTCAAGCTATACGAAAAGCATTACAAGATCAGTGATGAAGAAATGGTGCTGATGTGAGGAGTTTACCTTTCTAAGCCATGAATGTCGAAGAAACAAAAGAAAAAGGATGGCCTGGTGATTATTGGGTGATTACTCAGGCTGAAGGCTATAGCACGAGACTTGCAATGCGGTGAGTTGTCTCCATGCTTGTTCAGCAGAAAAGCCTGACTGTGACCTAACTAGATCTCTTGATGGAGTTGTTGATGAGGAGTCTGCAGAAGAGACAGAGGGTGACAAAGAGGTCATTGAAGAGGGTGCTGAAGAGGTTATTCCAGGTACTGGGGAGGTGAACAATCAAGAGCTTGAAGGTGATTGTGTTTTAGTCAAGCATCTCTTGGGGATCACTTTGATCACACACCTTTATCTTCAGAAGTATCAACATCCAGAGCAGGGAGACAAAGTCGGATTAGAACCTTGGAGCAAGTGCCAAGATGAGCTGATCTGTGCTGATTTTGGGTGTGAGCAAGCTGTTTCTGCGCTGTTACTCACCAGGTGCAACTTTTTTGTAAGCTGCCAGCACCCGATTGACCTCTCTGGCACTGACTCCATTTATCAGTACCATCTTACATGTTGTGGGCTCCTTGAATGACCTTTGGCAGATTGGTTTTGTGATGAGGAATGTCAAAAAAACACCGGACTTTGGGGCACAGTAGGAAGCAGCGGAGGTCAGAATAATCACGTGTTTTTCCTTATTTGGAAGGTGCTAGAGGGGGGGAGGTCTCCCAGAGGGCTTAAATGCATAACATAACATTGTGTTGTGTACTTTTACTTTCGGTACCCCTTGCAGCCATTATGCATGTTCCAACATAGATAATTCCATGTTTGAGTCAATTGTGTGTGATTCAGCATTCATTCACGCAAATTTTACAACAATGACTTCCACTGTCTACATGCACATTTGGCTCAGCCTGGTACACTACTAACATCCCGACATCCTACCAGCTCTCTCTCAAAAACCCCATGTAGATACTCAACACTCCATCCCCTAAAAAGCTTCTTCCCATCCCCAAGCCACCCCTCCACCTCCCTAAAAAGCACCTTGACCCTTCTCCCCATTTTTTTCATTTCTTCAAATGAGAGCAAATACCCCATCCCAGCCTCTTTCAAATAATCATATGCACCGCTGGATACATAGAGGGACTTTGCAAGCTTGGAGCCAGACCAGTCGAGGATGAGCAGGGCATATGCTATGACAGGTGTCACCTCATCCATTGTCATCAGGGTTGGAGTCAGGAGGGAGGGAGGGAGGGAGAGGGAAGGGAAAAACAAGACAATTTGATGCCATAGAAGCTGCTCAGCATACGTTCCTGCCAAGTCCAATCCCGTCACGTGCATGTGTACCCTTGCGCAACCTTGCAAGTTGGCCTGAGACTGGTAGGTATCAATAGAATACGCAAGGCTTCAAACGATGTTCCTCGGTGGCATATTGAACTCTAACAATGCAACTCCATCTGGGTCAGCACTATCAACTGAATGGTATCCATGCTTGGGACAATAAAATTCAAGTTTTACCAATCCAGAAAGCATGACTGTATATCAATTCTTCTGCCCATATTTCTCTGCGAGCCTGCATTCCAAGTGTGGACATGCCCTACGCATGACTAAGCACCCTGTGTCAGGTGTGATTTCAGGGCCAAGGTGGGCATGGTCCTGTATCATTGCTTCAATGATGCATGGGACCCCAGGCATGCACATGAGAGCTTCCTGGTTGGTCATCTCATACAGGATGTTGGTGAAATCTGACACAACATCCAAGAGCTCCCTAAAATCTGGTAAATACCTGTCCTGTGCATGTGTGAACTGCTGGCTGCGCTGGTAAGTGTATCCATCCCTGTCCACATCCTTGGCGTTGTCTGCATCAGTGTCGATGTTGCACAGGTGGACAATTATGGAAAGATTGTCCACAAATTTCTGGAGTTCCTCGGAAGCATTGGGGGCAACACAGAGAGAGGTGTAGTATGCTTCAATTTCATGCGCAATGAGAAATGCAAGGATGAAAACAATGATTGTACCTCCATGCAGGGAGTTATTTGGTTGTGTGCCGATGTGAATTATCAGAGTGGTGGGCTGGTAGGAAGGGGAAGGAGAGTCGGGCAGGGGAAGGCCAAGGTAGTGGATATGAGAGGAGATGTATTCGTTTCAGAAGATGTAAGACCCCCTGCCCAAGGGGTTGTGTACTTTCCTGTTGTGCCTAGTGTTTGAAAGTCCAGTTAGGTCTGGTTATTTGGTTCCCACGGGCCCTAACCAAGACCGAGACCGGTTAGCCTTTGTCCTGAAACCTAAAATAACCTAACCAGACTGCAACTAACCGGTTACAGTTGGTTATTTGCAGTTATTAACTGGTTGGGACCGAAAAATAAAGAATCGGTTATAACAAGGCAAATATGCTCATATATATCTTGATAGATATTATTTCTGCATATTCTAGCTTTAAAACGAGCCCAAGAATGCTAAAATCGGTGAAGAATTGACATATTTATGCAATTATCCTTGAAAGTCTACACATTTGAGTGATATTTTAGAGATTTGACTGTAACTTAGTCAAATTTTGAGTGTTTTCGACATTCTCATATGCGTTTTGAAGGTGTATAATAGGGCTGGTTATAACTGGTTATTTAACAGTTAGTTAACCGCAAAATAACTGGTTATTCCATTTTCAAAATCGACTAACCCTAACTGCAGTTAGGTTAGTGTTGCAGTTAGGTCCAGTTATTTTCCAGTTATTTTCCGGTTAACTAACCTAACTTTCAAACACTAGTCATGCCACAAAGGGGTGGGGGATTGTTCATCGACACTCCCCTCAACACTAAATATCCTGATACTGGATTCAGTATTGGTAATGGGGTAGTAGAAGCCACCCACCTTGCCAGAGCTTTGAGAAAATCAATGCCTTGTTTTATAAACTTAATTTGGGAAAAGGAGAGGCAACTTGGAAACAGATGGGAATGTGTCTTTGAGGCAACTTTGATACCAAAGCTATGCCCTGAACCCTATTACAGCTGATTGAAAAACGATAGGCCAGTTGTGGCTCTTTAGCGCTTCCAGCTTCAGCACTCAGCAATTTGCTTGTTTAAAAATAGATTAGTGGAAGAAAGCACAACGGCTCGTGGGCCTGATGCCGGTTGTTGTTTGGTCCAGCTCTATGATGTTCCATAGTTGTTCACTTTCCGCCTCAAACTTTGAGGGCATTCATACATTGGAAATTCCGGTGATCATTTATGGCAGCAGTTTCCGCTGTAATCACATGCTTACTTTAGCGTTTAGTTCACTAGTTTGCCAGGCAGGCAACGGGCAGGTATACATATGGTTATTGCAGAAAAGTGATTCCATTGATGAATAAGTGTATCTAGTCACTGAAAGTCCATTGATGTAAGCAGCAGAACAGATATCTCCCACACATTATCTTGCAATATGTCCCAACAATTATGAATAACATCAGTGAACATCCCAGAGAAGCTCCCAGATAATTCATGATGGGCGGAGGCAAGGCAGCAGGTGGAATTGATGGGTTATTTTGAGGGATTGGTTGTGCATTGAGGATGTTGTGTTTGAGGTGGCTGGCAACTTGGCGTATGAATGTCACAACGCCACCTAAGGTGAGGGTCGAAGTCAGGTGTGCCTTAAGCTTGTCAAGGGCGTTGGTGGCAGGTGATGAGCGCGCATGATATATCACATAGGTGTTTCAACGTGTTGTGCTGCGGGTCACGTTTTTTCGTCATGGAAAGTGCTGCCATAAGCAATCACCGTTATGCATGCCGTAACTTCCAATTCCCAAACTTACTAGCTTAATCCCAAAATGGAAGCCGCCTTATTTTTAGAAATGCACCTCAGAGATTGTTTGAAGTCCTGTGGCTCAGCACTGGGTTTGTGTTACGGTTGTTAAGCGTAACGGGCAGTTATGTTAAGCTTTCGAGTTCGATCGTTTGTTCGTCTACCACAGTTCTCGTCGTTGAGACAAAGTGGGTCACTACAACGTTCGCTTGGCCCTTAAAGCGACACAGTAGGTTCTAGTAGCCTTGCGCCCGAAGGTCAGTCCAAGGTTCTATGATACGCTGACTTCTGTTAAGTCAAACGTGTATTAAGTCTTCAACGTTGAAGACTTATCGTCGAGGTTTCAAAAGAGGCTCTAAGTCAAAGACTATAGAGTTCGAGGGCGATCTTAGTTTCTGAGGGTCTGATGAGGGAGAACTAAGCTTAGATTGCCTAGGTTCAAGCTACCGAATACAAATAAGAAGTACCCTACTTATATACTAAGGGTATGAGTCAAGTACGAGTCAGAGGCATGAGTTCGTATGACTTGTGTAGAGTCATACGAGTCGTATCTAGTCTATAAGAGTCATATGAGTCATATGAGTCAAAGTGAAGGAATCTGACTGGAATGCGTGTCTAGAACTGTCCAGTATGGTCTAGATACGTCTTAGGAGTATGTAAGTGTCTGCGCGTCGTATATGGGAAAAGAGTTTGTAACAGTTTGTTTGAATACAAGATATTTTATGTTTTCTTGCAGCCTTAAAAGGTTGAGGGAAAGAGAAGAGGGACAACATATTTAAGCAGGAATCCTAGTATTCTGCTGCAACTAATGTACTTATACATGGTATGGTGTATCTTTGATAACAATATGAGGACCATCAATGCCGCCTGGTAACAATGATCTAAGAAGAAGACACACCTGCAGTTGGGCGTTCAACTGCTATATGTATCTACTAAATCTTGCCTTTCAACTTGGCATTCCACAAGCGGCTTTTCTTTGGCGTTCGCTCAACGCTTCCTCAGGCTTGCAACCCACTGCTCAAGGTGAGATGTTGCTTGCACTGTAGTGTTCTTCCCAGTGTTTCATTCTACAACATTGTGTGATGGTGAGGGGCTAGGATTTCGTATTTGAGGTGGCAGGTTCTTGTTGTGAAGGTTTTGTCAATTCTCGTAATTTTATGATCTGTGGCTGAATGAATGATGTTAGCAACTTGTTGGTAGCAGTAACAAAGATATACCTTTAAAAGGGAGGCCATATAGGGGATGAGGCCGGCGAGCTCCCGTAGATAGTCGTCGTCAAGTTGGAACTAGCACTGAGCAGGGGCAAGCACGAAATCACAACCAAACATTGGTTTGTATGGTTTTTGCATGGCTTCCGTTTTGGGATTAGAGTTTGAGGCGGAAACTCAAAAGTGACGTTCCATACTAAGTATCAAAGGTCACCTACTCAGCCACCCTGGGTACTCGGCCATTTCAGTATTTAGGGTCTAGACAGCAAACCACTTACCATAGTGTATGTTTAAATTTGAGGGCTGTAGTACAGGAAGTTATTGGCATGAACGTGAATTTGCCAAAGATCACCCAATTTGAGATATGATGGGTTGATGGGTGGCCACATGGTGTTTTGGCATGTTTTCTAAGACCCCCACCCCCTGATATGGCAACGCTTTGCCCAGCATCAGTGTTTTGACTCTTGGCTTGAAACTTGCTGATGTTGTAGATCCTGGTAGTAGTATGTATAATTGCACCCAAATTTTATGTTTCAACCCACATGAGCCCCATGCTCCTCTGATTGGCCGAGTTCTCAGGTTTGTGCAATTTCCCACTGTCTGTCAGAGAATCCCCATCACGGTTACATAGTTGATTCAAACATCATGGCAAGTATCTTAGGTCCTTCCTAACGTAGCTGCCAAGCATCTGACCAAAGCTTGAGATATGTAAGTATTTTGATTCACTGTTATTCCACCAGGAACCCTTAGGTGGCCGAGTACCTGACCTTTGATAGTAGGTCTTCTTTTGCGCGATGGTGAGTTCCAGGTTTAATAGGGAGGGTATTGTCTGTGTATACATGCTCTATCATCCTGTCAGTGTTAGTTGGCACATGGCTGGTTTGTGTGTGTCAGAGGTGTGCGAGTGGGGGAGCATGGCAACGTGGTGGGAAGGCGCAAACCGTGTTCACGCGTTTGTTTTGTTGTGTTTTGTTGGGAGAACTTTGACTCACGAAATTCTTGCTACTTGGCGCCTGTCATATGTTTTTCCGATTCATTCTTATCCTCACTCCATTCTTCGCAAACAATCCAGAGACAGAGATCTCTTGTCATAATAATTTTCAAAAAATGCGCGAAGATCATCTGACAGTGATTATTCCGCACATCTACAAAACTTCACCGCCCGCCTAGCTCAATCGGATAGAGCGTCAGACTCTTATCTGGTGTTTCGTTCTGATGCGGGTAAATCTGAAGGCTGCGAGTTCGACCCTCGTGGTGGGCTATACGGCAATGATAAGTGTTTTTTTATTTACTGATATAGAATTACTTTTGAAGGCCTGCCTAGCTCAAATGATCTTTTTATACACAATGTTTGAGATTTGAAAGTTTTGAGGTGATTAAAAACTTGTAAAAGCCTGCCTAGGAGAGAGTATCAGACGTAAATCGTGCCCGACAGTTGAGCTTGAGTAGTTTTGCTAGGTACCTCGGGTTCCGATGTAACAGTTTCCTGCTTGACCGAGGAGATTGGCCTGGCATAAACAAGAAGGATAATCCAAGGAGGATAATCCTCACAATGTTGGGCGTATCAACACGTGACGTTCCATAATATGCCACTCGTGGTTGGAACTGTCCGCACGGCGTGCGCGAGGTTGCAAGTTCGACCCTTGCAGTGGGCTATCATCCAGGCTTCAAGCAAAGTTCTTTTTCACGCATGGAGCATTTGAACCCCGAATTGAATGTGTCGTATATCAGTGCACGCCGGGCCTGCCTAGCTTGATTTATGTAAGTGAGATGGGTCTTTGCTATCATTTTGAGGAGATGAAGAAGGAAGGGCGGGAAGAGGAGATGAAGAAGCAGCGAAGGAGGAGGTGGGTTCAGGTGGGCAGAGTGTTGGGTGCTTGCGTGGGATTCCTGAGAGAGAGTGAAGGTGGGATATCGATAGGAAGGGCTGTGATGGAACACCGTTCTAATTATTTTTTTTCATGGGGTCAGTCAATTTTATTTTGCTGAACCTTTGCGATCGGACTGTTGCGATAGATACTATTCAATCGACCATAGTTTATATTGAACTTCTCAGCGTCGCATCCCCTCACTCAAATAAAACGACGTGCCAACGTGAATCATAACGGGTGTTGTTGAACTTGCAATAAAAGAGTGGCTGGCGAAGAGAGTGATATTAGAACTTCGTTGGCTTTCCATCAGTGCCTTCATTGGCCTAGTCAGATGAACCGATACCATTACATCTGCGCTATAGATCCTTGATAATAGATATGTGTTGATTCTCTCGGAACAGCCAGACTATTCCACAACATAATACGACTCCTTCAGTTGAAAGAGTTGAGAGTACCCATGTGGAAGTGCGGAGTGGTTTACTCACGCCACTTCCCTTTTTCTTTGATTTCTTACGCGTTTTCATTTTTACTTTGACCTCTTTTCCTTTTTATTTTGTGTGTATTCTAGGTATGAAGAAATTTCAAGTCTGTTTTTTCGACGCGCTTTGAATGCACCAACGAACAAGCTCTGTACGCGTTCCGGCAACTAAACGCAACCGGAGGATGACGTCATATTCGGCGACTTGCAGTAAATGCCCTCCTCGTATGATGTCATCGCCAGCGTGGACTTGGGTTGAGAGTTCGACTCCCCCTTTTATCGTTTGTATGGTTAGCTTGGGGTTTTGTTTCGTATGTTCAGAAATTCTTTGCTTTTGTCGTTCATCTTTTTTTAGTTTCTTTTTATTGATACGACAACTCTTTTCGAGACCAAAGCCAGATTCGAGAACTGGACGGTAGGGTCGAAGCGTCGTCCGTTACGAAGCCCGCACTGAAGGGGGCAGTCGCGCACGTAAATTGGCCTCTCGTAACGTCGACAGCTCCCCGAGCAATCCCTAGTTCAACGGTTTGGTGGAGGAATTGACAGGACGCGTCAAAAACCTATTTTTGTACGTTTAGCTTCTTTACTTCTATTTTTCATTAGAATTCTTCGAGAAAGGTAGCACGCGAGAACGTGCAGATGCCTTGTGATTCCGTGTTTTTGTATTTAAAGGGTGTCCTCCCACCTCACGAATGGAGCATCGTTTTCTCCCTCCAAGAACGTCCTTCTTTGTTTTCCCAAGAATTTAAGACTTCAAGACTTCAAGAACGACGACACTCAAGAACACCTTACGAGATTTCAAACCGCTCTCGCTTCGCGCGCGTTCACTCACACGACTGTCTACCGCTAAGTACTCGATTCGTCTTCGTGTCTTTGTTCATTCCCCCCTTCTCTCCCTTTGTTATTCACTTCTCCGTGAAGTAGACGACCGGTATTCTTGTCCCTTCTGTTAAACTTTCGTTCTTCCACACCCAATGGTTGGAAGCACACGCTCCCGTGGCACGGACTGCCACGCCCATTTCCATCTGCCATTTCAGTTGCGACTAGGGACTCGAAGTAAAGCAAGGTTTATGTCTACCAGAGTGGGGTTGGCCAAATTCATATTTCGTCTATCCATAGGTGGCCTTGAAATAGGGAGAGAAAGAAAATGAACAAATGGGAATTTCCATGTACATGCATCAAGGGGGAATCGAACCCCCCATAACCTGAACTTGGAATGGCATGCAAGGATGACCGAATCAAGGTGTCTATTCGCTGTTCTGTTGATGCGTTATGGGATAATTGAAGCGTGGAGTGTTTATATGAGAAATCTAATTGTCAGCGTAGGGTAGAGTGAAAAAAAAAAAAAAAAATTTAGGAAGATTTTGCTCACATCATACATAGTACATGGGGAGACGTCTTAATACTAAAATCCCGATACATAACATTGTAGAATGCATATGTAATCAAAAACCCAACAAAATCCTCTCAGATCGTTTAGCACATCAAGGAGGAATCGAACCTCCTGCCGCTTTGGCATCTGCGAGATTGGTACGTCCTTCGTGACGAGTAATCGACTCGGCCCGTTGTACCATTGATGTCTTATGAATGTGTGGAGGAGCGGGAGGTCCTAACTGGTATTTTGTTGACTCGGAGGATTGAGGGTGTTCAAGTTGCCATGAGTGAATGATACAATTTAGTGAAAGGATAACAAGTTGCTTGCATTTGTCCCATGAAGACGCCGGGTTAATATTCTTCGTATACTTCTTGCCGCTTCCCAGCATGTAGGCCAAATCGAGTACTCCTGCTAAGTGAACTGTCAGCCGTAAAAAGCCTGGCCATAGAGCAAATGCATTCCGAGGGAATCGAACCCTCTGGAGATTGACGAGCGTCGATGGTAGAGGCCCAGTTTCACACTGCCCTATTAATGCGTTGTAGTCCAAGAGCTGTAGATTAACAAATGATTTCCAAGTCGCCTACCTATCGAGGAGGAGGCCTTGTGGATTGCTTGCGGAGTGTGGTCCGAGTCGCGGTTGAGAATGTCACGCATCACGTGCACCGTCACTCGCGCATCTCAACGCGTCTTTGTTTTGTTTCCCAACCTGCTCTGAACGACCATGACCTCAAAGTTTCCCAAGGTAGTGGGTAAGTCCATTGACCATTCTATGCAATAGAATGTTATCTCTGATCTGTTAATGAACAGGATACGAACTGGTGCAACAGATTGGTGGAGGAGGCTTTTCGACGTACGTATCCGCCTTTCTACCTTTCCTTCCCCCCTTTGAATTTATCCCCTCCACAACAGTGTATACCGCGCAGTAAACTTCGAAGACCACCGCGTAGCAGCATGCAAACTCGTCCTACTCACTCCCTCCACCTCAGAAAAAGAGCGCAAAAACATTGAAAAGGAGATGAGAGTCCACGCGGCTTTGAAGCATGCCAACGTTCTGGAGTTTTTGAACGCTGTGGTGGTTGAACAGAAACATAGGGATGTTTATGTTCCGGGGATTTATATGTTGTTGGAGTTGGCGGCTGGGGGTGATTTGTTTGATAAGATTGGTGAGTGATATAGAGGCTTTCGTGGGTTACGCTTATGGTATGAATGGTGTAGCCCCCGACGTGGGTGTTGGTGACCAAGTGGCCCATTATTATTTCAACCAACTCCTCGCTGGTATGGTGCGTACCCCCCTCCCTTCATTCCACGCAACGCTGAAAACTATCGCAGGAATACATCCACTCCCAAGGCGTATGCCACCGCGACCTCAAGCCCGAAAACCTCCTCCTAGACGTAGCAGGCACTCTCAAAATATCCGATTTTGGCTTATCGGCGGTGTATAAGCTCAAGGAATCGGGAAAGACGAGGACGTTGACGGAGAGGTGTGGGAGTTTGCCTTATGTTGCGCCGGAGGTGTGCACTTTTTGTTTTGCTCTTTTTTCTTTGCATTTCGTTTCTTCGTATTCCCGTTGGGTTCTTCCCCTGCTGTTGATGCTGACAAGATAGTTGAATAGTTAAACAGCGACGCGCCGTACCTGGCGGAACCGGTGGACGTTTGGGGCGTTGGGGTGATCTTGTTCACTTTGTTGGCTGGAAGTAAGTCTTTTCCGCCTTTCCTTCTCCCCTTCATTCCTTCCTTTCCTTCTCCCCCTTCTCTTCCACCTCCTCCCCTTCCTCTCCCTTTACCCCCCTTCCCTTCCGTCCCCGTGCTCCCCCCCCCCCCTTTTCCGTCTTTTCTTCACCTCTCCCCTTTCTTTCCCCCTTTCATACCCTCACTAACAACGAAACTCTAGACACACCATGGGACGAACCAACAATACACAGCCCTGAATTCGTGCGATACGTCTCGGGCGCGATATTTCGAGAGTTGCCTTGGTGTCGGTTGGGTGAGGAGGCACTGTGTGAGTGGTTATTTTCGTTGTTGTGGTTTTTCTTCTTCTCTTGTGTGCGCTTCACTTGTCTTTCTTTGTGTGTTTACCCACCTCTTTTCGTTGCACTGAACTGGTTTTTCTTTCTGTTCTCTTCTTTTGTGACCCCGCGTGTATATAAAACGGAAGCTAACGGGAAGAAACAGCGCTTCTTCGAAGTCTACTCGCCGTGGACCCGTCAAGAAGGATAAATTTGGCGGAGGCGGCTAGCCATTCGTGGTGTTTACGGTGGGTTGGCTTTCCTTTTTTTTTTGTTCTGTTTCCCCCTTATCCCATCCCCCTCCCTTGGTCTACCTTCCGCTCTTCCCCACTTCTCCCTCCTCTCTTCCCCCTTCACCCCCCGATTTCCCCTCCCTTCCAGACCTCCGCATTCCGTCTCTGGCACTTACTGACTACAAATCCTACATCCACAGACCGAGTCAACTGGCAAACAAAGGCCCTCTAGCGCTCGCGGACAAGCTCACAGAGTCTTTGAGGGATAATGGGGATTTAGGGTTGGCAGCACCCGATTTTGGGAGACGGTGTGTTGTTTTTTTGTCTCTCTTTTTTTGATCTACCCACTTTTGGGTTTTCTGCCCTTTTAGATTTTATTTTCTTCCCACTTTCGGTTTTTTTTTTTTTCGTCGATGCCTTGTGGCCTTTAATTCCGGCCTTTCGTTTTTTTGCTTTCTTTTGCAGCCTTGCTTCCTCCGGACATCTCGTCGCCGTTCATCCTTTCGTTGCGTATCTTCCCCACCTTTCGGCCTATCGATATACAGCCTTTTTTTTGGCCGGCTTTCTTCCTTTCGCCGTCTTTCGGCCCTTGACCTCCTTCCTTCCTTTTGCTGTCGCCGTCTATCTTCTGCCCGACATCTTCCGACTTCTCGACTTTTCGAGGCCTCTCTTCTCTTTGGCCGCTTCCTCTCTTTCCCCTTCTGACGCCTCTCTTCCTTTTGACACCTCTGTTGACGCCTTTCGGCCTTTGACCTTTTGACACGTTGTCGCTTTTCAACTTTCCTCGATTCGCCGGTTTTTCCCTTTCGCCGCCTTGTGGCTTTTCGACACTCCCCCTTTGCCCCCTTTTGGCCATATACCGCCTTCCTTCCTTTAGACATATTTCTTCCTTTTGGGAACTGTTGCCGTATTTTCTTTTTCACCATCTTCCTTTCTTTTGATACTTTTGATACCTCTGAGGCCGCCTTTCCCATCACCGTCTTTCGGTTTGGCTTTTTGACACCTTGCGGCTTTTCGGCACCTTTTTTTCTATTTTCTGCCTTGCGGCCTTTCGCTGCCTTTCTTACATTTGCTGCCTCTTTCCTGTCTTTGCCTTCCTTCCTTTTGAAACCTTTTGGACTTTCACCGTCTTTCTTCCCTTCCCTACTTTTCCTCTTTCGCCTCCTTTCGTTTTTTTTATTAGTTGTAAGGACATACTAAAGGATGACATTGGAAACAGGGAAAGCGACGAAGAAGAAGAAGTTATGCTCTCGGCTACACATCAGTCACAGTTCACGCAGTCCCTTTTGCTCTTTGTGCGTTGCTTGTTTTCTTTATTTCCTTCCTACATTACCTCTCCCTCCCTTTCTCCCCTCCCGCTTTCCTCTCTTCCCCTTTCATTACCCTCGTTTCCTGTTTCCCGCCCCTCCCCCGATGACGTTCCCCCCCGCCGTCCATGCCGGCCTTCTTCCTTCATTCCTTCTTCCACCTTCTGCACCCCGCTAACCATCCCACTAGTCCCAAACTCAATCAGGAACACGATACACACCCAACTTGACACGGTTTTACGCTTCTCTAGGGCCGTCCCTCATGATGGGGATTATACAAGAAAGCTTGGAAGCGTTGAACGTTAAATGCAAACTGTCTCCCATCCCGCAAGCGGCAGAAGACCAACAACAAGAAACCTCGCGAGCCAATGGAGTTATCAAGCTGCGCGTAGGCGGCTTTGACAGACGGAAACAAAAGTTCAAAGGGTGGGTGGAGGTGGAGAAGTTTAGTTATAGAGGCGTCACGGGAAGTTTTTGTTTGATGAAGCGAGATGAGGTTGGCTTTCTTTTACTTGCAGTTTTTTTTTTCCTGCCTGAGCTGATGTGGGGACAGGGAAATCCGATATGTTGGAGACAATTGTGGAAGGCGCTGATCAAGTCTCCGGCTGTGGATCCGCACGTTTTGAGGAAGTGAGGTGGGAGGGGAGCAGTTGGTCGTGGGGGTGGGCCCGTCGGATATCTCGAAAGACCTTTGATTTTCGATGGAGTGGCCGCCGGCGGTGGATCCGCGCCCACTTTTAAAGGAAGCAAGAGAAAAGAAAGGAGAAGAACATTGGTGATCTCAATTTCTTGCTTATATATCCGTTTTTATTTTATTTTGAGGAGCTTGAATACTATTCCAATCCGTCAGGAAGGGACGTTTCATGTAGATTATGTTGTACAACATCCCCCCATATCTGGATTTATGCTTCGGAGCTCTGCAGCCCAACAAAACTTTTGTCGGGGGAACTCCGTTCTGTTAGAAGAAGACAAACGACACTTCTACTCAATCCAGATATATATAACACTGTACAACAAGACCTATTTTCAAAGTAATCAGATCTAAGTCTCCTTGTGGGGAAATCGCGGCGTTCAATTCAAGGGCCCGGGATCCGAAGTTTGCATTTGCGGTAGGTGTGAAAGTTATAAATATTGCAAAGTTACAACACAAGTGACCGCCCAGGAGATATGTTTCGAAATAGTTGTACAAGTTGCCTAGTCACCCGCCTACAGCCCAAAACAGAAGGAGAAATGTCGTACATCATACACAATCAATCGTACACCGAATGTCCTACACAAGTCATTCACACCATCATACCAGAATGTTTGGAAACATCCGAGTCCACAACGGACATCGTTGTTTTGTTCACGTTGATTTGCAACTGTAAAGAACGACCTTCAGCTTAAACTGGAGACGACTCGGATGACAGAGATGTGCTGACTGGTGTAGTTTTGGTCTCTTCCTCCTGACATACATAATATTTGGTAAGTGCCATCGAAACGCGTCAAAGGTAGGCAAATAACCGTACCGAAAGTCTCTTCATCGAGGGACGCGGCCCTCGGAAGTTGTCTGGGAACATGATGGGCTGGCGGTCGTTCGAGTTGGAAGGTGAAGCACGGTGACCGGGACGCAGACCCTTCCGGGTGTTAAGTCTAAACAGGGAGGTCAGGATAAACTTCGGCTGGGGGAGTAAATGCTCCTCTTACGTCGCCAAAAGAGAATTGGCGTAGACTGGGTCAAAATACGAAGTTAGTAAGCGCGTGATGGCGAGCAAGGGTATCGCATTACGCACATTTGCTGATGACAAAGTGGAGGCCCAGGAAGATGAGGTTGTTTCCCCTTTCTAACCACTGTGGGGAATGAGTTTGAAGAGATATAACAATATGGGGGAACGTACACAGATCATGGACACTACAACGGCAGCGCTTAGGAAGATTGGTATGTGCTTTGTTTACTTTGAAGCAAAAAAAAATAGACATACCAAGTCAACGATCCGTTCTCAAAAGAATACAAGATCAACTTGTCAAGGACGTGATTCATGCTGAAACTAGTTAGATGACATCAGCAACAAAGAAAGCGCTATATGACCAACCTGGACATTTTCTTTTGATTCTTCCTTAAGAGGTAGCAGAGAAATCCTGTGATGAGGACGTCTAGCGCGGATGATAACGCCAATCCCGAAGTGAACGAGAACTATACCACGAGAATCATGAACACAGGAGTTTGTTTCATGTGGCAGATACATACCGTGTACAGTTGAACAAAACGTTTGAGGCTCCTAAGCGTAATCCTGGAGGGGAAGATATGTCAGTACTGGCATACGAAGGTATGAAAAAAAAAAAGTCGAACAGCTTATTCGTGGTCACTGAGAGAAACAAGTTGTTAAACAACAATGTTTTCATTTCTCGTACAACTTCTGAAACTTACATGAAGCGAAGCCTGGAGGATAGTTAAGTATGGGTGTATTCACTGGAGGTCGGACAATTGACTTACAAAGACGAGCAGTGGCGAGGATAGCCTAAATAAACGTCAGTCTGGATCTCGTGCGCAAAGCTTGCGGAAAGACGCACCAGTGGCACAGAAATGAAGAAATTGTTCAAGCTGACTAGGGTAGATGTGGGACTCGGAATGGGGAAGCACAGATACGGAATCTCTTACGCTTGTGTATTCTGTAGATGAAAAAGCTTGGGCTAGAGTTCAGCGACGTGAAGAGTTTTTGTAACAATACTACGACATACCCATGTACAAGATAAGTGAGGGCGGCCGTCAATGCGATCGTGGTCTGATATCCAAGACGAAGTATTAGCCATTTTCCTATCAAAATGTACTGCATGAGATTACTCACGGCTAGAGACCTGGACAAAGCAGTAGGAAAAAGGTTATTATACATACAGAAGGGGTGGGGGGATATGTACCAAGGAATAAAGTCTATCCGCGCCTGATCACCGAAGTGCGCAATGAGATGATCCCATAATGACATGCTGACGAAGATAGTGTGCAAGAAGTCTAGAAACCTGCGTGCCGTGATAAGCAGGTAACTTCACGTCATTGGGACGGTTAACCAACCAGACGGCAGCCACCTGCGCGTAGATAAGGCGACCATGAACATGCATGCAATTGCAAGACGTGGTGCTTACAAGGACTCTGAGAATAGCGACATCATGTGAATAGTTCTTGAAGTAGACGACGGTCTGGACCGTGACGATCCCAGAGAATCTATCATTTGGAAGCGCATCAGTTAATGGAACGATCACAAAAGATCGGCAGAGAGACGCACATAGAAGCCACAATCCCCCCAATGAGTAGAGCGCCAAAGGTTCCTGAAATGTTAACTGCCACAGCAGGAGCTGACATGACGGCGGATAACGACTGAAGAATGTAAAAGGAGGGAGGGGATGGCGGAGGCGAAAGAGAGGGAAAAGATTGGAAGCGATGAGAGACCCACGGAGGTACATCCTGAATTGAGGTGAATTATATATAGTTCAGCGAACGAGTAGGAGATTCGACCCTATGTTTGATATCCAGTCCGGATCAGCCTCCTCCTGAAAGTATGTACAGTGACAAAACCTGTGCTGACATGGCGGAGTTCTCTATTATCCCGATAGAGCGAGTATATCCCAGGTTTTTGGGTTAGTGATTGGCGCGCAAAGTCTTTGCCACCCACAACTTGGCATAGGACCGGAAGGCACTGGCAGCGCCGTAAGTAATCCTTCTAGCGACTTGGCATTACAGTGCTTTGCATGTGAGATTGCACTCAAAATCTCACGAAAACTTGTTTGTACTTGTGGTTTGTGGCTGATGTCATGCGTTCTACACCCAAAATCAACCCAAAATAGTTACTTAAGGTCACGAAATACAAATGCAAACAAGTTTTCGTGGGATTTGTAGTGCAATCTCACATGCAAAACACTGTACTTTAGAAGCCGCAAATAGAATAGGTTGGTGAAGTATGTGAGATATTGAGTGTCCTGTAATTGGTGAGCAGCTGATCCATTACGCCGCCGATATGGAAATCAGGTACATCATCGAGATTTGGGCGGACAATTGCCAGGAACAATTGGCTAGGAGGGATGGAGTGAAGCTGGAAGGCGCTGACGTTCTGTAGGCCAAACACGTTTAATCCTCGACGTCGTTTCGCGAGCAGGGTCTACGGGATGATGATTGGATGATTAGACGGTGACAAATTGAGGTTCGCTCAAGATAGCCTAGCAGCAACTTGGCTGCCTCGGTCCAAGCCCATTTTTGACCCCCGTAAACGAGTGCAAACGCAGAGATTGGCGTTACAGCTTGACAATTAAATGCAGTGATAATAAGACACGAGGTTTGAAACGTTGAGGCCAAAGAGAAAGGGTCGAGCAAAGTCCAGAAAGTTAGACGGACATTCTCGGCGATAAGATAAGATGTTAATATCTGATAATTTGCGTCATTTTAAAAGAAAGAAGCTGCAAATGGATGGCAATCAGACCTTGAAGTACGGTCTCCTGCACGGTAAACTTCTCGGTTCAGATGGGATGAGTCGGGACTTAGGATGGCACCTTACTCGGAGTGACCGATTCGGAATCACTTTCGTGGGCGCTGAGATCACAATGGAACAGGTCAGATTGACATGGACTTGTGACACAACGGGTATCGCGGTCCTGAGGAGGTCCACTTTGAGTTGGCGGCTCATCCACGACCTTAATGCGGGAATACATCCTCCGGAGCGTCCGTTCATCCAGGACAATGAGTCATGAGGGCGGAGTCGTCTGTAATGTGTGTAAGTATCCTTGGCGAGATGTGGTGGATAGAGCCTTGGCAGCTCCTTACAACCGGTCTTTGGGTGGAATTATTGTGTAGACTCGGAAAAGTGACAGCTCCATTTCTGAACGGTGTTAGCGTCTATGGGCAAAAGAACAAATAAATTACACCATATGTACGATGAGGACGCTTGAGGACGGCGATTACCATACCGGCGTTTCAGGCCTAGATTGCGCAAGAGATAAGTGGGCGAGCTTAATTGTTGGATGAGGATGGTCTGCACACCATTATTGTCCGTTAGACAGGTTGCTCATCATTTCAAAACTCAGTGACTAAAGGTGAAGTCAGTCAGTCAGTCCTCAACGCTCAACTGGCATCCCGGCGAAGACTGTCCCTCGCGATTTTCATCGGAATCGCCAATCCTGCAAGAAAAAGATGGCATTATGGAGATGCTGATTCCGATATAACACTTTCTTGATCCCGCTGCTACCTGCATCACTTCCGTTCCTGAATATTGCGGTTTACGCATCACCCTCTCACAAAATTAGCAGCAGGCCCGCCGTTGCGACGCATGACACCAATGTTAACTGCCAGGAGTCAAGATCAGCGACGGAATGGGGAGGTTCGGGCCGCAGGAGCATACCAGGTCGTCGTTCCCATCCCCTTGCTTTGGGATTTCCACCTTTCAGAGCCAGAGTACGATCTAGAAATTTCCTGATCTTCCGTGAAGGGCGTGCGGACGGAGTCGATGGCTTGTTGGCTTCGGGGAGAACCCGAATTGCCCGTGAGCTGAATATAAGTGCAATCAGGAGAGCCATCATAAGTGAGAAAACGGACTAACCCTATTACAAGGTCTTTTGGAGGCGCATTGTTGCGTTTACGTTTTCTTGAGGGCAGTTGTGTCTTCGAATCTATGTCTTCCACTTTCCGTTTGGACGAGGTCGTCGAGGCTTTGAAAGCAGCCTCAAATAGTTCGTCGGGGAGATGGTCAGGATTTGATATCCGACCTGGTTGCTCATCCCGGTCTGAGTCGTTCAGATTTGACTCCATGTCGCTCTCGTCGTTGTCTGAGCCTGACTCTTCTTCCTGGCTGCTCAACTCTTCTCCACTTTCGTCATCGTCTGACCCTTCCAAGCCACCAAAACCCTCAAACTCTTCCTCGTCGCCGCTTTCTTCCTCACCCATTTCGTCCTGGGCTTCCTGCATTGCCCTCTGCATCCTCGCCTCCAGGTCCAGATCACGGCTACTTCCACTCTTCTCCTTTTGCTTTCCCCTGTTCCTCTCCGCCCTCTCCTTCAATTTTCTGTCCCTTTCCCGATTCTCTTCACGTTTCCTCTCTTTCACTAAAATTTCTGCTTTCTTTAGCTCCGTTTCGCGACGGTGCACGCTCTGCTTTGACTGAGTTAGTGATATAGTTTCTGGCGCTTCTTCATCGCTAGAGCCTGATTCTTTGTGTCGAGGGGCCATCGCCATGTTGTCGATTTGTGGGGGTTGGAAGTGAAATTTCAAGCGTGAGAAAGCTGTGCAGTGGCGGTGCCGAGCGTAGCCGAGCGCTTTAGCTTTTGGCTTATAAAAATTTGCCCTATCTCGACTCAGATTTCGCTAGCTGGGGCTAACCTAAAAAACTAGCCAGGAAATTGAGTTTCAGAGAATGACCAACCGTTTCAGTCACTCGTCGCTGTGACTCGTGTGGTTTCCGGCCACTATGTCCTACGATCTTCCAATGGGGCAAAAAGGACAGCCATTTCTTAACTCTCAGCATTGATTTTCATTACTGAACCAATGGAAGGATCCGGCGAAGCTCATGGACAAATCCCTTTCACATACAAAGCCGCGGAAATTTTGAAACCACATGAATGTTGTCCGAGGTAGATGCAACACGTCAATATTGTCGCGAACCTTTGAACATTTGACTGGACCTTTCCTTGCCGAAATAACGCATGAACATCTTCCATTTCATTCCTAGCCAGGAATTTGGAACTTCCGTGACACGGCCACTGAAGTCCCAGCGCCATCATCATCACCTCAATTCATACTGATGCGCTGGAATGTAAGGTCGTTAAATTCCACCGCATCAGTAGTATGTGGTCAGGCCATCCCCGCAGGCTTACGCATCAAGGTTAAAAGCCCTCTTGGCACAGTGCGCGCAACAATTACCGACCGCGCTGCGGTTTCTTTCGGAGCAATTATATCCTTTGGCGTTTGGTCCCAGCATTCGCCTCCGTTCCTTTCGGACTTTCTTATTCAACTTCCGCTTGACTTCCGCCGGCAAATGAGATACATTCCCCCAACCATATGCTCGTGCTCTTAACCGGGGGTCGAGGATGTGGAGCGTCATTGAAGACAGCACGTGGTCGACGACATCATCCCTGTTTCCGGGGATGCAATAATTGCAAGTTGAGTCAGCTTTAAAATTTATTGGGTGCTTAGAATATAAGACCAAGGACGTTCACCCAGCAACCCACAATCATCGAAATCATGTCTGTTCTACAGGATCTTACTCTCGCCAACCTGCTTGTGGACGCCCTTCTCTTCTACGCGTTGTACTGTTTTTCAAGATGGCTTTTCCCGCCGTTTACCTCAGGGAGTCCATTTCGCGACATTCCTGGTCCCCCACCAGCCTCTTGGTTTATGGGTAGGTCGCGATTGATGACTGCGACTTTTTTGCCTAGACTTATGCGTTCCAGGAAATTTGGGACAGCTCTTTAATTCCAAAGGCCTCCCATTCCATCAAGAGCTCGTGGATCGGTTTGGAGGGATGGTCAAAGTTCACGGGTTCTTTGGGGTGAGACTGTCCTCTTTCGCTGTCCTCATTATCAACAACTGAAAAACTTTCAAAGGAGGAACAACTATACATCTCTGATCCCCGCGCACTTCATTCTATAATTTCGAAAGACCAGGATGCGTTTGAAGAGACTGCCGTGTTTATTGAGTAAGTCACCTAACTTTCGCAGAGACGGAATACTAACGATTCTTAGGACAAACAAAGTCATTTTCGGGCCTGGCTTAGTTGCGACGACAGGTAAGTAACGTCTTCTTCGTTGACACAAACTCCATTCAATTCAATTCCAGGCGAACAACACAAAAGGCAGCGGAAGTTGGTCAACCCCATGTTTTCGACGCTCCAACTTCGGCGCCTCGTGCCGATTTTCTATGAAATCGCAGAAAAGGTAAATAACGCTGAAGATTTGATATCAGACATGACATCATTAATATTTCTGTAGCTATCCAACGTCTTGGCGGAAGAAGTCAGGGCTCAAAGAGCAGAAGGGAAAAGGAATTTTTTGGACATGTCGGAATGGATGTGCCGCGTCGCACTTGAAAGTGTGGGGCAGACGGTTTTGGGTTATTCCTTCGACCCGCTCGATTCTCCTCACAATAATCCTTATACATCAGCAATTAAAGAATTAATGTGAGTAGCCTGTCCTATTATTTTATAATTATGACGCTCATACTTACTGCATTCCAGCCCAACAATATTTTCATTGTCACTCGTCCGACAATTTGCACCGTTCCTCTCCAAGCTTGGACCTCCCTCTCTTAGACGTAAATTAGTCGAATGGACGCCAAACGCGGCGGTGCAAAAGGTAAAAAGGATGTCAGACGTGATGGATCAGACCGCCCAGGAAATTTTGCGCCAGAAGAGAGAGGATATTGCCAACGAAGGATTGCCTTACGATTATGAAGAAGGAAAGGATATCATAAGCGTTCTCCGTGAGTACGCAATCAACATTCGTTTGATCTTGTTAATCGTTCCCAGTTCGTGCAAACGATAACGCCAACGAAGCGGAGAAATTGAGCGATATTGAGTTGACTGGACAGATGACGCACGTTTCACCATGATGTTCTTGCTTTTATTCTAAACTGGTTATCTTTCAGAGTTCTGATTTTTGGCGCACAAGATACCACTTCTTCCGCGTTGTCCCGTATACTCCACTTGCTCTCCGTTAACCCCGAAGTTCAGAGCAAATTGCGGGACGAAATAGAGATAGCCTTGAAAGACTCGGATGGGCGGCTAGATTACGACACAGTCATGGCCCTTCCTTGGCTTGACGCCGTACTTAAGGAAACTCTGAGATTGCGAGTTCTCATTTCGTTTTCTCCAACGTTGTTGACCCTACTAACATATATTCAATAGATACCCTCCGGTACCTTTCGTACGACGAACGTGGGCTTTTTGAATTCTGTGACATAAGATGACGAGTACTGACATACCAGAAAAGTGCTGTAAAGGAGCGAACAATTCCTTATTCAGAACCGGCGGATTTGGCGTCAGGAGACTCACAACCTCGTGTATCGTCAGTCACCATTCCTGTTGGCACCACAATCTTCGTCGGGATTGCCGGGAGCAATTCCTTGGAATCTGTGTGGGGGCCTGACGCCAAAGAATGGAAACCCGAACGGTGGTTGCCGACGGGCGATGCGGCACACCATGGTGTGCGCTTGCCCGGAATATATTCTGGAATGTAAGTGTTCTGTCGAATGCTGACTTAACCCTGACGAACATTTCTTCGGTTCTAGGATGTCTTTTCTCGGAGGAGGAAGGTCTTGCATGTAAGTCGACCATCCCCACATTACAGAAACATCAATTCCAACCTTTCATTCAGTGGCTATAGATTTGCACAAATCGAAATGAGTAAGGAGCATTGGAAGCTTTCAAAACGAGTGAAAACGCTGACACGCCGACCGCAGAGATTATTCTCATAACCCTTCTTTCAAAATTCAAGTTCTCGCCTACTGAGGATGAGATCATCTGGAACCTTTCGCAGATAATTTCGCCCTCTGTGAAGGCGCCTGATGGTAGTGGATCAGAGAAGAAGGGACTTCCACTCGTAGTTGAGATTATAGAAAAGCCAGGATCTTGACGCTAATTACAATATTATCAAACGTAAATTGATCAAATGAGAAGTGGAGTTGAAGCCAAGGTACAACGGCAAGAAACACCGCAATGATTCAAACGTAAGTACAACTTCTGCCTATACCTCAATTTCTATCATCTCACGACTTACGCCAAAGCCACAGGCCCACAATGGTTTGTGGAAAAGATATTCTCCGAAAATTTGAAGAGCGAGAGTTTGTGCGGCGGGATATTCTGTTGGCAAATCTACTTGCGAGAACCAGAGAATACTATTGAGGGGCGAGCCATGAGCGGATTGAAACAGAGTGGAAGCTTAGAGCAAATAGTGGGGGCTGTTTAACCAGGCCCAAAAGGGTGATTAGAGGTTGCTTATCGTCCACCAGGGCGGTAGTTTACGTTGGAAACATTGACTGAGAATGGGGGGGATGGCTGGGACGCTGTATGCTGATACCCAGGGATGGGGTCAAGCCTGAGATGGGGTTGGTTGTTCATGTAAATTTTCTGAAGAGGCTGGAAGTATTTGACCTTGCCAGTACGAGGTACGAGGCAGAAATTGACAAATATATCTTTGAGGTTGAGATTTGGTCAAGATTGTGGTGGAACTGCCTTGACCCTGGCACCGTGGTCAGTCCAAACATCCGGTGCTGATCTCCGTCTTTGCTGACCTGATGCCTGAAAAGACTGCGCGCTACTTTCTTGAAAGAAAAAAAAAGAAGGACCCCTTGACGTTCAACAGATCGCACCGGCTGAATTGAAAAAAGGACACTGAACACGATAAACCGACATAGCAGCAACTCGTTTCGATCGAGTGACCTCGGGGTAAACATTCTGGAAATAATATGGGCCCCGCGCGCTTCCAACTGCGCCATGCTGCTACTAAGAATTGGCCTAATCTTACGGATATAACTCACCATGTGTCTACGTACACGCCAGCCGATGATTCTGTTTAGACATCGTCGCACGCAAGATGGACACATTCCTCCATCCCCTTCTCTTCACTCTACCTTTCCTCCGACCTCAAAGCAACGGCACCCCTCTACATCCCCTCCCTCGCGTGTTCCAATAATCAGCCTGCCCAGCAATAAAAACTACAAACGGCGTAATAAAAAGTATTTTTGTTCAGGCGGACATCCTGCTAGTCCCCGATCCACCATTCGGGACCATTCTTATTTTTCCGCAGGTCCCACTCATAGAGTGTTCCAGCAAGTTCAGCGTACAGAGTTTCTCCGCTTGGATCGAAGAAAAGCGACTGCACTCCTACGAACATTCTAAGTTTTTGGACCCATTCCAGCTTTAAGAGAAAAGTTTCTTCCGTCTCGAACGACGTCGCATCGATCACATGGATGATGTCAAGTTGGGAGTAAATATTGCGCTAAGGATTCAGACCACCTATTTGAGAGGTAGGGATATCAGAATATGAACATCAGACATACCTCCACAAATGCCAGAGCCTCTTTTCCTAAATTTCCACTGCTGAATGAGAGAAATGGTACACTCTGGTTGTTATAGTCGGGCTTAGGGACTTCCATGAATGTTTTCAAAGGAGCTTTGCTTCGGATATCCCAAACAGACACTCTGCCACGACCCATGGCCATAGCAAACTTGGATCCATCGGCAGAAAATGCAAGTTCTGCCTGGAGAGTAGCTGTTCCTAGGGCCCTGGGAGTCGGAATAGAAGTGCGGGTAACGAAGGAAAAGCTTGTGCTACCAGAATCCGAATAGTGAATGTCAATCGTTTGGTTGTGCGGTCCTTCCTCCAAATATGTGTTTAGGAGAATGCGCCTGTCAGGGGATAGTATTACTTAGAGAACACATTAGAGCAAGTTCAACACGATTGCATGAAAATTTGGACAAACCGAAGCTACGCCCGTTCTCTGAGTTCGACTTGAGCTCTAGATCGGTATCTATTCTCCCAGACTCAATTAAAGGAAAATTGTCTGAGGCGTCAGTTTTAGTCGTAGATATGTCGAACAGCTTCCAATGGTTGTCAAAGCGCTCCCTAAAACTGATTCCCAGTGCATTTTTAGTGGATTTTATCAACCGCAAATTATCAATATTGCAGTGACCATCAACGCCACCATTGAAAGACCACAGGGCGGGACCAATACGATAGTCGGCGCGGATTTCGTAGATAGATATGTGTAGATGGGGTACTAGATAGGACCTGAGAGTCTTTTCCAAGTACTTTGCGAATAGTAGGATCCGATTGCCTTTGATGGGAATGAATGCGATTTCTGCTAAAAGCCGCGACGGATGTTTCGGGATAATGATTCGTGGCTTGAAGGCATAGTGAGTTGAAACGAATTCCTCAATGAGCGGCATGTGAATCAACCTCATGTTTTCCGGAGGAATGTATGTTGTGCTCGAATATCGCACTGGCCCGACGGTAATAAAGGATTCCCTTTTGAAGAGGACAATGAAGGTTGTGAATTTGAGATTCCTCATCGTGAGTGAATCTGCGGCCCGATGGTGTTCAAACGAAGTTCAAACTTAGATACATATATAACAGATTCTCACAATTTTTGGTCAACAAGGATGGTCTTTCTGGGAATCCTTGACTTTAGCAATGACGAAGGCGGTTCATCCATTGATGGCTGGTGAGGATACGGAAAGAACAATGCTCTGCCATATAAGCGCGTGCTGAGCGTGTCGGGGTGTTGCTTACCGCAATTTGCCGATCACGAGGTCAAATCACCATCAACTTTCTACTTACTACTCAACTCAAAACTCAACCTTTCTGCGGCCCACTGGTGGTATGCTCAACGAAACCTTCCATCCTCGCATCCCTCAGATAATTGGCCGAATTTGAAGCTTGAGCTTGAGCGCTCAGCGCTCAGCGCTCACCACTCAGCTGCGAGTTACAGTTTTGCGGATGAAAGAGGAGTGCTTCAGAGGGGCTTGAAGAAGGGACTAGAGAATTTGTCTGGTCGTCGTCGTTTTTCCCTCTCACAGCTCTACTCTACGAAACCCGTTTGCATGCCACAGGGAATTGACTGAGTTTGCAGAGCTCCGCACGTTTTGTAGGCCGGTCTTAGTGAATGGCTGCAAGGTAGTGGAGGGGAGTGGTTTAGAGGGAAACGAAGAAGGGATTGTGACTGGGACGAACGGTGTTCGATTGTCATTTGGATTTGTTCGGTCCCGTTTGCCCATTCTCGCCCTCCTACGTCTCCCAACCCCTCCCTTCCTCCCACCTTAGGTTCTACGCCAGGCTCCTACGCATGCAACAAAACCTCCCACTTGATACGAATTTCACGCACCTTAATATTGACAGTGGGCAGAACGGACGTGATGAAATTTTGAGGGGTTTGATGAAGGTGCGCGGCATAGTTTGGATGTTGAAAGTGGGGTAAGTTTGCCGCGCTGCTGGCGGAGGGACATCATTGTACGTGGTTTCTGCTGTGGAACCACTCCATTGTTGAATTTTGAGATCCACAGCAGGTTTTTCCTCTGCTTAGGGGTTGACCCGTACCCAGGCCAGCGCTGAGTTGACGTTCACTAGCATCCCATTAACGCTCGCTACGTTAGTTTTTTTGCGCAGTCTGAGAGGCAGCTGCAGACGTTGGAGTTGGGATGTGCCTTTGGCCTCTCGATTTTGGCTTCCCCAGCTATTCCATCCATATCCCTTCCAACCTGAAATTCGCTACGCACTTTAATCACCCTAATCGAAGGCCGGAGCAAAAACGCGACTTGGAGAACATCCAACACATCATCCCCCATGTTACCTCGGAGATGTGGACGCCTTAACTTGGAGTGGAGAGGTGTTGTACCTCCCACCCAGTTGACGCCGGTGCTCTAAGGATGAATTGCTTACCCACTCATCGCTCGAAGTGTTTGGTCGAGGCTCGGATTGGGACGGGTTGACAGGCGCAATTGCATTCGACAATAGTGATGGGGACGGCGATTCTGCCTGCTCAGGTGGACAACCGGTCAACCCTAGCTATCGGAAATCGGCATGTCACCACAGTCTGGTGGCCTTTGACGCGATTTATTAACATCTCGTTATGCGTAAGATGAATACGTTCCCAGGGCCGTCACTCCATCCCCTCCTCAATCTACCCTTCCTCCGACCTCGACGCAACGTTGCTCCTCGCATCCCTTACTTCGCATGTCTTGATAGTCAGTGTATTCACGAAGGGAATATTCACCACCACCACACTGAAGGATTTGGTGGACGCGCTTCTTGATGTGGAGCCGAAATTGACACCGTGGGTTGGAGTTTGGCGCGATTCGGAGGTTTTGGGAAGCCATGTACGTTAGGGGTTGAGGGATGTGGGTTTCAGACGATCAACTTCTTCCAGGAGGCGGACGTCCTCCATCATTGTGTGCCTAAGCTTGAAACAGGCTACCACCCCGGCAGATAAGGCGACGACCCGCAAGACTATTTGCTCTTCAAGACTCAGAATCATATACGAGCAAGCCGCGGTAAGTACATGGTTCTGCATGAATAATAATAAGAGTAGGGGCAGGGAAATTGCTTCTGTGAGAGTATCGGTTCTACTGTAGTTTTGAGCGCAGCTGATGATTCTAACCAAAGACAGTTCTTTCACAGCTTATGATCAGCCATGTAAGGTGGTACGGTAAACCTTAATCGATCATTTACTGACCACTTAGACTCTAGAAATTTACAATAAGTAAATCACGAAATTACCGGAATTGCATTGTCGCGTACACTATTAACTAGTAGGTGTCGTTCATACTTACAGTCTATGCTGAGTGACAAGGCATTCTATTATCTTTGCAGTGATGGAGGGTCGGATCTGAAGGTACACAACGACACAATTCCATTCATATGCTGTATTGGAGCGACATTCGATACAATGCTGTTCGGTTCACTCTATCGAAACTTGTCACAATATTACGGCTTTGTTGTCACGCCACGTACGCCATATACTCATTCTTAGCTATTCGATTCTTATATTGATCAGCACCTCTCGGCGTTTTAAACATCAAAGAAAGAAGAGAAGAAGTCACAGTGCAAAAAAATCGTGCAAGTAGCATCATCTGGTTTCAAAAGATATTACAGAAGACGAATTACCTTAGGATTGACGCGACTTTTACGTGGTCGGTAATCAGAGACCATCGGCTTACTGGCACGGTGATTAGATTGGGAAAGCACTACCTCGAATCGGCTCGTAACCCATCCATTGCACAGTCCTTATTACAGGTATGGCACTCACGACCTCTCATTGACCCCACTCGCCCAAATGCTCTCAGCCCTCCCAGAGTCCATCCAGTCAACCCAGTCAACAAGCCAAAGGAGCTCTCAACTCCACGTTGACATAATTCATGCGACAACGAAGGTAAGCTGGAGGCGTCTTACATTAACCCCTCACCAGTGTCACCACTAACTTTGCAAAGGCCCTTCAGTTGATCGTTCCACGACAAGTGCTACGCCCTTGGTATCGCTATGCCATACACGTTTCGGAGAAGACTCACATTGTACCCTCTGCACTTACGTTAGGTAAGAAATGTGTGAAGGAGCTGACGGCGGGACCTATCTATATCGGCGGCTCCGCGACTATCTACCGGGGTCAACTCGATGGCAGAACTGTCGCCGTTAAACAGTTCAGAGTTTGTCGGGAAACCCAATCCACCACCGTTCGAGTAAGTTCGTTGCAATATCTGGAATCTGATCTGATTTCCTTCTTCAACACAGCACTTCATACGAGAAGCTCTGATCATGGATATAGTGCGACACCCACTCATCTTACCCCTCACTTCAACTACGTATCAACATGGCTGCCCAAGCATCCTGACGCCGTGGCAGACAAACGGAAGCGTGGTCGAATTTCTGCTGAACACTCCAGACGCGAATCGGGAACGTATCGTAAGCCGCATCGAATACCTCAGGGTGTAACCTGCTAACCATAGACTGATCCGCAGGTTGCAGGCGTTGCGGAAGGTCTCGAATTTCTCAAATCCTCTGGCGTGATTCACGGGGATTTAAAAGGCGTTAGTCCTTTTTTCGGCATTAAACTTTGTATTATGCTGAGTTTTTCCTCAGCAGAATATTGTTATAGACGACGGCGGCGCACCGCGCATCGCCGATTTCGGCTTGTCGTTTCTCGATTGGGAATCGTCGTCTTCAATCGAGACTAGGAGCCAAATTATGGTCGGGACCTTCGCGTCAGGCAACATCAGCGCGGTACTCGCGGCAGAGGCTGTACCTTCCGCCTATACGCGTTCAGGTGCAGGCAGCCCTCGGTGGATGGCTCCCGAATTATTGGTTCCTGAGGTGTATAATAAAACAACCGCACTTCCCACATTTGAAAGCGATATGTTTTCCTTTGGGATGCTAATTTATGAGGTAATAATTTGGTCATATTCGATCCCGGCGATTGCTCACTACTTTAATGAAGATCTACAGTGGTTTGGTACCATTCCAAGATCACACAAACATTACGGCTGTTCTCCAAATTTTGGAGGGACGGCGTCCACCACGGCCAATTCAAATCCCAGATTGGATGTGGTGCATCACTAAAAAATGCTGGGCGGACAACTCTCGACTCCGACCCTCCATTGGCAACATTCGAGCACAGTTGCAACCTGAAAACGTTCTAATAGTGGACCATCTGGGTCGTTTCATAAGGATTTGGAATAATTGGAGTAAGACGCAGGAACCATTAGAAACAAAAAAGAACTAATTTCGATTACACGAATGGGTCAACAGGAGGAAGATATCACGAACCTCGGAAGACAGACAATCTTCCGAGCTTGGTGATCTCTTTTTCCTGATGCATCAAGGTCGTTCCAGAATGTCGTGATACAACTCGTAATTTCTTGCTCACTTAAGAACAATCTTTCACTCTTTCCGCGCCTTGAGAGATGCGGAACTGCGCCCAAATTCCTGCTTCAATGCGGCGCTGCGCATGTCACAACGATTCTCACCCTCGTATTCAAACACAATCAACGTCGCCTTCGAAAGAGAGCGCGATACGAGAATTACCCAGATGCTCAAAAACGTCTTGCTACAATATTCGTCTTAGCGCGCCACTTCAATCCCCATGGACCCATCCCACTGCATTAGGCCTAGCCCACCTCTTGCCTGGTACCTCTTGATGGGTCTTCTCGAGTGTCGGAACATCGATGTCGCACTATTTTGGCTGAAAGACGGATACCTTTATCATCTCCGTCAAATATGCTCTTTCCGCCCATTCTACCACTACACATTTGACCGATACCGCACGGAACGTCTCTTTTCGGATTCAAGGCAAGTTTTTGGGACATTTTTTGATCATTCTTCACCATCTAGAAGTTAATCCGGGGGCTTTTTGCATCTTAACGAAATCTTCAGTTGGTCGTCAATATCCTGCTATCGAGTGGCATGAAAAATTATCTTGGCATGGTATCGACTTCCACATTGCGCGACTGCAATTTCAGTTTCCCTTTTGGATCCTCGACGCCGATGGACTTTATACGCCGCGATCTGCTCAAGCTAGGTAGTAAGTATCCAATTGTTCCTGCCGGTGGGTTACGGGGAACGCCTTGATGATTAAACGTTGAAACTGTTGTTCTCCTAACGATATCTTCCACGTAAATTTCACGCTTTAACTCTTTTTAATAATACATAACTCGCCTATGGACGGAAATATCGCGATTTAAGACGGTGAATGGATGGCAACGGGGTGGTAGCGTCTTCTGTTTCGGCTGTTGTTGTGAGTATTCGATCGCGAGTGATAGGTACTGGGTAGCATCTGCAAGCTTGGTTTGATCTCTGACGCACTAAGAAGTAATATCGTGACATTCACGCGTTTCTGCATCACATGGTGTGACGGGTCGTGCTCTCCGCTGTCACCGCTTCTGTTTACCAACTCCGATTTACTTTTGCTTTACTTACTTTCACTCTGCCTTCAACCGAATCTTCATCGGCACCCGTCATTTCGTCTTACGACCCTTGCGACCGCAAAAATAATATGAAATATAAAAGGAGATCGGAGCAGCTATTTTGCCGACTCCTTGTCCCGTCAGCCATGTCAAAATTCAATGGTTAGGCTCGATCGCGAGCGGGTTCGTTGCCAATGCCCCTCTTTCCTTCTCTGTTCCGTCTTATCTATCTCTTTATGCAGTCTCCAGAGGTCATTCGAAGTCGACGCTTGAACCTCGTTTACTCGGATTTTTGGTTCCTCGATGGAAACATTGTTCTCGTCGCCGAATCAGCTGCCTTCAAAGTCCATCGCGGCCAGCTGGAACGACAATCAGAGGTATTTAGCGACCTTTTCTCAATACCGCAACCTCAAGAGCAAGAACTCATCGATGGCTGTAACTGGGTGGAATTGCACGATCGTGCGTCTGACCTATTTTACTTCTTAAGCGCGATTTACGATGGGTTGTGAGTATCACCCCTATTATCCTCACACCGCGCTCCTGACGTTTTACCAGATACTTCAAGAATCCTTGCCCGGAAGACTTCCCTGTCGTCGCTTCTGTCCTTCGGTTATCAACCAAGTACCTTGCGGAACATCTTCGAGTAAGGTGTCTGGCGCGCCTTGACCTGGACTGGCCTACTAGCCTCGGTGGCTGGGATATGCGAGAACTTCAGGCAACAGATTCCCATGGCCGTTACTTTCCTCGAGAAGCCTATCCGAATCCCATCCTCGTCATTGAGCTTGCCCTTGAAATGAGTCTTCCATCGATTCTTCCATCGGCGTTCTATGATCTCTCGCGTTACGGTCCGAGCAAAATCTTCGCGGGAGCTACCTATCCTCCTTGCGCATTCGACGTAATAGTCTCAAAAAACTCAAGTATCCCTCCTTTCCTCCAATCCGTCACCCTCCCCCTTGATATGATTATTCGGACTTTCCGAGGACGCGAGACGGCCCAGCGTTACTTAGCAGACTTCGTTGCCAGGGAGCTGGACTGTCGAGAACCATGCGCACAATGCGCGAACCGCGGAGATAAGGACTACCCGAGCGGGGCGTGCCACGAATCCTTTTACTTCATCAAGCTGAACGTCCTTCGCTCAGTCGGTGGGATCGCAACAGGAAGGGACGCGGATCCTCTCTTCTCCTTCGTTCAAGCGGCGGAGATGCTGACACGTACGGACTTTTCCGATGGACAACGACAGTGCGGGTTGAATATTTGCTATCCTTGCAAGCTCGACTTTGCCGCCTGCGTTTCGAAAGCGAGAAAGGAAGTCTGGGATTTACTGCCCTTTTGGTTTGGGCTGCTCGACGACGCAAAGACGGAGAATGCTGTCAACCTGGATTAGGATAAGATCGCAGACTTTGTAGTTCCACTAATGGCTCTCAGGACTGCTATATCACACGGACTCTATCTAAGTATTGTTATCGTTTGCTCTTCATCTTGTCTTTTTTGTGCTCTGGAGTGCAGTCTTGTACTTACTTTCTTGGGTTTCAAAAATATAGATATCGGACTGTTGTCGGACATACTGTCAACTACCAACTATGTCTTTTATGATCTGGCCGACCGGACCTTGTCTGTCCATGTGAAATCCTGATGAAGAAGAGGATGGCCACACAGCCTCTTCTCACGGCAGTCTTCGCCGTTCTTCTGCCCATACTTACCTCTTCGCACACCCATTATCTCAGTCCCCACTGACATGTCGACATCTACTGAATCACCTGTCCTCGCTGGCCCCCCAGGAGATTGCTGCACCAGAGGAGTCAAACATTTTGGCAATCCTATTGGAAAGATCATCACTATCGCCGATGTACCGACGTACCTATCTGAACCTCCGGCCATCGTGCATAGTGAAGGACCAAAGAAGGTGGTTTTGTTCTTTGCAGACATCTTTGGGCCGCTCTATGTCAACGCTCGACTCTTGCAAGATTATTATGCTTCCCATGGTGCGTTTCTCCCGACATCTGAAGATTTATTTATTTCGTTGACGTTTATGTAGGATACTACGTTCTCGGAGTTGATTACTTCTTTGGTGATGCAATCTATCTTCATGATGAAGAGCCGAACTTTGACAAGCCGGCGTGGTTGACGAAGCAAAGGGAAAAAGCGAAGGAAATTACTCCCAAATGGATTGAGGCGGTAAGGGAAATCTATGGTAAGTTGTTTTTGACCCAGCCGTATCCGTTCAATCTGATGAAAAATGCTGCAGGTGACGCAAAGTACAATGCTGTTGGTGAGCTGCCGAAGATATTCATGGATTATAACTTAATTGGATGCGGCTTTTAGGATATTGCTTCGGAGGGCCCTTTGTACTAGAACTCGCCACTACAGACAAAGTCGTCGCGTGTGAGCCTTGGAATTACGCTTTCCATGATCAAGTAGGAAAAGCTAACTATTTCGTCAAGCTGCTTTTGCCCATCCGGCGTTTTTAAATGAAGATCATTTCAAGGAAATCAAAAGTAATTCGCTGAATAATCCTTCCCATATTTTACTCAAACAGTCTGGCAGAACCACTTTTATTGTCCTGCGCAGGTTCGTCCATGTTCTTTCAGAGATTCGTCTGACAAAACTTAAAATCGCTCAGAAACCGACCACACTTTCCCGACGGAATCTCGTCGCCGAGCAGAAGATATCCTAGCAGAGGTCAAAGCTACTTACCATGTCCAGGTCTTCTCCGGCGTTTTGCACGGATTCGGGACGCGTGGGGATCCTGAGGTGGAGAATAGCCGTTAGTCCTTTCATCGCTGTTTCTCTTTCTTTCTGCTTACATGGGACTCCATTGGTTCCATAGGTTGGGCTAAGGAAGAGTCCGCTCGTAGCATTATCGAATGGTTCAATAGGTTCAGCAAATGATCTCTCACAGTAGCATTGGGCCTTGTCAATACCTACCCAAATCAAGTTGTTGAGGGCCCATTACTGCGTGCTTATGTGTCAGTTGCTGGGGTCGAGACTTTAAGATTGATTGAACGAAAGACCATAAAAATAAACGTAGATATAGAGCTGTAGGATGTCCGACCGAGGCGCATTTTATTTCCAAGTTCTACCTACTTATAAATAAGCTGGACAACAAGTGGAGTGAGTATCAACACCTGCTTCAAAGAAAAATTTGGCTTACTGTCATGACTGCGAAGGCGACCTGCTCAAAGCGAGACCTTCAAGTGTCCCATACTTCGCGCCGGGAATACCTAAGCCTCCATCGGGAGAACCTGAGATCAAGGGCGTGCGCTCTGTCGTGTAAGGGTTGTTCCGTCTTTCCCGCTCGACGATGCTAAAGAGAAAGATAGGTCATTATGAGGGGGTAGACGTGAGCGGAATACTCACCCTCGCATGATAGCAGCAGTCGTTGCGCGCTTTGCACGTTTTTTACTTTGATTATCCTCATAACGATCTGTTTCATCGACGATTTCTTCTGAAATAATTTCCTATAGAGAGGATGAGCAGGTAACATCTCAGATTCTCTTTGAACTAACCTCAATGATATCTAGTAAGAAAAGCCACAAAGTTAGCCCATATTGGTTCCTCAACATCAAAGAAAATAATGACCTTCAAGAGTGATAACGCCAATGGCACCACCAGCTGTGCCAGGAGTCCGGCTAATCAATAGAAGGTGGGCCCTGCCCGTTTGGCTAGAAGAGAAATGAGCGTCCGGAATAAAGGGGGTATGATGGGTGTCACATACAAATAATCGAGGGCTTGGAAACAGTTTATTGACGGTAAGGCCTCGGGCAAAATGGAAAGCTGGAAAGACGAAACAGGCAAGGCTTTGCTTGGGTCGTAGGTAAGTAGCTGCAGTATCAATTCAATTAACGAGAACGTTGAAAACGAACAAAACCTCAGTACCTTCTTTACCAGAAGCAAGCCAACGAAGGCGAGCGGATTGTCGGGTTCATGAACTGGGAAGCGTGAGTACCCGCTTAACAAACTGGATGATTCTCGTCAGAAAAGAGAGGTATAAAAACAATCCGAACAAACATCGCGTCAACAGCTTTGTGATCCAAAATCGTATCCGCACTGAGGATCACTGTATCCTATTCCAAGATCAGTGTCACAGCTATGTCAAAGAAGGCGCATGGCCAAACCTTGAGGGGCGTCATAATCGTCTCGACATTTTTCGTGTTGAGCTCCAAAACGCCGTTCAAGATAGTAATTTCGTCATCACGCAGCGGTTCCTCTCCTGTACGATGAAACTGAAGGAAAGACTTCAACTCTGCCTTTTTATAAGTATGCTGTTCGTTTGCGCCCAGCACAGCATCAAGAAGTTTTGCTATGGGCCAAGCGACCGGAGCTGTAAGTGTAAATGAGTCGAGTTCGGATGTTTCATGTTCAGAGATTACATACCAAATGTGTACATTAAAGCAAGGACAAGAGGCGCACATTTAGCACCTATGGAGAGGCCATAGCGTACGCTGACAGCTTGCGGAATAATTCTATCGCCGATGAATCAACAAAGAGTTGATGCATAAAGCTGGAACGACTCACTCTCTGAGGAAGGAAGACATCGCATCACAACATGAAATGTCAAGCAAAACGGAAAATAGCACACCCAAAGATGACTTAATACTGAAGTCAGGGCGTTACTCTTGAGATATACATCGACGCTGACCTATAGCAGTTGTGGATATCGCGACGGCAGCGAAACCTCCACCTAACTGAGATTGTAATTCCGTGATGAGAAAGATAAGGAAAGGGCCGGCGCATCAACGCACCGCACTATCCAAGAATATAGGCAAACTTTCGTTGATAATCTTAGAGATTTCGTCAGAACAGATTTCGTCCATCGTTTACGGAATGCCCGCGTACGACGTTGCCTAACAATAAAACCTAAAATGACTCAATAACAAGACTTGTGTCACGGACAACAATGATAGACGTACCACAAGAACCCAATGCCGCCCCTTCTGCATAAGATTCAAAACTATGACCGATTCAGTTCACCACTTCACGCTCGAGCCGACAGGTAACACAGTGCACCTTTCTGCGCATTGCTCCTCTCCTTCAAATCCTCTGAAGACGTTGCGAGTACTCGGAGATGGAGCTCGTCAAGGCCCATCAAGCCAAGGGTAAGCCTAAACGCAATCGCATATCTCAGCGTCATTCGTATCTCCAGAAGTATACGTACCCTGCAAAGACACCTCCCGCCAATACGAGCGCCGTGCTGATCAGAAGCTTGGACCAAAATTCCGATGAGCCTGGCTCAGCTTTATCGTCACCAACTTGCGACCGGACCCGAGCCAAGTACGGAGATGCGAGGGCGGTACGTATGAGGAAGAGAATGGCTGGCAGTGATTTCGGCTTCATGATGGTATTGGTGAAGGAAGGGGAACCGTGTCATAAGACACGTGATCGCTGTCACAACATGTCCTGACTCGGAAACGCCCCTATTTTTCAAAGAAGAGTGTGCATCCGCACTTATCGTATACTATGAGTGACTTGGCAGCGAATCGGCGGTCAACTTTCAGGCCTCAGGCCTCAACATTATTGGTAACGGTAAAAGACGGATAACAATCAATAAACTCTCGCCTCAGCGACTGCCAGATTCATTCTCTGTTTGAGAGGTAACCACTTTTCACACGTGCAAGCTGATGACGGCGGGCTCGCGCACAGTCCAATATACTAACAAACGTAGTTTCCATCCTTTTTTGAATATAGCATTCCCCGACAAAGACTGAGAGTACAGATCCTGACGCAGAATATTTCAAAGTGGTCAACCGTGCAGGCCTTCGTCGTCGCCGTTCGGTCTGATGAATGGTGTGCCGAGTTTTTCTCAAATACTTTCTCGAAAGCAAAAATACATTACTGCATATTTTCCACTCCTTATTCCCCGCCTGTCTGGGGGGTTAAACCGAAGTTTCGCGCCCGGATCTCGGGCGCGTGTAATGGCCGATAAATAAAGGAAGGCGCCATTGAGGTAGTTTCTATCTGGTATTTCACCGCTTCTCACTGGCAGAGAGTGAGCTAACGGTAGTTGGCGCATCCAATACTTGACAAAGGATCATGCCCCTTGCAGATGCCTACAGGAAGGGTGCGTCCGGAGAGGAGCCTCAAAATTGTGGGGTAACCTCCGCGGCCATAAAGAGTACAACATTGAACAGACCTATTCGCCTTGAAAAAATCAAGCTAAGGGGTGGCCCAAGCCTACGTCACAGCGAGCCTGCGCCAAGAGAGACCGAGAAGCCTTGAGGAATTTAATTTGGGACCACAAGGCCGCAACTGCGACCCAAGAGAAGAGCTTGATGAAGCTTCGGGGACGCTTGGCAAAGATTCCCAGTCCGAATCGCTGGTACGGCGGCCTAGATGATATGCGCAACCAGCCTGCAGGCCTGGATAATGGAGAGGCCAAGCGTTTCGATTCCTCGTTTTTATGCCTCCGTGAAAGTAGTTTTTACTGGCAACCCCGGACTTTTCGTTATACACTGCAATGACGACCTCAACGACGGGTATCATGGACGCTGGTTGTTTGCAATCCATCGTTTAACAGGCTTCTAGCAGATAGCGGATAGCGAAAATGCAGCATCGTCTTGGCGCTCCCATAAGACGGGCGACCTTGGCAAAGTATGTAAGACTGGACGTGAGGCAGCTCTATCTTCGCTATAGAGAAAGAATGCCGTTGCTACCGTATCTCAGTGGACCGGTTGAGAAGGCGTTTTCGGAGCACCTGCTATCCTGGCAAAAAGTGGTAGCTGAACACCTCAATTGACACGAATTTCGAGCTGGTAGTCGCACCTTACAAAATTATAAAATTTTCTTCGTGTCAAACAAGATCTACACTTGTGCGATGAAATACTCCCTATCCCCTAGGAGAATGTCACATGACCGCGACACTGAAGAAATCCGATAGACCTTTAACGGAGTGTTCAGCGACTGAAGGAAAGCACCAAGGCTTACGATCTGGGTATAGATGCGTATACCTCCCCAATAAGCAGCGTGTTTACAATGACCTTTTGAATAACAGGCGATAACCGCAAAGCGAAAGTCTCTCAAGCAAAATTAGCGCATCCTGCGACGATTTTGCGAGTGGTGTCTGGCTTTTGAAGACATACGGGGTGCGGTGGATGGCAAGTTCGGTGGCTTGTTATCTGTCAGGCGATGAAGACCTATGATCACTGCTGACTTCCTTGATGAAATGGGCGTCGAAAGTTATGTTGACAAGTCGTGAGCTTGATTGAAACTGTAGGGGAGGGGCTGCCCAATGAATGGATATACTTACTATACACTTTTGTTATCGTTGATTGGGTCGAGGGAAAGGTTTTGCCGCCAAGGTTGTGACCGACTTCCTGTGACAAAGTGTCAAGTTGTCGATCAGCAAAGTTTTGAAATCGTACCTTTCGTCCGGACCCCTGAAAGTACCCTCAGATGCCTGATCCCAAAATGCCCCAAACTGCCCGATTTTTATCCGGACGGTTTTGCCAAATTTCTATCCGGATATTGGATCTGGCCTTCGATAAGGTCAATTTCTATCCGGACGCGGATCAGGCCTATAAAAATCGTTATTTTTCAAAAATTGGCGCGAAAAGAGTGAATTTTGGCTTGCTAGCCCCTCCCGGCCCCTCTTAGGCATTCTCTGGAGGCCCGTACATCAGGAAAAAGTAAAATATACATAAGTGAATATAGTATATGGATTATACATGCAGAAATTTGAAGATAAACAAGCTATTCTTCATCTTCCACAGTTGGAAGTTTTCAAGGTCTGTAAACTTACCGTCTTGCTGTTGTCCTTGATTTCTTTGAACAGCTTCCAATCATCTGTAGATATTTTGAGGCCATTTTGCGTGATTTTTGGAGTATGAGGGTGCACAAGAAGGCAGACGGCGGGAGATGATCGAGGCAATGAGTCCACGCAGAACTGAGAGCCAATTTGATGCGAGAAAATATATATATCACGGAAGGATTGTCCGAAAGAACGGAGAACAGGGGGAAAGAATGGGAAAGAAAGATATTAAAGTATATACCAATAAATAAGTTGGCGGCAGCAGTGAGCGCGCACTGCCTTTTTCGAGCTCAAATTTCTATAGTGTATATTTCTATCCGGACATCGGCTCGGGGTTGCTCAGCCTCACCAATTCCTATCCGGAAAACTGCCTCTGGCATTTCGCCAAAATAGCGAAATTTCTATCCGGACAGACCTAAGGCATTTCCAAAATTTTCGCCAATTTCTATCCGGATCTGGATCAGGCATCTGAGGGTACTTTCAGGGGTCCTCTTTCGTCCTCAGTATTATTGGAAACAGGAAGTCATGATACATGAGGCTTCAAGTTCATCATTCGTGACGGCGTCTGCAAGAGAACGAAATAACAAAAGAGACTAGACTACGTATAGGACAAGCCCATGAATAGAACAGCCAATGATTTGGCTGAGTAGTTGTCCCAAAAAGTCTATTCTTGCCGCGGAAAGGGTTTCCTCAGGTTCGGGTCACGAGTGGTCAGTCAATAAAAACCGCTCACCTTCGTTGACCATCATGCCCTGCTAGCTCCCACATCCTCTGCAAATGAAAAGATTGCCAATTCTCGCCCTCGTCCCGCTGATACGAACCGTGCTCTCCAGCCATATTCACATCACCAAACATCCCAAAGGCAACCATGGTGCAGAACCGGGGTCACCAGAATTTTGGAGCCATCTCGCCGTCAGTGTCGTGCTAGTTTTGTTGGGTGGTATCTTTGCGGGGTAAGTTTTGTGCTCGTGTTGAGGGGCCTGACTGATTCTGTCAGGCTGACACTTGGCTTAATGGGTCTCGACGAACTCCATCTACGTGTGCTGGCCGCATCATCAGAGGATGTTATAGAGAGGAAGAACGCTCAGAAAGGTTCGATCTTCTTATTCTTAGGCTCAAGACGATGCTGAGAGGCAGGCGGGTTCCAGTTTTGCAGTTGATGCAAGGGAGGAGACACTGGGTTCTTGTTGTGAGTTCCACCACCTTCGGTTGCGTCGGCGCGGAGTTCACAATTCGGTCTACTTAGGTCCTTTTGTTGGGAAACGTGGTACGTCTACTGCTTCTGTGATCAATACTTGGCATCATGATCGTATCCAGATTGTCAACGAAAGTCTTCCCATCTTCCTGGACAATGCCGTACGTCCTACTATCTCCGTCTCATCAATCTTCTTAGCTCACTAACGGGTGCCTAGCTTGGGGGCGGGTATGCAGCGATAGCTATCTCCACTACAGCGATAGGTAGGCTTTCTGATTTCGCGTCTTATTGATGTTAATAAGCCTCTGCCTACAGTGATATTTGGGTACGCCCTCTGAATCTTACCCCTTTAAATCCGCTCAATTCTGTTGTCTTTCCATCTTCTTCACAGAGAGTAAGTCTATCCGGAACGACGTCCGCTCGCCTGTCTCACACTTTAAACAGAATCATACCACAAGCTGTGAGTGTGCGGTACGGGCTCTTCGTCGGCGCAACATGTGCTCCATTCGTATTAGTCGTGATGTATATCTTCGGTGAGTTTCTAAACATTCCCCTACCTTGAAAGAATTCGATCAAATGTTCTCTAGCCCCCGTCGCCTATCCCATCGCCAAGCTGCTGGACTACGTCCTGGGTGCGAACGAGGCCCACACATACAAAAAGGCGGAACTCAAGTCTTTCCTCCAGTTCCACCGTACCGGCGAGGAGCCGCTACGTGATGATGAGATCACCATCTTGAACGGTGTCTTGGAGCTGAACTCGAAAAACGTCGAGACGATTATGACTCCTCTCAAGGTAAGTACTGCAGCTTCGAGGCTATTTATAATCTGACAAGTGGACCACAGGACACCGTGATTCTTAGCTCAGATGACATTCTCGACCACGCCGCCGTTGACGCCATGTACGTCCCCCTCCCCTCTTCCCATCCTCCCATTCTCATCACCTCAAAATGCAGACTACAAAGCGGATACTCCCGTTTCCCAGTCCACGAAGCAGGCAGCCCACTGGCCTTCGTCGGGCTCCTCCTCGTCAAGAAGGTTTTTTCGTTCTCTTTCTACATGAGAGTGTAACTAACAGATCACGCGCCCCCCAGCTATTGACATACGACCCTAAACAGGCTCTGCCCGTGTCCGCCTTCTCACTGTCCATCCTGCCTGAAGCGCACCCTTCAATCAATTGTTTCCAAGCCCTGGATTACTTGTGCGTACCTTGATATGGTTAGACTCACGGTGTAAACCAATCAACTGATTAACTTACAGCCAGACAGGAAGAGCGCACCTGTTGTTGATTAGCCGGACACCAGGTAGAGAGGGCGGAGCTATCGGCGTTATTACGCTTGAAGGTGCGTGGATGAGCGGCGTTGGTTGCTCTGGTATGCTGATCGTTTCTTTGTATATAGATATAATAGAGGTCTCAAAGTTTTCCCGCCTCTTCTAAGTCCGTCTTAAAAGAACTGACGATCTCTTTCAACAGGAAATTATTTCAGAGGAAATCATAGACGAGACAGACAGATACCACGACAATCAGAGTAAAAATAGAGCTCGGAGACAAACGACGGACGAGATCATGCGAGGGTACGCTCGCTTCCTCACTCTTCCCTCCTTCCTTCCCACTTTGATGCTAACTGTTATGCAGTATCGTCGAATACGAGATCCATCCGAGACGGGACGAACTCTCCGAAACGGCCTCGTTGTTGGGGTACATCCGTAGTCGGGACGGTAATATCAATCCGAGGAGTCTTCCGGTGATTAAGTATGGGGCACCGGCGTTGATTGATTCGCCGAGATCGATGTCGTTGACGCGGTGAACCGTTGTTTTTGAGCGCATGAAATATAACCAATCTACTTTATTGTATTCCTTATTTTGCTTGCATTTTTGAGAGTGCGTTGGATAGGATCTTTAGAACTTGCCTGATCCTCGTGGTTGTCGGATTTTTCACGTTGGGGCAAAGGTGAATCAAGGGCTACTCTAGGGTCTGGTTGTGCAACCCTCGCAAAGCGGGTTCCGACGACCTGATTTTGAAGCTCATTTGACTGTAGGTTCGAAGAAAATTTATCCCCACCACCCAGAATATTTATCCACCCCAAATAAATTGTTGGCATGGCATGGGCACGAAAAATCCCACCCAATCCGAGTTATTAATTGGCTGGTCTGCTTCGGAACATAACTGGAAGGTGGCGGATTCGGGTGTGCTTAACCCTGCCCTTTGAAAAGAAAATAAAGACGCATGACGGGACCCACACGTTGAGAAGGTGCGAGTTGAGAACCTGAGGGCTGAGCTCCTTGGGTTTCAAACCCGAAGGCACGTCCAAATGTTGGGACAGCAGCAACTTCGAGCAATAAAACGGTGTTTTCAAGCTTCAACGTCGGAAAGAGTATGGAGCTCTTCAAAACTAGAACTGCTTTTTCGCCGGGAGGTTCTGGTAGTTGTGAGCCAGTGAGCGGTATTGTGGTTGTATGCAATGTAGCTTCCAGTGATTGATCGTACCCCGAACTTCATAAACAGCTAAATGCACACTGCTCGAAACCTGCTTCTCACTGCGTCTCATACCTTGCCCCGGTCCAATTGGCGGACCCGCGTCTAAGGCCGTGTCAGTCAGATTCAAAGTGGATGAAAACTGATAATATTATTCACCTCCAAAGCAAAGAGATGCGAGTCATAAGACTCTGGAGACAATTTCCGGACGGAATCAGCCAGTTGGTATAGGTATTCCTGATTTGAATTTATTGTTAGTGTTTCTACGTTGAAGAAATGTGGATGGGTACCTTGTTTGGGCCGGAAGGACCCACGGATGTCGATATTATATGGGCGAGAGCTTTTAATGGTTCTGAGCCGACTTGAATAATTTGAAATCTTGTTAGCGCGTTAAGGGATTCGATGGGAAGAGGGACTGACTGAATGAGGGGTTATCGTGTCGTCCGACGTAACACTTGATAGCGGTTATTCTCAAAAATTTAAACACGTTCATCAGGACGCACAATGGCCTGAAGAAAGGGATAGGTTTTAAAGAACACCTGTATAGATTTCTGGGACTTACATTGTGAATGATGATCTTCTCGACACCATTTTCGATGTTGTAGATATCAAGGACTTCCAAGGTATATCCATCCTATAGTGAACATGGGTTTTCCTACCGGATTCGGGAGGTAAAATATTCTGAATACCTTCTCTCGGTAATCTGGGGCGGGGTTAGCACGGATGTGATTGAGAAGTAGTAGGAAGCGGACCTAGATAATCGCGCACTTCCGCTTGGTATGCCGGATCTATTGTGTATGCTATGCCTGATAACACGGAAGGCATTCATTAGTCACGAGGAATAAGGATGGGCCAGGTGAGTGAGGTACCCCAAACCGTGTCGTCGTCCGGAAACGCGTCCTGGGGAACGCATGATGCATAAATGAGGCGTTCGCCTGCATTATCTTGGATAACTCACCGCTGAAGAGTATTTGTCCCATTCTTCCTTGTGAATTAGCGTCACAACACGCCCGGGACTCTATGCACATCACATGTTATGTAACAAGACGATTGATAAAAAGGACAGCTCACCTCAGGCGTTCCGCGATGGTCATGCGATTTCTGTGCGAATCTACGCACGTAACCTTTCAAAAATCCCGAAACTAGGTGCGTAGTTGGTGAATACCGAAATGCATCAGAGCACAAAGGTCGCTTTGCCTTTGTCGATGACATGGGGAGGAGGCTATGATACATGTAAGAATATTGTTTAGATGGGGTTGTGCGATTACTACCTTGAAAATGAGAGATCCATATCCGAAGACGATGAATGGAGTCTCGTTAGACGCCATTCTCAGGCGATCCTGGTTGGGTCGGAGATTACAACTGATTTCGTTAGAGTTGGTAAGAAATCGCGTATGGGCATTCAATTTCACTTGCCTTGCAGAAACGAAGATGCCAAAGTCCAGATGTATATATCGTCAATCCTTCGCGAGTCCGGCGTCTTGATGGTGGTAATTTGTGAAGAAATGTGGCTTGCCTTTTTTGGGACGGCGAAAAAATATACCGATCGCGCTCTCACCGTGACTCCATCGTATGCCACATCCTCCACCATCATTCCTCAACGTCCTACTCACTGGAATACATAGGGCGCAACGCGAGCCATTTCGACGCATACACCCACAAAGGCCGCTGTACAACGTCGCTTTACAACGTTATAGCCGTCGTATCATGGTCGATCCAGAATCAACGGTCGTTGGCCAAGTCCACGCGCTACCTGACTCGGAAAAAGAGCTGCCAGCGGGCAAGAAAGCACGCATTGGAGTGCTCGATGTGTCGAAGCTGGAAGCTGGTGCGAGCAGACAGTACAAGAACAAGGACGACAGGAAGAACGCGAAGAAGGAGCGGAAGAGAAAAGCCACGTTCCCTGAGCCGTGTTCATCTGAGGACGTTTTGTGGCAAGATATTATATCGGTTCTGGGAAGGGAGGTTGTCGATAAGGCTATTGAGGATGGCGTTGAGCTCCAATCGCCCTTCAAGTACCATGAGGAGGTGGAGGTGGAGGTGAAGACGATATCTTCTAACGGTCAGCGGGCTACCTGTTGTGGTTGAGCCAATCTGATACCTTGATACAGGGGAGGGAATAGCTGTGTCTCCGGAGGGAAAACGTCCTTGGACAATTGTTGTGCCCCTCGCTCTACCTGGTGAAAAGATTCGTGTGCGCACCTACCGTCAAGGGCGCCTGCATTCATATGGCGACTTGTTGGAGGTTATCACGCCAAACACTGAGCTCAGAGACGACTCCAGAGCCCAGTGCAAGTACTTTGGCTCCTGCGCAGGGTGCCAATACCAGGTGGGTTTCCATGATCTGCGCAGAAGGGTTGTCATTCATCGTTTCGGATTAGATGCTATCATACGACACCCAGCTAGACCTGAAGCGCGACGTCGTAGTTAAAGCATACCGAAACTACTCCAGTCAGTAATATCACTACAGCTCTCATCATTTGTGCGCTAATGCTCAGAACAGAAATTCCTGAGCCGTCATTGCCACCAATACTATCTACGATACCCTCGCCCTTGCAGTACGCCTATCGTACCAAGCTAACTCCTCACTTCGATGCCCCGCCAAAGTCTGCTCGGAAAGGGCTACGATCTACTGAAAAGCCCGACTGGCTACACATTGGGTTCAATCGCATTGGGGCACAGAGCACAATGGATATCGAGGTAAGTCCAAATTCTTCTATTGGTTGTCGTTGACATACTGACGCCAACACGTTAAAGGATTGCCCTATTGCCACCCCCGTCATCAACGAATCTTATGGCCCCATGAGAGAGGACATCATCAAGTAACTACCCCTCGCTTTCATGTCCCACTTTGATCAATAACTTGGAACAGAAACATCTACACTTACAAAAAAGGTGTCTCCCTACTCTTCCGAGACTCCCTCGACACCTCCATCACCCTCGACCCAGATTCAACAAGCGATTCCGTCGACAGGCTATCCGAGGCCTTCAACCGCCACATCTGCGTGACTGATCAAAAGGGCACCGTCCGCGAAAAAGTCGGCGACTGGGTGTTCGAGTACAACGGGGGCTCTTTCTTCCAGAACAACAACTCCGTCCTGCTCCCGCTGACCGACTACGTCCGGGATGCCATCTTCCCTCCTGCCACCACAACCACAACCACCACCGCGACCCCCGCCCGCCCAACGCACCTCGTGGATACGTACTGCGGCTCAGGCCTCTTCGCCATCGTACTCTCGCCGCACTTTGATAAAGTCGCTGGCATCGAGCTGTCAGCCGACTCTATCCGCTACGCTACGCGCAATGCGAAATTGAACAATATCCCCGAAGAGAAGATATCCTTCCGCGCGGGCAACGCAGGGGAGATCTTCGCCACCGTCGGGGATTTCCCTGCAGATGAAAGCGTCGTACTCATTGATCCCCCGCGGAAGGGATGCGACGAGTTTTTCATACAACAGTTGTTGTCGTTTGCGCCGAGGACGATCGTGTATGTGAGCTGTAATGTGCATACGCAGGCTAGGGACGTTGGGAATATTTTGAGGGCGACGGAGGGGAATGAGGTGGGGAAGAAGTATGTGTTGGAGAGTGTGAGAGGGTTTGATTTATTCCCGCAGACGGCGCATGTAGAGTCTGTGGCGGTTTTGCGAAGAGTTTAGCATGCCTAAGTAGCTTCATGTGTAAACTCATTGGAAGTGTCCACCTTTGCTTTTGCCTCTTCTGCCCGACTTTTATCCTCCTCCCCGACACGTATTGCAATGTTTGGAACAAGTCTCATCTTATGGTGTGTGCAGGGTATTGGGGAGCCTCCTGATAAAGACCATTGTCAACAATCTTTGGGTTGATCTCTTCAGACACCTCACATTCTTATTTGAAAACAGAGGAGAACCAATTGCATTGAACTATCAACCAAAGTATTCATATCTATCTACTCTACTATCCATGCAACAAATCCAACATCCATCTTTCGGATACCTTCAGGCATCGTCACGAAGAAAGAAATGCGAAAAGGTTGAGGAGGAGGGGTTTCCAAAAATTGCTGGAAGCCGAAGCTAACAGACGGGTTCGGATGTATAATTTGCAATCAGCAAAAAGACTGTGCCTCGGTAGAAACCTCACTGGCGACAGTACATGCCCGAGCACAAGAGATGGGGAATCAATCAGGAGAGGGCGCTGTTTATAAAGGGTGGTGTGCGCACGGGCCATTTGGCTTTGTTTGGTTTTCACCCAGGTTGGTCCCGGTAGCGTCCGCCAGCGCTCCAATTTCCAAGTGATTATTTCAATTACGAAAAGAGAAGAGTACATATGCGATGCGTCATAAGAGTTAAGGAGTGCGTGTGTGATATATAGTGGTTATAAGAGACGGAACAGAAGCGAAAAAAGACTGACGGACCACTGGAACGCCTCACAGGAAGACCTCCCCCATCAACGTTGCAACCCCTCTCTATTGAATGATGCTCAAGGTCATTCCGGGCCTTCAAAACCGACGCATGCATCTCCTTCATCGCATTCCCCAACTTGACTCCAAACCGACTCAATATATCCCTCTGTCCCGCGTCATATACCCTCGCCTGCACCTGCTCATAATCAATGACGCACATCCCAGACGATATCTGCGTATCAGACGAATTAAACGTCGACCGCGCTTTCTTGATTTCAGTGAGAAGCTGCGGCCAGTTCGCGAGTGAGTCCCCGAGGCTGTTGAACACGTATTTGGCCTCGAGGTCCCGGAGGAACTGGAATTGGAGCCATTTGCCGACGTAGTCTATAAGTTGTTGGACTTTACGTTTGATTAGGGCGAAGGGGCGTTTGAGAGTGTTGTCCGTGAAGCGGGTCAGCTGAAAGGAACGTCAGAACAAGTCTGTGCACGCAGAACAACATCGACGTACCAATAACGTGTACGTCGTCTCTGCAGATGACGCTCCCTGCATCTGCCCAATCTCATACCGAGAACTCTGGACTCTCCTCGGTCTGCAAATAACACCTAATCCAGCATGCTCAGCTTTAACTTCAAACCCGAGCAAGGAAGAGTGCACACCAATCCAATTATGCAACTGCTTGATCCGCGAAAACCTCGCGTACTCTATAGGCGGGTCCAAAAAGATGACCTGGTTCTACATCCTGGTACTCGTGAACGATAGGCTTCAGCGTCATATTCCCCTCCATGAACTAACAACTAATCATCAGTCCTTACTCACAACAAAAGAAGAAGAAAACTACCTTCTCCTCCTTCATCCGCTTATCCCCCCGCCTCTTACTCGCAACATGCCTAACAGGCAGCAAATCTCTCCGAGCATCGCCATCATCGACCCCATCAAACTCGGCACACCACACTTGAATGGTATGCGTCAGCATCTGGAGAAGGATCCGCTGGATCCGCTTGTCTAGATCTGCAACCCAGTGTTCGAGGTTGGCGTATCCTTCCAGGTTCAGGCGGTCAATCTGCAGGTCCGTCAGCCTTATGGTAGTGAAGGGAAAGGGGATACGGTACGCACGGCAGCCTGCAACTTGCCCAGTAACTTTGAGAACGCTTCATAGGTATACGAGCACCTCGAGAGGTCTTCCACTGGGTGTAGGATGTCCTTGTAAAGGTCAATCACATTGTTCGTTTCGTCCTATATCGACCCCTGGCATCAGCACAGCCTAGAGGAAGGTAAACAGAAGGACCAACCGGAAGCACAGAAATGACGCTCGCAAACTCCCTGTATATGCTGATTATCTCTCCCATCTGCACTAGACACATATCACGTCGTATCATACTGATTTACAAAGTGACCCCAGCGGATGTTCATCCCTACACCATCCCCATCATCATCAGCACCTTCCCAAAACCTCAGAAGAGAGAAAGACACACCTTCCCCAATCATCCTCTGCGACTCGTTCCTGTACTCCGCCACCAACCATTCAATTCCCCTATTCTTCTCCACCAGATCCAACGTCGTCCATACATCCTCACAGTCTCCATCAAACTAACAGCATGCGGATAAACCCTCGCCATATTCGTAATCGCATGCGGAACCTGGAAGAATTCCTGACCTCTTTGAAGAGGGTAATAATCTGCGGATCGAAATTTACCGCCAACTGGAGCCCCCTTCCTCGGCTCAAACGGACAATCTCGAATAAACGCCCTCCAACGCCCATGTCCCGACAGTTGATGTCGTGCAGCCATGGTCGGGTGTCTAGTTTTTTTGCGGAATGCTGAGGATTTAGATTGGAGTTTTTGACCTTCTGCCTTTTCCGAGGACGTCTTCGACGCGTTTCATATTGTGAAGAGTTGTCGTTCGATTTGGCGGGCCCAGATGATGGCTCCTGCTATTGGGGGTAGGTCCCGCATTTGAGCCATGTGGTAGGCTTCGGAGAAGCGGTATTGGGTTTGAAACTGGTGGTTAAGTAGATCAGCGGTCGGAGGTGGATGGGAAACAGGGAGGGTACTTTGTCGTGCAAGTGCTTAATGTCCTCCTTTACCGAATCGATAAGTTGAGTCTGGTATTCCTGTATCGCACGACGAATCTACATACGTGTCGTTCAGCACAAAGATCAGAATAGACAAAGGAAGCACGTACCTTTGGCCTAACGAAAAGCGCATCGAACCCTAAACATCTCATTTGCATTCCGCGCCGCGCCAAGTCTATCCCAGCCTTGCAATAATCTGGTTCTCGACCCGAGACACACGCTCGTTGTATGCGTTTTCAACTGTTACCGATATCTCGGTGCTCTCTCTGCATTTGATACCGACGTCAGCCTGTAAAGGGAGTGAGAGAAAAGAAAGGGACTAACCAACACTAACATCCAAAAGATCAATCCGCTTAACAACCTCATAGGCCTCCATATCCATCCGTCCTCCCACTCCTACGTCTCCCCCAAGGCAAACCCCCAACCCCCTTGTCGAACCCATCATAACAACCAACTGCTCATGCTGCTTCCTCAACTCCCTCAAATACCTCACCCGCGTTCCACAACAACTTTAATCCTTGTCATCAAACGGCGGGTCCAACTCGGATGGCAAAGTTCCAATGACGGGTGGTAAGAGGGCGAGCAAGTACGTCCGAAAGGAGAGATCGTCTAGGCAGCGACGTCCTCCTATTACTCGTGAAATAATGCTGTACGCCCGTATCAGTCGTCATCGTCTCTCACGAACTATAATCTAAACACGCACGTTATTTTATCAATCCACTCTGAGCCTTCAACGAGAAGTACACGTTTTGGTATCCATGCGAGCTCTCCCACAACACGTCGTTTCGCCCCCAAAAGAACGATGGTCGCGGCCCAAGGACCTTTGCATCGCTCTGAAATTTCTCAGAGACGTGATTAAAGGAGAATTAAGGGAAACTCGAGGGATCTGTGCGCGGTTGGCCCGGGTGCGCGGGTCAACGAATAGGTGAGGGGTGTGACAGATAACGCCGTAACTGTCACACCAGGCCGAGCTGTGGCTTTCATCTGGCAACTTTGCCAGCACTCACCAAGTTCCCTCTTCGGCTCGCCAGGCCGACAAGTGGCAAATGGTTTCTATGGGTTTGTCATTGACATTATCCAAAGGGCGCTCGACTGCATTTTTCCGGAGAATTAATGGGCCGCTCAAGGAGGACGGACCGAGTGGAAAAAGCCTCCCGTTGATTTTGCGTGCGGACTTTGAGCGGGGTAGAAGGATATGCTGTGCCACGAAGGGGAAATTTTCAGGCACCTTGCTGCCAAAGAGTGCGAGAGCAAAGAAACCACAATGGGTTGTTCCTCCTTGCGTAGTGGGAGCAGGGCTTGTCTGGTTTTCTTTTCGGGGTTGAAACCTCGATCGCATTTTCTTCGAACTCCTCCTGCTCCCCACTTCTATCATACCTCCCCCTATCTGCTTCGACCACTCATTCACTCAAGCCTTTGGCATCCCCCCTCTCTGCCCTTGTCATCGTCCCTAACCGCGCCTACGACACCCCCCTCCGCAATGACCTTCCGCCATTCCAAACCGACCTTTACATTTCAGAACAAATCTACCGTACTCAAACCGCTGAGCCCAAGGGGCCAGGCACGGGGGGTTTGTCCTTTTAGTCTCATATATTCGCAGGTCGCTGTTGAGGATCCAAGAATCGGTTGCCAGTGGTCTGGGGTTCGAGCTCCAGCAAAGGAGGGGCATTTGGTCACTGGCATCCAGTCTGGAATGCATTGTGCGACCTAGGTCGCACCTACGCTCTATTCAAGTCCCCGGCGCTGTACCCGCCCCGATTAGCAGCGTTCCAAGCCTACCGCACGTCTACGCCCCTGCGGATGGAACCGTCTCTGACAGGATGTGTGGCTGTGGTTGGTCGATCCATGGTGAAGCAGACGAGACACAACAAAGATCGACAGGGACGAGACAGAAGAGTTCGCGAATGAATTAGGAGGGCAGCTAGATCTGAGAGGCTTATTAGCTTCTCGTTTCCAGTTGTGCCGCACCGCGAGGCAAGGCCGTAATAGGACCGTTTGACCAGGACTTTGTAGATAGCAGGAAACCACGTAACCCCATGTACTTTGCAAGGCGACTGTAACACAGTTTCCAGAGTCCGCTTTTGCGGTTTTGATTGTGCAGAGGCGAAAAGGAAAATAAGAGATGTGTCAAGGAGGCAAACGATAGGCATATGGAGACCAACGCGACCTTTCTCCTCACAAACACGCTGAGCACACGAGAGCTGGCCAGACATTCGTCTGATCAACCTCACATATTTTCAGGCTGGTGTTCATTCCGCGTGTCGCATACCCCAAGTCATTTACCAGTATCTTTAAATAGAAAAGTAGCATGCATCAATGTTTTAGCATCAAGGAAAAATTGACCGACCAGTCCACGTCGTAAAAGAAACGCCACGTCCGCAATCTCTGTCGGGGAATCAAACCCAGCTTGCGCGTTTGAGTTCGGCCTCCTTTTGAATGGGAAAGACAAGGGTAAAATCGTAACTCTCCGATGCTGGGCTGTGGGGAATTTAGAAAAGTTCAGCCAAATGCAATTTACATGGACCTCAGTGCATTCAACAGGGTTCAGATTGATCTCAAGGTCTTCTGGCCAGATAGTTGAGATTTGGGCAAAGTTAATTTACCGCAATAAATAGAGAGGAGGAGACTGGGAGGAGATAGCTTGGAGATGTGAGTGAATCTAGAATCTATACCGATTTCAGCTAGTGACCTCATTAACGAATTAGCGCCCCAGGCATCATTGGAATTGCTTGCCTCAGCGGTGGCAGCGACTTGCATCGTCAATAATGAGAGGTGTTAATTCTTAAACCTGCGCAAAAATTATGAAGGTCAGTGGTCTCAAAAGCTTGCTCAAGAGGAACATCTGCATTGATTCCATCACCTTCACCTTTCGGTAATTGTTTAGCTAGCTTGTCAAAATCCGCATCAAACTTAGCTCCTCAATCCTCAAGGTCACCATTGCAATCGGCCGGGAGCCCAATCAAATGCCTATATTCAATCCTCCACTCTTTCCACCTTAATCCCGCTGCCATTGGCTCGAGCAAGCTGGCCCAGCTCTCCCCCACTCAGACATGTCCCCAAAAGGAAATATTGCAAATTATGTGTCCCTTGTACGGATATATCTTCTCATAACAACTTAAATAATATGCCCAAATGGCTCATTGGATAAATGTGCTTCAGAGAACTTACGTAATGGCTGCTGAGAGTCTTGAGGTTGATGGTTCAATCCTCTCTTTGGACACTTTTTATCTTTTACATTTAAAACATACCGGGGGAAATGTCAAAATACTTAGGGCAATGTCAATTGCCCTAAGTATTTTGTTGGTTAGGTTAGGTTAGGTAGGTTCGGGGTTGGGCTAGGTTCAGGGTTAGGCTTAATGGTTAGGGATGGGAATCATTTTCTCCCCGCGCGGTAGCGCGTTCTTGGTTAGGTTAGGAGGTTAGGGTGCTCGCAGATGCGCTATGTGCATCTGCGAGCGCGACTTAGGGCAATGGCACATTGCCCTAAGTCGTGAGATTGCCATATACGGCAGAGATTACCATATACGGAAGGTGAACACATCACGTGTGTCTGAGTGGGGGAGACGTAGGACACTTGCTCGAGCATGCGCATCTGCCTTCGACGGGTCGATTTCCCCGCCATATTCGCTTCATCCAAAAGTTGGCGTGCGTAATGATATCGGAGCGCTCCAAGTACCGTGAAACAGGAACGCTTGACGCTTTGGGTGCCGCCAGGGTTGAAAAGGAAGTGCGCGACCTCAGCCGCTCAAGGAGTACTTAACTTTATTGCCAGGGGTTTGAGAGGGTGGGAGATGATATTTATAAGAAGGGACTTCCACCAATGCCTTTCATCAGCTTCCCCCCCCCCCAGAAATGGGGTCTGATCATGAAATTACCTTTTAATATCCCTGAGCGAAGCTGCCCCCATCTCCTTGCTCCAACCTCAACGTGATGCGATGGTGAGAGATCTTTTGTGCACGTCCTCTAGTTTGCGTAATTGATGAGAATGTGAGATAGCGAGTTTTCGACCGAGGTGGAGGAACGGGCTAAGTCAACGGATGTTAGTGTTCTTCGCAGGAATCTCGAGTCATCTCCAGGTTTGAAAGGCAATAAGTTGACTTCTCGGTGGGCCAAATTAGCTGCAAAGAAGCGAAGGCAGCGTCTCCGATCTCGAGCTTCAACATCGCCAATAACAAGCCAATAATGTCGGTTTGCATACCCGATGAGTCAGCTGGTTAGTAATTGCCAGTGATCTATGTCAAAGGCTAAAGATAGTTGCAGCAACAACCCTTTGGCCGAGCGTGTTTAATGAAGCCTTTGTGATCCCGTACGCTCAGCGCTTGGAGAATAAACACATAAAAACCGTACGATTCCGTGTTGGCTTTTGGGCTGCGCATGTCCTTATTTTATTTTGCAATAATCCCAAGATAATCCGATCTCGGAGTTGGCCTCCCGAGTCCCTAGTAATGCAATGAGTAGAAACAATCCATGAATTTGGGGTACAGTCTTCTTGGGTTATCGTACTATTGAAGCAGTGTACTAAGGAGCAATGTATAAATATTAAAATGAGCTCTGAGAATGTGATCCAAGGTTGAACGTTGAGAGCCCATGGATACTCACTCGTCCAGGAATCCAACCATCGGAGTAGCATTGTCACTGGTCAGTACAAACAACACTTTTCTTTACCAGGGCCTTGGTTGCAACATCACAAAGATTATCTGCAGTCGCTCTAATCAGTGATTCCAATACTAAGTTTCAAACGCCGCGGCTTTTGCAATCACTATAACGAGAGGCAGGGCCACAGGATGGCCGTAATATCTGAATTCATTTCCGGATGAACGGAAGTTGTCAGCAGCAAAGAACAGAATATTTCCTGTGAATGAAGAATCTGAAGGTCTTGATTTTTCGATAGCCTTCCATAATTGTTTTTATTCACGGACCAGTGGAATGAACCTCAACATCCATGTTTGCCTTATTAGTCTCCACCTCCGTCATTGCTCTATTAAGGAACACATTGACTTGGGCGCTTCACTGCCATCATGGCGACCCTATTGCTTCTTCCCCGCACTAATTCCTCTATCTCGACATCACCGTCCCCACCCGACGCGCCAACTTCTCAACCCCTCCTTTCAACATCAGCAGTATTTGCGTGTCATAATCCATCGGTGAGATTTCATTATTGTGGCTTTCTCTCCGGTGGGTGTGTGCGGTTCAAAGAACCTTTGCGGAGCCCCACCTTATGTTGGCTTGCCATGAGAGTCATAGGGAAGTGGAGGGTAGTTGTATTCTATGCTCCTGAAAATGCCACACCCTTCCCAAAAATTCACTTTGGCTTTCGCCAGGTCTGGCCACCCTTTCTAAGAATTTTCATTTCACTGCCAACGTCACTCTTCTGTGAAAGGGAGGAATCAGCACGACATCTATCACATCTATCTGTCAACAGCCTTCGCGAAATTTTTGACATTGTCGTCACGACATTCAATCAGGTTTCATACGGATTGATAAACATGAATGAGTGGTGTCATGATTATAACGGACTACAGCGGTGTTCGGTACCACAGTTCTTATCTGCGCTTTTAAACTTCATTGGAAATGTCTTGAAGATCACGGAAGTTTCTGCGTCGAGATTTTTGACGCGCGTTGGGCTTATGGATGTCTGAAGCCTATTTCATTGCCGGCTCCGTCAAGTGTTAAAAATGTAAGGTCGCGTGAGCGAAAAGGGGCCCTAGGTCATTGCAAATAGATGATAACTGGCTACATAAATACATAGTCTAATTTAACATAATCTTCGCCGTCGTCACAATGAAGCGCATGATGGCGTCCTACTACTACGGCCCGGGAATAATGAAGGAGTAACTACGGAACTATGCAAACATTCTTCCCGCGAAGGTAGAATTCCAGCCTATCATCAAACTTCAAGATTCGATCTTGGCTTAATGTTTGCCGCTACCGGGCCCATTAAGTATCGGACCTGTAAAATTTTTCAGACTTGAGATAAGCGCGAGTTGAGGACTTTCTCAGAGCGTAAAAAAACCTCAAAAAGCGCTTGACATGCTGGTACCAACCCACCCACACCATTGAAGCAGCAGATGTCTCCCTCAACATGTAATGACAAGAACGACTCGCGGTTATTTAAATCAGGACTCCCTAGAAAATTTGTTATTTTGGATGAGGAACAGTGAGAGCAATTTAGTCGAACTGCTTGAATCACATTTCAATCCTTGACGAGTTACATGCACAGCATCTGGCCCAACTTTCAATGCCC